CCAAAAACTTTGTTTCCACCCAGTGTTCCTCGAACTTTTTATAATCAAGCGCACCGTTGCTTAACTTGCCAGATCGGACGGGATCGCGCTTTCGCACTGTGCAAAAAAGACAAAAGACGCTGCAAAGATCTTTGTTTACAAAAGCAAGAAAACAAGAAAAACTCCTAAAAAAACCGCAAGAACTTTGTTTACAGATCAAAAAAAGTTTGAAAATAGGCTATAAAACCACAAAATGCCATTTTTTATTACACCAAAAGTAAAAATATGCAAAAACTTTCTTTTCAATACCATAAAAATCTCAAAAACTTTGTTTCCGACCAGTGTTCCTCAAACTTTTTATAATCAAGCGCACCGTTGCTTAACATGCCAGATCGGACGGGACCGCGCTTTCGCACTGTGCAAACAAGACAAATGGCGCTGCACAGTGCGGAACTTAATTTTTTGGCAATAACTTTGTTTACAAGGACGTAAAAGGGCATTTTTGAAGTTTTTTGAAATTTTTGAGTTTTTGAAGAAATTTTCTTTACATATTCAAAAAAAAATTTGAAATTTTTTGAAAATTTTTAAATCTAGCTCGTTATCTTTAGAAAATATGTACTCTTAAGCTCTTGACCGTTTATTGTTTACCATTCTCTAAAAAACACACTGATTGAGTGTAACAAAGCCAGCCGGCTGACCCGACCGCTTCCTTGACCTCAGGTTTCAAGTTCAAAGAAGAAAGTGACGCCGGCTTTGTTTTTCGGCCCCACGCCTCCGTCTCTTCACCTCCCCGGGCTATAATTAGGTACAAGTGGTGCAAAAGTTTTGGCATTCCAATGACATCAATTCCTCTTTCCGGCCGAACTGAACTTTTTCAAACCACCTGACCCCCTCAGGGTTTTTTTGTGTTTGGCCGCCATTTCTGAACATGCTGGCGTTCGGAGATCGACTGGCTTGTAGGCTTGGGCTTGGAATGGTTTGGAGGCTTAAGATTGACTGATTTGTAGGCTTAGGCTAAAAGTAGGCAGGGTAATGAGAGATGTAAAGGGGGGGGTAAAAAGAGTAGGAAGGGTATAGATTAATTTTGGCATTTTAAAAATTTTTTTTTGTAAAGAGTTTTCGCCTATTAAAAAAGTTAAAAATCTCCAAAAAATTTTTAAATAACTGTAAACAAAGTTATTGCGGTTTTTCTAAATCCTAATCAAAACAAATTTTTTTTATTAAATTTGTAAAGAAAGTTTCTTCCAAACTCTTAAAAATTCTCAAAAACGCTCTTTTACATCATTTTAAACAAAGTTATTGCCAAAAGTTTAATTTCTGCACCGTGCAGCGTCTTTTGTCTTTTTTGCACAGTGCGAAAGCGCGATCCCGTCCGATCTGGCAAGTTAAGCAACGGTGCGCTTGATTATAAAAAGTTCGAGGAACACTGAGTGGAAACAAAGTTTTTGGGGTTTTTAGGGTAGTGGAAAGAAAGTTTTTGCAATTTTTGAATTTTAGTTTTATATAAAATGGCATTTTGGGTTTTTAAGATGAATTTGCGGTTTTTTTTGCGTTGTAAAGAAAGTTTTTGAAATGTCGAAATTTTTTGATATAAAAGCAGATCTTCACGTACCATATCCTGGTCAAACATGCCCGTCATAAATTGTTTTTTACTTGTTATTACCTTTTTTTCCGCTTCCAACCTTAATTATAGTATTTGTTTCTATTTTTACGTACTAACCTGCACGTTCATGTGAATACGTTGTTTACCCGACAACTTACACTTCCTCATTACAAAACGCTTAATTGTAATTCATAAAAGGTGCATTTTCGAGGAACGTTGGGGCGTTTGGTATTTAAATATTGAAGATATTGTAGTAGGGGCAGACAGCTTTAGTAGGAGTACTGTAGGCTGTCTTATTCTACAGTATGATCTTTCTAGAGAGTTTTACACAAATTTACATTTTTGTAAGCCTACAAAAAGTCGTGTTGTAAACGTTTCGCTACATTTTTTACTTTAACGTTCTATGTGATATGCTACACTACAGTAATCCAAGTAGCATTACTTTTATATCTTGTGATAAAACATGTTACACACAAGCATAATTATAAGTACCTGGAATGATAAAAACTACTACAATGTTATTTGTATTAGGTTTCACAATAATTTTTGCGTAGAATTATGTATTTTGTTACAATGTAAATTGATAGTACGATAAAACACAACGTATTATACTAGTGTTTACCATGTAAAACTTTCGAAATTGAATTGTTTAGCAGCTTTTGTTAAGTTTAAGGAGTTTAAAATGTGTTTTTGTGATAATTCTGGGATTTTAATGTAGTTTACTGATTTTCAGGGTTTTCGTGGTGGGACCAAAAGTTCAGAAGTATTTTAGGGTTCAAAGTAAAGAAACATTTTTAGATCTTCTAGTCAAAACTATACATGCCGTATTTTAACAAATAACGTTTTTTAAGCTATTTCCTTGATTTTCAGGGTTTTCGTGGTGGGACTCAAAGTTTTGTAAACTGGCAATTTTTGTACAATATCTCTTAAAAATTTAATTTTAACTGATTATTTAGTCGAAAACCCGAATTTTTAAACAATTTCCTTGATTTTCAGGGTTTTCGTGGTGGGACCCAAGCCCAATTCAATGTAGCAACTAAAACCATTAACTTTTTCAATTATATACAATATTACAGTATTAATCTGTCAAAATTGACCACAAAAACATTTTTACACCTAGACATTTTTAATTGCAAAAACTTTATTTCCAATTCGTAGTTTAACATCATTACATGCCATTTCCCTCCCATTAAATGCCAACTAAAACATAACAAACAACACGGAAGTGGGAAAAGTTGTAAACGAGTAGTAAATAATGTCATGAACCATTTTGACACTCGCACATTTTCGCAGTATTTTTGAGTACGTACTAATTGGGTAATAGTGTTATGTTTTGGTGCTATATTTGTGCAAATTTTTGATTTTAGCTGGTTTATTAGAGGCTGGAAAGAAAGTTTTGGGGGTTTTTATATACTCTAAAGGCTATAATTTGTTATTTTTAAGGTTAAAAGGCAGTTTAGGAGTGGAAGTTAAGTGGAAGATTTTCAGTGCAAATTCCACTAAAAATCTTCCACTCTGCTTCTACTTTTAAAACAACAATTTCTTGGTCTATAAACAAAAATGTTACCATTTACGTGCCATTTCTGTCTATTCTACTCCAATTTCAATAGAAATTTATCAAATTTTACTTCCTTAACCGTGGAGTGAGTACGACATTGTAGTCGTACACAAATTGTTCTCAAACAATGTCACTCTTTTTCATTGTACTTTATCTATTACGGTGACATGGGATATCATAGTTTTTAGTACTAAATGACTTTTTTGTAAAAGGTGTAATGAAAAACGGTTTTTAAAAGTTTTGTTGTTTTTTATTATTGATTTTAGTGGTAAAAACGACAAAACTTTTTTAAATGTTGAATACGGTATTTTTTCGCAAAAAAATATCATCGGGTGAAAATACAGTATACCGTGAGTATTGGGTATCAATTTTGAGCGGGTACAGCTACAGTATACTATGAAGTTTAAATATCAAGTAGGTTAAGTATATACTAATACAGTATACTGTGGTCATTAGGTGAAAATACAGTATACTGTGACTATTATTTTTAGTAGATAAAGCTACAGTATAGTTTGAGTAGTAAAAATTGGATAAAATTCCAATAGTGATAAAACTACAGTATACCAAAAAAACTACCGTATACGTAACCATTAGACACCAGTTGCTAGGTACAACTACAGTTCTCCTATTGTAGCCATCCAGTTAGTCTATAGTTAGCCTATTGTATTCTAACTACTATTGTAATATAATCAACTACAATTACCGTAACCATCGTACTCTCAACCCTATTGTAGCGCCATAACCCACGGTAATTGTACTCGTCTATTGTGCACATACGGAAGTTGGGTGTTACATTTTGGCACGTCATATGTTCTGTGAATGTTATATGCTCGTTCCTAATTAACTTCCGTATTTAATAAGTTTTTGGAAACGCGTGCAGCATTTTACTTTATGTTCTGCTCTGCTTGAGGCTCGCTTGGTAGGAGGTTAAGGCTGGTAAAAGTGGAAGGTGGGGGGGGTGTCACAGGGAGGGGGGGGATGGGGAAGGGAGAGGGAAGGTGGTGTAATTGAAAAGGGGGAAGTAGGGGTAAGGGAGTAAAAAGAGACACTGGTGTAGAGAGGAGGGAAGGGGTAAAAGATAGAGAAAGAGGGGGGGGAAGGATGGGGAGGGGAGGGGGGGGCATAAAGTAAGACAGACCCTAAGGCGAAAGTGTGAAAGGGAGGAGAACAGAGAAAGGGGCAGGGTTTAATCGCTGTTTTACAGAGAAAAAGAAACGTGATTGGAGAGTAATCATTGTGATACGTTTACAGTAATCAATATTACTCGACTTTTTTTAGTTCAAAAAAATTAAAAAGTTTTTGCCGTTTTTTAATTTTAATACAGTTTTTAAGCATTTTATGTTATTTAAGCTTAATTTTTTAAGCCAAAAAGAACTTTTTAAAAAAGTGGTAGTTCAGTGGAAGATTTTCAGTGGAAATTCCACTAGAAATCTTCCACTTGACTTCCACTTTTAAAAATTGTTAAAAATGTGTTTTTAAGTCATTTTAAAACATTTTCAAAATGGAAGTTCTGTGGAAGATTTTTAGTGCAAATTACATTACAAATCTTCCACTCAACTTCCACTTTTTAAAAGACGATTTTTTGGGTTTTGTAAACAAAGTTTTTGATATTTTTTGATTGACCTTGATTTTTTATTGATTGTTTTATCATTTTTACCTATTTGTTGCTTATTTTTTACATTTTTGGCTTTTGCAGCTTGCGAGTGCCATTTTATACGATGAATTGTGTTTTTAATGATATCTTTTGCCATTTTAAACCTAAATTCGTTTTAGGTACAAATGTGACGTGAATAATCAATACGTGATCATAAATTTCATTTGTATTGACTTAGGTCTATTAAATTTTGTCGTATTTGCAGGATGTTTCAAAGCCAGTCCAGTCCGATCACGCTGAAAAGTGATTCGCCCTTCTCATCCGGCATCGATCTCTGCGTGGTTTGTGGCGACAAAGCCATTGGCAAGCATTATGGAGCAACTAGTTGCAATGGTTGCAAAGGATTCTTCAGACGAAGGTAAGGGGTTTATAAATTTTAAAAAATTTTAAAAAATTTTGGAAAGAAAGTTTCTGCACTTTTTTAAAAATTTTTTTGAATTTTGTGAAAAAAAAATATTTGTAAAGAAAGTTCTTGCCATTTTTCGTTTTGTAAAGGAAGTTTTTGCAATTTTATTACTTGTAAAGAAAGTTTTTGCTAAATTCAAATTTCACTATAAATACGTCCATATTTTTACCAATTTGCGCGTGTAAACAAAGTTCCTGCATTCCGCAAAATATTGACAAAACAAGTACAACAGCGATCCAAGTGTTTACTTTCCGTTCATCCTACCGTACCTCATGTGATTTGTTTAAACCGCAAAGAATTTTCAAAAAACATTAAAAAGTTGCTCGCGCGGCGCGAGAGAGCACGCCGCGGCGAGAGGGCGGGTCAGAGAAAGACGAAAGAACAGTCTCGCGATGACGTCACGAGAAGCGGTCGCTCTCTGCGAACGTGATTTCCCCACCACAAATCAACGTTCGATTTGAAACTTGGTCAGAGACAAAATGCTAGCGACGAGTGATGAAATCGGCGTAGTGTAAGCAAAGTTCTTGCGGAAAGTTGCAAACCTGGAACTGGAAAGAAAGTTCTTGCGGAAAATTTCAAAATATTAAAAAAAATGGCAAGAACTTTCTTTACAAAACAAAAAATGACAAGAACTTTCTTTACAAAACAGAAAATGGCAAGAACTTTCTTTACAAACTAAAAATGGCAATAACTTTCTTTACAAAACCAAAAATAGCAAGAACTTTTGTTACAAAACTAAAAATGGCAAAAACTTTATTTACAAACCATAAAATGGCAAAAACTTTCTTTACAAAACATATTTTTCTATTTTTTAATTTAAAAAAATTTTAATTTTAAAAATTTTTCAGTGTCTGGCAGAACCTCCAGTACACCTGTCGCTTCAACAAACAATGTAAAGTGGACAAGGACCACCGTAACGCCTGTCGTTACTGTCGTTTCCAAAAATGCCTGGCCGACGGTATGAAGCCGGAGGCGATTCAGAACGAACGTGACCGCATCGGCTCCACGAAGCGAAGCCGGAAGCGGACACAAGAAGCCGGCTCACCCGATCTCTTCAATATTCCCATCGAGTCACCCTTGGACGAACGTCACAGTGACACCGATGACGCTTCTACATCGTCAACGTTCGCTACAACCGAGAATCAGAGGAATTGCATCGAGACGCTTCACAACATCGAGATGAAGGTGAACTCGAATCTGAAGGAGAAGATTGGCAGTTGCAGTGTCAGACAGTTAGGTATCCAGACTATCATCGACTGGACCAACATGCTCGCTCCACTGTCAGATCTGCCTTTTAATGATAGAGTAAGTTGGGTTTGGGGTTATTGAGGTAGTGGTTTTGAGAAGGTAGGGTAAAATTGAAAAAAGTAGGGTAGGGCGGGGTAAAATTATAAAATGTAGGGTAGGGCGGAATAAAATCAAAAAAGGTAGGGTAGGGCGGGGAGGGGGTAAAATAAAAAAAAGGTAGGGTAGGGGGGGAGGTAAAATTAAAAAAGGTAGTGTAGGTTAAGGTTAAAATAGTAGGGTGGGGCAAGGGAGAAAAGACGGTAGGGTAAAAAATATTTATAGAAGTGGGGGTGTTGAAAAATGCGAAGGGGGGGGTGGGGAGTGTAGGGTAAACAAGCTCGGTAGATAGGGTAAGGTAGGGTAGGGAGGATAAGTAGGGTAAGGTAGGGTAATGCAAGGTAGGGTACGGTACGGTAGATTTTTTAACTTAAAAAAATTTTTTTGGGGGTGGATTTTTAAAAATTTTTTAATCTTAAGAAAGTAATTCTCCAAACTTTCAGGTAAAGATTCTAAATTCTTCAACAAACGCCTTTGCCCTTCTCAACGTGCTCCAACGTTCCCAAAACTCAAACCACCTTATCATGCCAGACAACTCAGCCCTCTCCTTATCAGTACTGTACTCTGCCGATGTCTCGGTTATTATCAATCGTATCATGGACGAGTTACTGACCCCACTTCGTCGTATGTCAGTTGAGAACGTTGAGTTCTCGGCTCTGAAGGCCTTGATCCTACTCCAACCCGACCTCAGCGGCTTATCAGTGATGAGTCGGGACCGGATCCGAGAAGCTCGTGACCAACTGAACAAGGCCTTCTTCGTGCAACTCAGTACGAAGTACGGTCCTTTGGAAGCGTCGTTGAGACTGTCAAACCTACTGTTGACCATACCTGCCGTGTTTAACATCGGCGTCCTTATCAATGAATGCCCCCAAATGTCACAACTTTTCGGTCTGAGTACCAATGACACTAGTCCAGACTACAAAAAAGATGGCACTGAACTGTTCAGTAATGAAGTGTTGCTAGCTGCTCAGATTTTGGCTAGCCAACGCCAACAAAACTTTGTCAATGTTAGTGTGCCGAGCACTAGCACCTTCACTACTAGTACTAATGGTTCTTTGGGCATTGGAAATTTACCCGTAAGTAATATTTTAATATTGTGGTAAGAACTTCCTTTAAAAAACTAAAAAACGCAAGAACTTTCTTTACAAAACCGAAAATGGAAAGAACTTTCTTTACGAAACAAAAAATGCCATTATTTATTAATAGATAACCCCAAAATGCAAAAACTTTCTTTACACTATCATAAAACTTCAAAAAATTCGTTCCCACCCAGTGTTCCTCGAACTTTTTATAATCAAGCGCACCGTCGGTTAACTTGCCAGATCGGACGGGATCGCGCTTTCGCACTGTGCAAAACAGACAAATGGCGCTGCACTGTGCAGAAAATAATTTTTTGGCAATAACTTTGCTTACAACGATCTAAAATGGCATTTTTAAAAATTTTTGAGTTTTGGAAGGAACTTTCTTTACAAATTTTATTCAAAATTTTTAGTTTAAAATTTTTTTTGTAAATTTGCAAAAACTTTGTTTACAGGCGAAAAATGGTTGTTAAAATTAAAAAATATAAACAGTTGTCGTATCTAAATATTATTATCGACAAATAATTAACTTTGTCACATTTCCAGATTTTCTCCGCCCCTCAAACTCAGCTCCAGTTCTCCGACTTGAGTACCATTAAGAACTTTCTCAGCTGAACATGACATTAATTCTTAGACTAGAATCACATTTTGATCACATATTTTTATTCATTTTAAAAATATTTTCCATTTTCAATTGTTTTACTATCACATTTACACAAAACGGCCCAAATCTACGTTAAAACCCGGTGTTTCTCGTGTACATATACATGTCATTGTCGTATCTACATCATCACATAGACGAATATTTAGTCATTTTATTGTATTTTGCAGTATTTTACGTCATTTTCGAGGTTTACGACAATTTTTATGGTGATTCTGTTTTTGGTACTTTTAGTACTATATAGTACCATGTGGTACTGTATGGTACTATGTTGTATTAGAAGACTTTTTATTTATAAAATGTTGAAAAATAGCTCCATTTAACATTTTTTATCATTTGGTACTATCTGGTACCATTGGTACAACATGGTACTCTTTAGTACCAAAAGTACCATTCACCAACAATTCACTATAAATATTGTCGTAGACCTTTATATAATATTTATTGTTGTACATCAACTGTATCCCACGTCCAAAAACCATTGTGTTCTTCACAAATGCCATGGTATCTCGTATTTTGTTAATAATTACCGTGAAAATAAACTTGTTATATTACAAAAATGGCAAGAACTTTCTTTACAACTCAATAAATGGCAAGAACTTTGTTTACAAAACAAAAAAAAGCAGGAACTTTGTTTCCAAAACACAAAATGGCAAGAACTTTCTTTACAAAACAAAAAATGGCAAGAACTTTCTTTCCAGACTATCAAATAAAGGTTAAAACCAACCTACAACAATATCAAATCTAAGAATTTATTCGAATAACCGCTGCTATGATTAGTTCATTTCTTGACTGAAGCACTGGATTGGTTTTTTGGTTCGACTGGTGCACTAGGCTGATTTTTAAGGTCAGAGGGCGTAGTCTTTGGATCAGCTGGTACAGTTTTCGCCGGAATTGAAAGTTTTGGGTCTGGCTGATTTTTTGGTCCATCTGGTGTTGTAGGCTGAGCTTTGGGATCGGTTGGTGTGGTTTGTGGTTTTGGATCGGGTTTGGTGTCAATTGGCTGAACCTTTGGACTTGTGGCCTGGATATTGAAATTGTTACCACACGTGGAAAAAACTTTGTTTACAAAGCAAAAACTAACTTTACAGTACCCCATCCTGCCCTACCCTACATTACCCTACCTTACCCCACCCTATCCTACCATACCCTATCCTACCACAGTCTACTTGTCCTAGACCTACTCTATTAATACTACCTTCGCTATACAGTAATCAATGTTCCGTGGAGTGCTTTACCGTACCCATCGTTACCTTAGGATATCCTCCGTTAGCCTACTGTAACTGTCCCATCGCTTTTATATAACAAAGACCGTAGCCCTACCGTAACCATAACCTACCTTTCCATACACGGTACAGTACCTCATTCTACCCTACGTTACAGTACCCTACCCTACCTACTTTACATTACAGTACCCAACCCTACAATACAGTATCCAACCCTACCGTAACGTAACCATACCTTACCGTACACAGTACAGTACCTTACTCTAACCTACGATACAGTACCCTACCCTACTTTACATTACAGTACACAACCCTACAATACAGTATCCAACCCTACCGTACCGTAACCTACCCTATCCAAACCTACCTTACCCTGCCCAATCCTACTCTACTTCATCATAAACCGCAAAAACTTTCTTTCCAAGCCACAAAACATCAAAAAACAGCCTTACCTTTGGACTAGTCGCCGAAACCAGAGCCTTTCCCTCATTACCTCCAGCCTTCTGCCCCACCGCCACATTCTTTACATTGACCTCAACCTTAACTTCAGTTGGCTGTGGCTTAGGACTAGTCGTTGGTGCAGTTGGTACCTTTACACTTGTAGCCATTGGTTCTACCCTCACCTCGGCGGACTGAACTTTTGGACTGTTCGCGTTCGACTTGGGGTCGGTAATGTCACTTGTGGTGGAGCGTGAGGTCATGGAACTGGTTGTTGTGGTACCGGTGGGACTGCCGGTGATTATGCGGCTCGATTCCTTGGTCGACTTGCCACTGGTCGAGCTGTGGGTGACTTCTTTGTCCGAATATTGTGTCATCTCAGTCTGCGGTTTTTGGACTAGCCGCCTGATTTTCGCTGGACTAGCTGTTTTTGGCGCAGTTTTGGGTGTTGTTGGTCCATTTTTTGCTTCTGGTACACTTTTTGGTGTTCCTGGTCCACTTTTCCCCTTCTGGTGTACTATTCGTTGTTCCTGGTCCCCCCTTTTGGTAATTCTGGTCCACTTTTCGTTTCTGGTACACCTTTTGGCGTTGTTGGTCCACTTTTTGGTCCGCTTAGTAATTCTGCCCCACTTTTAGGTGTGCCCGTATCACTTTTTGTTTCTGCTGCTTTTGGTACCAACTTGTCGGCCGATGGCCCAACTTTCGGTGCTGGACTGGTCTTCTCAGTCGGACTTGGCTTAGGACTAGCCAGTTTATTCTTTGGTACTGAAACCGTTTTTCTACTCTGATCTGCACCACCTTTGCCATCTTGAACAGTACTACTTTTTCCATCTTGAACTGCACCACCTTTGATATCATGAACAGTACCACCTTTATCATTTTGAACTGCACCACCTTTGCCTTCCGGAACGGTACGACTTTTGGCATCTTGACTTGATGCACTTTTTGGTACCGGACTAGTCGCTTCTGTCTGTTTTGATGCATTTGGTACTTCTGTCCCACTTTTTGATGTGCCTGGTTCACTTTTTGTTTCTGGTACTTTTGGTACCATTTTGTCGGCTTTTGGTACTGAATCAGACTTTTGAGTCGGACCTGGACCAGCTGGTTCATTTTTTAGTAATGGAGCCGTTTTTCCGCTTTGATCTGCACCACCTTTGCCATCTTGAACTGTACCAGTTTTGCCATCTTGAACTGCACCACCTTTGCCATCTACAACTGTACCACCTTTGCCTTCTTGAACTGCACCACCTTTGCCATCTACAACTGTACCATCTTTGCCATCTTGAACTGCACCAGTTTTGCCATCTTGAACTGCAAAACCTTTACCATCTTGAACTGAACCACCTTTGACATCTTGAACCGTACCACCTTTACTATCTTGAACTGTACCATTTTTGGCATCTTGATCTGATGCACTTTTCGGGGCTGGACTAGTCGATTCTGGTTGTTTTGGTATATTTTTTGGTACTAAACTAGTGCTCACTGAACTACGCACGCTTGGTGCATTTTTTGGTGCTTTACTAGATACGTCAGGTGGTGCACTTTTCGGAGATTTACTGGATGCCTCAACTGGTGCAGTTTTAGCTACAGTAACATTGTTGTCAGTCTTAACTTTGGTACTTTTATCAGGCTGAGCTGTACCAGACTTGTCCGCTTGGGTTGTACCAGACTTGTCCGCTTGAGGTGTACTAGACTTGTCCGCTTGAGATGTACCAGACTTGTCCGCTTGAGGTGTACTAGACTTGTCCGCTTGAGATGTAATATTCTTGTCCGGTGTACCACTTTTGTCACGTTGAGGTGTACCACTTTTGCTGTTCTGGACCATCAAACTTTTGTTAGCTGGTACCGCTTTGTCCAACCTCTCAACCGGTACCAACTTGCCTTTCTGGTCCCTCCTGTTTGGTACTCCTTTCTTCTCTGACATTATTGATATCTCCTTCTCTGATATCACTGGTCCTTCTCTGTCCGACATTACTGGTACCTCTCTCTCCGACATGATTGGTACCTCTTTCTCCGAGACGGCCGGTTTCTCCACTTTGTCATCATCGTGGTATGAGAATGACATTTCCAGCTGGCTAACGGTCGTAGTGGTCCTAGTCCTGGTTTCGGTTGTTTTGAGTTTAGTATTGACTTCCGGCCCCACCGGTACCAGTTTACCATCGTCTTTCATCTTTTTGCTCGATTTTTGTTTGGTTTTCGAGGTTTTGTGCTTCTTTCGCCGTTGGGGCGACTTCTCCATGCCTGACACGTTCTAAAATACGAAATTTTAAATTTTTAAAATTGGACTTAAAAAAAATTAATTTAAAATTTATAAAAAATATGCATTGCTTTCATTTAAGCCTATTTTTACAGCCTTGTACTTCAAAACCACCATTAAAGGCCATAAAAACAGAATGCCAAACTTGGCGGGAAAATCAAAATTCAAAAATGTAAAATCCGCCCAATTGAAGAATCGGTTAAAATGTTTCATCAAAAACGCATTTCCACACTAAGAAATACAAGATTTTTTAGATTTTTAGCCCTAAAACACAATGCCAATTTCGGCGGAAAAATTAAAATTCAGAAATCAAAACTCAAAATAATCATTTTTTATGTCTAAAACAAGCAAAAAATGGGCTTTGGTAGTTACTACTTATATAAAATGTCATTTTCCGCTATTTTCGACCTTTGAAACACAATGCCAAATTTGGCGGGAAAAATTCAATTCAAAAATGAACATTTAAAATAATCATTTTTGATGTCTATAACAAGTAAAAAACTGTTTTTAGTAGTGATTACTAACATAAAATTTAATTTTTTATCATTAAAAGCCCTTACAACACGATGCCAAAATTGGCGGGATAATAAAAATACAAATTTTTAGTCCAAAGCCCATAATAGTCCAAAACCCACGGCCCTACCTTAATTTTGTGCGATTTACTCGACTCTCCCGGCTCCACAGTAGTCGTCCATTGTGATCTGTAAGAGAAAGCGGCCCGTTTCGACTGCACCTCATCCTCATCGGCCGCGTAGTCCTCGACCTTGGAGACGGCTTCGCCCTCAACCTTATCACTGTCCTTTTTTGGCTCCGGTGCAGACTTTGGAGTTGGGAGCTTCTTTTTCTGCTCCTGCAGCTTCTTCAGTTTCCGTTGTTTATCCAGTTCTCGCATCCGTTCGTCGGTGGCGGGCTGGATTGGCGCCGCCACCTCTTCGAAGATTGTCGCTTCTTTTTCGTCATCCACCTAAAGTTTGAATCATCATCTACCTTAACATAAAATAATAATAAAACAGAAAAGAACTTACCACTCGAGTCGGTTTTATGGTCTTCTTCGCTTTATGTACTTTGCTAACCTTTTGACCCTTGTCCATGACGTCAAGGTTCCACAACGGTTAAACTCGACCGGTCGGTATGAAACAATTATTCAAATAAAGCGATTTTTGTTCAAAGTTTTAAAAAGCTGTTCTAAAAATAAGAACTTCAAAAAAGATGAAAAACAATCTAAAAACAACGGTCATTTCAATATTATCCATGGCATCAGAACATCATGAATAACATAAACCAGACCAACAAGATTTAACCAACTGACTTTTTAAAATATTTTTCAATTTTTGTAAAGAAAGTTTCTTCAGAATCTCAAAAATGTTTAAAAACGGCATTTTAGGTCATTTTAAACAAATTTATTGCCAAAAACTTAATTTCTGCACCGTGCAGCGTCATTTGCCTGCTTTGCACAGTGCGAAAGCGCGGTCCCGTCCGATCTGGCAAGTTAAGCAACGGTGCGCTTGATTATAAAAAGTTCCAGAAACGCTGGGTGCAAACAATATTATTAGCTTTGTAAAATACTAGAAGCTATTTTTTTTACAAGTTTTAATATTTTTAACTATAAATAATGTCGTTTTTTCAACAAATTGTGTTCAGCTTACATCAAATTTCCGCCGTTCCAAATGTAAAATGATTTATTGTTATTTACAAGATAAATAGAAGTTTAGCAAAGTATAAAACACAGTATTTACAAAAAAACAGCACAACATATTTAAAAAAGTTTACAAAATACAGTACTATTATAGTACTATTATTGCATATTTAGTACTACTAGAGCACTATTTTAAAGACTTTTTAATCAAAAAATAGGTAACGAAAGAGCATAGTAAACCGGAATGTGAAAGTAGAGATTAGATAGTAACAATAATATTGCTATAAATTCAAATAGGTCTAAATAATTGAAATCACAGTTAAATAACGGTCCTTGAGAACGTGAGATACTATTTTGTACTACTTAGTACCATATAGTACTGACACAAACATTTTTGTGCTAATTAGTACCAAACTGACAGTTTTTGAGTTCTAGATAGTACACAAGTCCTACATCGTAATATACTATATTATATCGTACTATACAGTACTAGATCGTACAAAAATACTATATAATACTATACAGTACGTATATAAATTCTTTTGCGCTAATTAGTACCACAAGAATACTTTCCTAGTACTAGATAGTACAAAAAATACTATATCGTATTATACAGTGCTATCACAGTACCATAGTACAAAACAGTACGTTTACAATATCCTGAGCAGTAAAAAAAGACCAATAGATGTCAGAAGACAACCAATAGTCCTACTGGTACCAGATCGTTGTTCTAGTAATTGAATTTTCACATCGTCCATTACTGCATGATCATTACAGTTACTATAGGCACTTCCTTCGTACTGAAATTAGAAATTTTTATAATTTAATGTAAAATACGGAAGACAGTAGTAATCTACTTTGGATTGTAAAGAAAGTTGTTGCCATTTGCCTCTTTTGCCAATTTTAAAATTTTAGCGGAATCATCGTATAAAATGTCCCCCGCAGCCTGCAGACTTTTAAAGTCTTAAAGTATGCCGTTTTTTAAAAATGTAAAGGAAGTTCTTGCAATTTTGAAGTTTGTAAAGAAAGTTCTTGCCATATTTTGTTTTGTAAAGAAAGTTCTTGCAAATTTGTGTTTTTTAAAAAAAGTTCTTGGCATTTTCGTTTTGTAAAGAATGTTCTTGCCATATTTTGTTTTGTAAACAAAATTCTTGCCATTTTTGCGTTGTAAAGAGAGTTTTAGCTGTTTTATCTCTTGTAAACAAAGTTCAAGCCATTTTCCACAAAAAACTTACATTATCTTCATCATCCGGGTTATCCGGATCAGGATTCAACTCTTCAAGCCCTGAGGCGTCAATTGACTCGGATTTGGCTGATTTTCCATCAAAAACGTTCAATAACTGTTGTCTTAGTGAGTGTAATGAAAGCCTTTCATCAATAAATGTCTCTGAAATATTTTAAAATTTCATTTTAGACTAGATGTCAATTAAAAATGGCAGAAAAATTGATTTTTAGGTAACAAGACTTACCTTTGCTCAAATTCAAATTAAAACCCTTAAATTCAGGATTATATCGTTGAGGATTGATCCCACTGGCCACAACAGCCTTCTTATAACCGCTCGTTGTTTCACCGTTCCAGCACTGTTCTCCAGCGTTCTGTGCAACTTGGCCATCGGAGCAGATGGCGGTTGGAAGAAGACGCCAGGCTCCTTTCATCAAAATTAGCTAAAAATGAATATTATATTAGTAATAAAAAAGCCATTTTACATCATCATATTTATTTTTTTACTTTTTTACTTTGCCGTAAACAAACAGTACAGCGTTGTAAATGAACAGACACGATATTATTCTGGTATGACATTTCACTGTATTCTGAAATATTTAAAAACTATTGCTTCATTGTAAACAAAATTATTGCCAAAACGTTAATTTCCGCACCGTGCGATTTCAAAAATGATGTTTTCTGTCCTTTTGTAAACAAAGTTATTGCGCTTTTTCAAAAAAAAACAGCTCAGGCTGTAATACTATATAAAACCTTTAAAAATGTAAAGAAAGTTTCTTCAAAATCTCAAAAATCTTCAAAAATGCCGTTTTACATCATTGTAAACAAATTTATTGCCAAAACATCAATTTCCGCACCGTGCAGCCCCATTTGCCTTCTTTGCACAGTGCGAAAGCGCGGTCCCGTCCGATCTGGCAAGTTAAGCAACGGTGCGCTTGATTATAAAAAGTTCGGGGAACACTGAGTGGAAACAAAGTTTTTGGGGTTTTGAGAGCATTGGAAAGAAAGTTTTTGCATTTTTTAAGTTTTGAGGTTATAAAAAATGCCATTTTGGGCTAATTTTAGGTATAAAAAGCCTTATTTTTCATAATTTCTAGCGTTTTTCAAAGAAAATTAGTCAAAACTTGGTCTAAAATGCCATTTGCAAGCACAACCTAGTATCAAAATAGTGCTTATGCCTTTCCAAAACCTACCCTATCATTAAATCGACCAATTTCCCTCTTTAATCCATCGCCTTTTCGATATAAACTTGTCAAGCTCTCACTCAACCAACTCGGCCCCATATCGGGCGAATTCACAACGACCGGTCGATCCAAAACCGATTCCTCTGTAGCCCTTCTGAATCTCATTTTGGGCTCAAAACATTGAAATACGATTCGATTTGAGATGGTGGTACCACGCTCTTGAAACAGCATTATGGCCTCGGAGATCTGGATTGGTACTGGCGCTAACACATGATAGACATTGTTTGCTGACTTTAGACGACTTGAAATCAGCTGGAGTGTTTCTAAAATTGATTTTTAAGATTATTTATGCCTAATTTGTCGTTTTTCAAATTTAAAAAAATTGTTTTAGAACAGTTGAACAAAATACCAAAATTGGCGGGAAACTCAAAATTCAAAATTTTCTATTTATATACATCATTGGAGCCGTATTTTACAATAAAATTTACATATACAACCTTTTTAATATCGTATAAGACCATAAAAGCGAAAATGGCACCTTGAAACACTATGCCAAAATTGGCGGGAATATTAAACTTTGAAAATTTCTAAGCAAATGTTGTTTTTCATAGTATTTATGACAACTTCCACAGTTCCTAAAAGCTCCATAAACACATAAAAACTAAAATACTAACTTGAAACATAATGCCAAATTTGGCGGAAAAAAGGGAATTTGAATTTTTTTACAAAAAAAACGTAAATTTTCAAAACCTTAGAACAATTGCCGCATTTTACCCTTTAAATGACTCATTTTTCAATTTTCATACTGCTGCTATAACCCATATATCAACAGTAAACAGCAGTAATAAGCTTATAAAGGCTTATGTTCAGTGTAACATACGAAAAGATACCTTAAGACAGGTATTATTACAAAGTGGAGATTAGTCAGAATGTCGACAGACTGTGTTGCGCAATCGGCGGTCTTCTGAATTCGTTTTGACGGATCAGTCGGTATGCAAATATACGACTGTTTTTTGTAATTACCGGGCGATGACCTCTCAGCGGGACGTATACTTTGCACAGTAATTATACGCAGCGCATGATTAAAGACTCGGTAAGGTCATGTTCAGCTTACTATATAGGTTGTTATTATAAAATTAGGACAAAGTTATGACTAATTTTTTGAAAAATTAGACATTTTTTGAATGTTTTCATAAGTTGTCACATATTGGTGAAAAAATTCAAATTTCAATTTTCCCGCCAATTTTGGCATTATGTTTCAATTCAACATTTCAGTTCCAATGTGTTTACCTACCCTTTAACAACCGTGAAAATTGTTGAAAGTGCTGTGATAAGCAAATTTGGCCCTTGATTTTCAAATTTCAATTTTCCCGCCAATTTCGGCATAGTGTTTGAAAGTGTCATTTTCGCTCAAAATAGATTTTAAATTACTTAAAACTAAAAAATAACACTTAATAATTGATGAAACACGTTTATAACAAATTTACCTGTAAAAATTTTTAAATTTGAATTTTTCCGCCAATTTTGGCATAATGTTTCAAAGAGCTATTATCGCTCAAAATACATTTTAAATCAATTAAAATTATAAAATGTCACCTGATATCCGACATCGCACGTTTTTAGCTAATTTATTTTTAAAATTTTTCAAATTTCACTTTTCCCGCCATCTTTGGCATTCTGTTCAAATCCCCAATTTACCCCTAAAAATGAAAAATCTAATAACTCACCCATCAATCCAGTCCATTGGGGCTCAATTTCAGCGACTTCAGCGAAACAGCCGTTCAGTACGTTCAAACAAAACCCCATACAAGGCTTGGTCTTGACATTGATGCCACTACAAACATGACACTGCTTCATGTGTACCAGCTTGTTCACACATTCCGGCTTTAGCACCATTTTGTCACCCAGTCTTATCAGTAATTGTGACGCTTTCTCCAATGTCGAAATGGTCAGCTTCCAAATGGCAAAGGTGCGGTCCAGGAGTAGTGCCAGTTTGGCTGGGATCTGGCCAAACGGCTTCAACTGGCCCTGTAATCTGGCCATACAATGACGTTCGGCGTTGCTGATGTCACGCATTGGATTCATGAGACCAAATTCTATTAAAAAGATTTTTCGAAATAATAGGCCTAAGGCGCTTTTTAGGCTAGCCGAGGGGTCGTCCACCGCAAATTGCTCATCAATTTCGTCGAAAAAGTCGGAAAAGACCTGAAAATGACACTTTTAATACCTGAAAATAACTTTTTAAACTCAATTTTTCAATTTTCATAACCTTAAAATGACTTTTTTTCACTCTAAAAGCATTTTGAAAAGTTTTAAAAAGTGGAAGTTCAGTGGAAGATTTCCAGTGCAAAATACACTAAAAATCTTACACTTAACTTCCATTTTTATAAAAAGCTTAAAATGGTCAAAAAATGAACTTTTTAACACTTTTTTAAGAGTGGAATCTTGGTGGAAGATTTTTAGTGCAAATTACATTAAAAATCTTCCACTTGGCTTCCACTTTTTTTAAAAGTTAATTTTTTAGGTTTTGTAAAGAAAGTTCTTTCCATTATACGCTTTGTAAAGAAAGTTATTGCCATTTTTCAGTTTGGAAAGAAAGTTCTTGCCATTTTTTAAAATCTCATATTGACATGATATACTTGTGTACAATATGCAACAAGATACCATGTAATCCGATCACAGTAAACCGCATCTAATTTTAATTCAATAAGCGCCACTTATCCCCTTTTTCGAGCGCAGGGTGCGGCCTTGGGTGTGCACTTCTGAAGTGATATTTATGGGTTTGACATGTTTATGGTAGTAAACATGGGTATATTATGTATTGTAAAAGCATTAAATTTGCATATTTTTAAAATTTTGTGAAAAACGCAATAACTTTCTTTACAAAACAAAAAATGGCAAGAATTTTCTTTACAAATTTTTAAATGGCAAGAACTTTCTTTCCAAACAAAAAATGCCAATAACTTTCTTTACAGGCAATAAAATTGCAAGAACTTTCTTTAAAAAACAAAAAATTGCAAAAACTTTCTTTACGAGCCCCAAAATTTAAAAATAATATTACAGTAACCCAAAAACTCAACTTTAAAACCATAATTTAAACTTTAAAAAAAATCAACTTTTTCTACTGTAATCCCATCCACTTACCTTGGAATTGTCCCTATAAAACGAGCCATAAGTTTGGTGGAACATTCGGTCCAGCTGCCGTTCCGTGCTTCGTAAAGCGTCACGAAAGTGTTCTGAAAAGTTTCGAAATTAATGAACTGTGACATTATTTTATCGTCATTTTAATTTGCATAAAAATTTTTTTTTGATTTTTTTTAAATTAGCTTTTGCACGGTGCAAAACAATTGACTGCACAGTGCAAGCTTCTTCACTGCACCGTGCAAAATCTTGACATCGATGATACGACATGTTAATGAACAGGTAAAAAAATTACTTCGCAGTAAAAATAAGAGAATTTCAGTCATTTTAAAATGACTGTAATCAATATGCAAAAACTTTCTTTCCGCTGCCAAAAAATGGCAGTTCAAAATTTTGCACCGTGCAAAGAAGTTGACTGCACCGTGCAAGTCTTTTCATTGCACAGTGCAAGAGATTAAAAAATGGTAAAATACGGTAAGAAAAAATTTTAAATCAAAATTTAAGTATAAAAATATTAAAAACGCACTTCTGAATTCAGTAGCAAATTCGTCCAGTGAATTCCTCATGGTAACAACGTGTGATTGAACAAATTGTTCAATCTTCTGACGTGCAAACCGCTCCATGTCGGCTTCTATTAGTCTAGTACAACATGAGTGTTGTCCGTTCATCGGACAGTGGGTTAGATTTTCGGCTGAAAACTTAAAATTTAAAAAAATTCTACATTGCTCTACCCTACTTTACCCTACTATACCATACCCTACCCTTCACTATCTCATGCTAAGCCTAAAAACAAGTGCCTAAAAACGAGTATTTAAGCCCAAAAATGTGTACTTAAGCCTAAAATATGTACGTAAGCCTAAAATGAGTATCTAAGCCTAAAAAAATGTACTTAAGCCTAAAATGAGTACCTAAGCCTAAAAAAATGTACTTAACCTAAAAATGAATACCTAAGCCCAAAAATGTGTACCTAAGCCTAGAAATGTGAATCTAAGCCTAAAAATGTGTATCTAAGCCTAATCTCGCACTACTTTACCCTAAATTTGAAAAATAGCAAGAACTTTCTTTACAACCCAAAAACCCTCCAAAACTTGTAAACCAAGTAGAAATGTCATCAAGAATGACTGTCACTCACCAATCCGAGGCTCATCTGGCATATCGCTCAAGTCATAAGCTGTCTGTTTCATAAACGCGCATGTCGATTGGCCATAACAATATGTTGAGCATAGTAAAAGTAATATTGGTATTATCCATGATATGCTGATTCCTGGTGGCCTCATGGCTAAAAATTTAAAATTTTAGAATTTTAGGTAAAATACGAACACCCACGCGTTGAGAACTATTATTGGTAAAGGTATCATATCTTATCATAATATTGGCATAAAATTGCAAATAGCAAACAAAATATGGCAAAAACTTTCTTTACAAAGCAAAAATGACAAGAACTTTCTTTACAAAACAAAAAATTGCAAGAACTTTCTTTACAAAACATAGAGTGGCAAGAAATTTCCTTACACAACAAAAATGGCAAGAACTTTCTTTACAAATCAAAAAATAGCAAGAACTTTCTTTACAAAACAAAAAAAGCTGTACCATCCCCCCCCCCCCCTCCTCCATTCCTACAACCCTCCTTTCTAATATTCCTCCCTACCATGCCCTTCCTACCAGCCCCGTCCCTACCATCCCTTAACTACCACCCCCCCCAATCCTTACCACCTTTCTACAATACTACCCCACTGCCTCCTCACCCCTCCACCCCCCCCCCTTCTCACCCATTAACCAGCCCAAACCTTACGTAACAACCCTTATCAACCAAGAATACCCAAAAAACTGCTCCATCAAACACTATTTCTCTCTCGTCTCCCTCTTTCGCCTTCTATTTCCTCTCGAAAATGCAATTATAAGCTCAGCTTCAGCGTAAATATAACCCCAAACATAACTTATATCAAATAATCTAGAGAAGCTCGTGGTAAATTAAGATTGAAGAGCATAATCGACTAGGAGGGGGGGGTTTGTTTGCACTAAATTAGCATAAAGTGCGGCTTGCGGTAAGTTTTAAGGCTTAAGAGTAACGTTTCAAAAAGAGAAATGGCAAGAACTTGCTTTACAAAAACAAAAATTGCAAGAACTTTCTTTACAAAACAGAAAATGGCAAGATATTTCTTTACAAAACAGAAAATGGCAAGATATTTCTTTACAAAACAAAAATTGCAAAAACTTTCTTTACAAGGCAATGCGTTTGGAAAAATTGTGAATTTTAGATAGTGCAGGCTGCGGTGGCCAAGTTATACGATGAAACATCTTGTTTTTGATAAGTAGACAAAACTTTCTTTACAATTTTGAAAAATTGCAAGAACTTTTTTTACAAAGTATGAAATGGCAAGAACTTCCTTTACAAACTGAAAAATGGTAAAAACTTTCTTAACAATATGAAAAATAGCAATAACTTTCTTTACAAGAATCAAAAATGATGTTTTTCGTTATGCTTGTACCAAATCGAAATCATAACACATTTACGGGGGGTCTAAATTTATTTACGACTGTAACCTTTATAATTTAGCCGACAAAGACCCTCAAACTAGTCGAGGGACCTTTAGTCAGTTTATTACTCTTTAGTCTTTCTCTTCTTTTATGTTAATTTCTTTACAATACTTTTTACTAAAAAGTTGAAAAACAGTAAAGAAATTACTTTTTTTATTTTATTTTTTTTATTTTTTGCCTTATTGTGTATATACGATACTGTAAACAAAGTTTTTGCAGATTAAAAAAGTTATTAAAAAAGCTAAATTTTAGCAAAGATCTGTAAAGAAAGTTCTTTCCAAAACTCAAAAATTTTCAAAAATGCCATTTCCTATTATTGTAAACAAAGTTATTGCCAAAAAGTTAATTTCTGCACCGTGCAGCGCCATTTGTCTGTTTTGCACAGTGCGAAAGCGCGGTCCCGTCCGATCTGGCAAGTTAAGCAACGGTGCGCTTGATTATAAAAAGTTCGAGGAATACTGGGTGGGAACAAAGTTTTTGGGGTTTTTAGGGCATTGGAAAGAAAATGTTTGTAATTTTTTAATTTTATGGTTATGAAAAATGGCATTATACAAAAAAGTTAAAAAGAGTTTTTTTGCATTTTGGGTTTTGTAAACAAAGTTCTTGCCATTTTATTGTCTGTAAAGAAATTTATTGCCATTTTGTGTTTTGTAAAGAAACTTCTTGCCATTTTATGTTTTGTAAACAAAGTTCTCTCCACAATATTAATCAATGTCTACTTTAATACACTGTTTCGCTCCTTATGTTCCTTTTCCTAAAAATGCCGACAAACGGCGCTTAGTGACACAAAAATGACTGGCCTTCTCTCTTTTCGGCGGGACTCTTAAACAATTTTCTTTTTGGGGTACCCTCCCTTCTTATGCAAATTTTCGAGCAAGGTAATTTGTTATAGAATAGGTGCGGTTTTTTGTGGAAAGGAACAGCAATTAATTAGAAGGGGTGTGAAAAGTAATGGCATTAATGTAAAAAATGGCAAGAACTTTCTTTACAAAACAAAAAATAGCAAGAACTTTCTTTACAAATCAAAAAATGGCAAGAACTTTCTTTACAAAACAAAAAATGGCAAGAACTTTCTTTACAAAACAAAAAATAGCAAGAACTTTCTTTACAAACTGAAAAATGGCAAAAACTTTCTTTACAAAACAAAAAATAGCAAGAACTTTCTTTACAAACTGAAAAATGGCAAAAACTTTCTTTACAAAACAAAAAATAGCAAGAACTTTCTTTACAAACTGAAAAATGGCAAAAACTTTCTTTACAAAACAAAAAATGGCAAGAACTTTCTTTACAAAACAAAAAATAGCAAGAACTTTCTTTACAAACTGAAAAATGGCAAAAACTTTCTTTACAAAACAAAAAATGGCAAGAACTTTCTTTACAAAACAAGAAACGCAAGAACTTTCTTTACAAAACAAGAAACGCAAGAACTTTCTTTACAAAACAAAAAATGGCAAGAACTTTCTTTACAAAATGAGAAATGGCAATAACTTTCATTCCAACCCATGAAACCCCCGAAAAATCAAAAAGAATATCAAAAACCGCAATAACTTTCTTTCCACTAGTATTACCGGCCAAATAATTCAAAATTTCAATTTTTCAAAACAAATTTTAAAAAAATTTTAAAACGTTCAAAAATGCCCTCAGATCACTTCCAAATTCAGTGTTTTGTATTGGCAAAAACCATGTCATTTCTCTTGTGACAGATCGAGAGAAACGCCATCTGTAGGTCAAAAGTGGGCGGAGCCTAACTTTTTCGTCTTTTTATCGCAATCGCGATTTTGGAGGGAAAAAGGGGCAAAAGTGCGAAACAAGAAAGAAAATCAAGATCTTTGTTTACAAAAGCAAGAAAACAAGAAAAACTCCTATAAAACCGCAAGAACTTTGTTTACAGATCAAAAAAGTTTGAAAATTGGCGAAAAATATCAAAAAATGCCATTTTTATTACACCAAAAGTAAAAATATGCAAAAACTTTCTTTCCAATACCATAAAAATCTCAAAAACTTTGTTTCCACCCAGTGTTTCTCGAACTTTTTATAATCAAGCGCACCGTTGCTTAACTTGCCAGATCGGACGGGATCGCGCTTTCGCACTGTGCAAAACAGACAAATGACGCTGCACGGTGCAGAAATATACTTTTTGGCAATAACTTTGTTTACAATGATGTAAAATGGCATTTTAATTTTTTTTTATTTTGGAAGAAACTTTCTTTACAAAATTTAAAAAATATTTTTAAAAATCCGTTTTTGATCTGTAAACAAAGTTTTTGCTACTTTTACGCAACTTATAACACTTGTAACAATGGTAATACAAAACCCTTTGATTTGACACCCATATCCATCAAAATCACCATAAACAAAAACGTTACATACCCAAAGTTACATACCCCAACATACGATCTATATAGCAACAGATCGTATGACAGGTCGGTAACTTTGCCAGTTGATATGTTCGGTATCTTTGTTACCTCACAATTTTACGCCCCATAACCGGTGTGATTAAAGCCGGAGCCGACGCGTATTTTAGTTCCCGATTCAGATCAAAAAACGAATGCCGAGAAGGTCCTTAGTGACAGCCGGAAATTAGTTTTTTTCGCGAAATTAGTATTGTAACATTTGTCAGGAGTCGAAAAGTAGTCGGTAAATTGTGGGAAAATATTTTCTTTACAAGGTCAGAGAAAGTCGTATTTTAAAAATTGCAAGAACTTTGTTTACAAAGCGAAAAATAACGAAAAACTGCCAAAAATCCCCAAAAAATGGCAAAAAATCCCAAAAATCTTTCGAAATACGCCTTAAAAATATAAACCAAAAAATCACCACGATTGCGGAAAATACTTTCTTTACAAGGTTAGAGAAAATCGTCTTTCAAAAATGGCATGAACTTTGTTTACAGAGCAAAAAATAACAAAAAAATGCCAAAAATACCCAAAAAATGGCCAAAAATCCCACAAAATTTCCAAAAACATCCCCTAAAAATAAATAAAAAAACCACCACAATTGTGGAGAAATACTTTCTTTACAAGGCCAACAAAATTCGTCTTTTAAAAATCGCAAGAACTTTGTTTACAAAGCAAAAAATAACGAAGAATTGACGAAAATGCCCAAAAAACGGCAAAAAAATCCTCAAAAAACCCAAAAAACACCCGCCAAAAACCAACAAAAAACAACCACCAAACCTCAAATTAAAGCCTATTGTCTTTCGCTCAATGTAAAAATATTTTTGCACCTGCATCGACCCAATTGTCTTGTGCAATCGCTTAAGAATTCGACCAATTCAAGGCAAATTAGCGCGCGCGACTTAAGCCGATTCCAAAATCCGACTGTTTGCGCAACTTTCAGTCCACTAGAAGTTGGAGAATATTGGACTGGATTAGGAGGGAAATGAGTTGACATAGTTCCGGAAGAAGATTTTAGGTTAAAAAGAAACAAACTTTGTTTACAATGAGAAAAATAGCAAAAATTTTGGTTTTTTCGCGAAAAGTTAAAAAAAATGCCATTTTATAACACACCATAATCGAAAAAATGCAAAAACTTTCTTTCCACTACCATAAAAACCCCAAAAACTTTGTTTTCACCCAATGTTCCTCGAACTTTTTATAATCAAGCGCACCGTTGCTTAACTTGCCAGATCGTGCGGGACCGCGCTTTCGCACTGTGCAAAGAAGACAAATAGCTCTGCACGGTGCAGAAATTGAAATTTTGGCAATAACTTTGTTTACAAAGACCTAAAATGACGTTTTTGAACATTTTTGAAATTTGGAAGAAACTTTCTTTACAAATTTTTAAAAAATCCGTTTTTTTTGCTTGATTTTGATAAAACCGCAATAACTATGTTTACAACGATACAAAACTGTCAAAATTATAAATAGTCGTACGAAGGAGTGTAAACTTTCTTTACAAAATTAAAAATGGCAAAAACTTTAGTTCCAAAACATGAAAAACTGAAAAAAGCTGTCATTTGTTACCTAAATTCAAAAGTTTGAAATTTAAAAAAATAAAAAAATTCTATTTCTAAGACAGCAAAAAAGATCTTACGTTTAGTTTTAATCGATTTGACTAACATAAGATCGGACTTTTCAAAACAAAGCGGATCTCTTCGAAATTTTACTACAAATTGGCCGTGAAATGGGGACTTTCACGCCAATTTCCTGTTTCGCTGACCTTGGCGGAAAAGTTTCGCAAATTAATTGACTGTACTTACTGTTGGTCGTACTAATCAAGGGCGCGGCAAAACTTTGTTTAAAACTTTTTTTTTAATTAAGGCTTGGGCTAAGACTAAGGCTAGGGCTAGGACTGAGGCTAAGCTAGACAGGCATAAGCTAGAGCAAAGATGCACAAGGCTAGGCAAAGCTAGTCAAAGCAAGCATAGGACAAGGTTGTACAAAGCTGAGCAAGGCTAGAGCAAGACTGGGACAAGCTAAACAAGGCTGCGTAAGGTTATGGCTAAGACAAAGCTAAGGCAAGGCTAGGGATCTGGACTAGGTCAAGGCTATGAATTTGGGCTAGGGCTAGGTCTCTGGGATATGGCTCTGAGCTAGGGCTCTCAGCTAGGGCTCTGGGCTAGGGCTCTGGGCTAGGGCTCTGGGCTAGGGCTCTGGGCTAGGGCTCTGGGCTAGGGCTCTGGGCTAGGTCTCTGGGATATCGCTCTAGGCTAGGGCTCTGGGCTAGGACTCTGGACTAGGGCTCTGGGCTAAGGCTCTGGGCTAGAGCTCTGGATTCGGCCTCTGTGCCAGAACTGTGGGCTAAGTAAAGACTAGATTAAGGTAAAAAAAAATTTAACGCATGGTTAAACAATAAAGAGTCATATAACAAGGTGTTATATTACTGGCACTTCCCATGCTATCCCCCCCCCCTCTTTTCTTCAGTTCGAATGTTAAGAGAGCCCGCCAATAATCCATAAATGGCGATGTCCAGGTGGGAAGAAGACTAGCGAGAGAAAGGGGGGACTTTTGTAAGGCACACTGACTCATCTTTCTTTAAAAAACGTCTCATATTCATTTTAAAATGTCTCTTAAAGTTTGGGCTTAACATTGTCTTAAATTAGGCGTGTTGTAACACAAATAAAGCCTATTCTAAACCTTATTTTAAGCCTAGCAAAAACTTTTTCTAAGCCAACATTAGCTACGATTTAAGCCTACAAAGTCCTGGTTAAAAGCCCCTATCGGATAGAACTGAAATTAGATTTACATTTAAGGCTTAGGTACACATTTTAGGCTTAAGTACACATTTTTAGGCCTAAGTACGTATTTGAGCCCCCCCCCCTCCTCTTAATCTTTAACCTTGATACCCCAAATCTGTTGATGCCATTCCTTTTCGCACATGCACAAACAATCATAAATAAATCGGTCGGCGACGTGTCGGGCGACAGATTTACAATCGACCGACCTCATCGGCGACACTTTTCAATCAAACTATAAGAAAGGATAAGCCTAAATTTAGCTATAAAAAGTAAATTGAAAAAAATTAGATAAAACTACACCGCCCAGTTTTTTTTCACAGAATATTACCCCGCCCAACATTTATCATAAAATTCTACCCCGCTCAACATTTACCTCAAAAGTATACCCCGTCCAACATTTATCATAAAATTCTACCCCGCTCAACATTTAACTCAAAAATCTACATCGCCTCACATTGATCATAAAACTCTACCCCGCCCAACATTTACCTCTAAATTCTACCCCGCCCAACACCTACCAACCCTGCCGACCCTAAAGTTTGCCTTACCTTACCATGCTCCTAAAACAAAAATCCTGCCCTGTTCACAAAAAAAGTTCAAAAAGCCCTACTCCATAAATACCATGCCCAAAATAAAAAAAATTAAAAATAAATTCTACCCCATCTCTCTCACTGAGTAATAAAAAATTATATAATGATCACCTTATCCACCATTTTGAGATCAGTAATTATAAATCACTCATATCATTACATATGACGCTAACTGATCCCCCCCCCCTCTCTCTCATCCCCCCTTCTCTTTCATCCCCCTTCTCCTTACCTACCTCTTACCCCACCCCCCCCTCCCCCAAATCCACACTTAATAATCGCAGAAACGAATGATATGCCCAGCGAGAATAAACTAAACGCTTTCCCCAGCCCATCCAGAAGTAACCCAATCCTTATTCGCGAAACGTAACAAGTCCATTCCATGTAATGACCATTTACCACACCTTTCAGAAACAAAAAAGGCTGAATGAGGGCCTTTCGCACGGCTTTTATTAAGTGCCGCTCCCACTTGTAGCCAACGCAAAAGGCCTTTATTACTAATCAGGGCTACTTTATATGAGTATTATGCTGTTTTTTATGAGTACTATGCTACTTTTCAATAATACTTTGACACTTTTATACATGATAGTATTAAAAATGGCAAAAACTTTCTTTAAAAAACAAAAAATGGCAAGAACTTTCTTTACAAAACAAAAACAGGCAAGAACTTTCTTTACATAACAAAAAATGGCAAGAACTTTCTTTACAAAACAAAAAATGGCAAAAACTTTCTTTACAAAACAAAAAATGGCAAAAACTTTCTTTACAAAACAAAACCTTTTCATACCTAAAAATCACCAAAAAAGTTTGTTTACATCCCCAAAAACTGCAAAAAACTGCTTTTCATAACTAAAATAATCTAAAAATGCCATTCTTTATCATTCCCAAAACCACAAAATGCAAAAACTTTCTTTCCACTACCCTAAAACCCTCAAAACCTTTGTTCCCACCCAGTGTTCCTCGAACTTTCTTTAATCAAACGCACCGTTGCTTAACTTGCCAGATCGGACGGGACCGCGCTTTCGCACTGTGCAAAAAGGTCAAATGGCGCTGCACTGTGCAAAAATTAATCTTTTGGCAATAACTTTGTTTACAATGATGCAAAATGGCATTTTTGATCATTTTTGAGATTTGGAAGGAACATTCTTTACAAACTTTTTTTAAATTTAAACTTTTTCATATTGAACTTTTTGAATTCCTCGGAATACGGTAAGCTGTCATACCAGAATAATATTCGTGTCTGTTCATTTACAACGCTGTAAAAACACCATACGTTTTACAGTTTTTGGTCGTATTCCATATAGTAAAGACCCGCAAAAGAAAAATAAATCGCAAATTGCATAACCGTTCCTTTTGGATAATTTTATTTTGTTTTATGGTATTTCATATAGAAATATTATATAAAAAAACCAAATCAACGATTTTGTAAAGGAAGTTCTTGCCATTAATTGTTTAGTAAAGAAAGTTCTTGCCATTTTTTGTTTTGTAAAGAAAGTTCTTGCCAGTTCATGCTTTGTAAACAAAGTTTTTGCCATTTTACGCTTTGTAAACAAAGTTCTTGCCATTTTCCTTCAAAACGCCCAAAACTAATCCAAAAATCAGTTTTATGTCCAAAAAGTTCAAATCAATCTCAAATCGCAAAATTTCTACAGTACTATCTACAGTATGCTACAGTAGACTACTTGGCAATGGCCTTGTCCAGATGTTTGGTGACTTCGGCAAAGATCTCATCGACTGATCCCTCGGCCTTGATCCGTACCAGTTTGCCCTTCTTCTCGTAGTGTGAGACCACTGGTGCCGTGGAGTCGTTGAAGGTCTTCAGACGCTTCTTGATCGTGTCGATATTGTCATCGGCACGGCCTGAGGTTTTAGCACGGTGGAGGAGACGTTTGACCAACGTGTCTTCGGAAACATCAAAGAAAATGGCTAGTTTGCTTTCTTGGATCTGAAATTAGAAGAATAAGCCTGAAATGTGCACCTACGCCTAAAAATGTTTACCTAAGCCTAAAAAAGCGTACCTAAGCCTAAAATGTGTACCTAAGCCTAAAATGTGTACCTAAGCCTAAAAATGTGTACCTAAGTCTAAAAATGTGTACCTAAGCCTAAAATGTATACCTAAGCCTAAAAAAGCGTACCTAAGCCTAAAATGTGTACCTAAGCCTAAAAATGTGTCCTTAAGCCTGAAGATGTGTTATTAAGCCTAAAAATGGCCCCTAAGCCTAAAATGTGTCCCTAAGCTTAAAATGCATACCTAAGCCTAAAATGTGTACCTAAACCTAAAATGTGTACCTAAGCCTAAAAATATTTACCTAAGCCTAAAATGCATACCTAAGCCTAAAATGAATATCTAAGCCTAAAAATATGTAGCTAAGTCTAAAATGTGTACTTAAGCCTAAAAGTGTGTACCTAAGCCTAGAAACGTGTATCTACGCCTAAAAATGTGTATCTAAGCCTAAAATGTGTACCTAACCCTAGAAATGTGTACCTAAGCCTAAAATGTGTACCTAAGCCTAAAATGTGTACCTAAGCCTAAAAATGTGAACCTAAGCCTAAAAATGCGTACCAAAATTTTAAACTTCAATGTTACTTTAAAACCCACCTCACTTTCGAACTGATCGCCCTGTTTCACTTCACGTGGGTATCCATCGATCAAGAACCCTTTGCTTCCCTTCGCCACCTCTTTTACCATAGCCTCTTTGATCAAGTCCAGCACAACCTCCAGTGGTACCAGTTGACCAGCTTCCATAATTTTCGTTAGTTCTGCACCACGTGGACTGCCTGACTTGACCTCATCTCTTAGCAAATCACCTGAACTCAAGTGAGATAGACCGTACTTGGCGACAATTTTCTCGCATTGTGTGCCTTTTCCTGAGCCGGGACCACCTGGAATGGGACTAGTAGGTATTGCCGGACAATGTAAAGACTGTTTTGGAATAAATTTCAAAGCTTAAGTTACAGTAATCCCGTTTAAAAGTTTAAAAAATCCAAAAAAATTGAATAAATAGAGCTTGCGTCACGTAAAAAATCATTTAAAAATTTTTTTTAAATAAAAGTTAAAAAGCAGTGCTAACATTAGATGCCACAGATACTCAGCCTACAGTAACAAAAACATATTTTCCAACTTTCATACTGTAACTTCCAAAAACAAGCTTTAAAATCCTAAAAGTAGGCTAAAACAAGGCCGAAAGCTAGTATGCATCTCAAAAAATGTCATTATTAAAAGTGCCTGCTGTGAAGATTGCTAACGTACAACTAAAATTCCGTTCTAAAGATACTAACCTTACTGTAACAAAAACTTATTTTCCAGTTTTCTTACTGTAACTTGCAAAAATGAGTCTTACAACTCAAAAAACGGCCAAAAATAAGCTTAAAAGTTGATGTGTACCTTAAATTATGCCATTTTTAACCTCATACTAAACATAAAACTATATTGTATCGCACATCATTGCTTAACCAATATCATAGCCTTTCATAATCATTAAATCATGTCCCATATAGATTACTGTAACCAAAGTTATGACAGATCAAAGTTGACTTACCAACAATGAAGAAGATGGGTACCTTGGCCTTCTTTAGTGGCTCCAAATCAATCTTTTTTCGTTCAATTGGTGCCTAAAACATTAAATATTGCCGCAATTGGTCAACCGAACGTATTTTACATACAAGATTTACCTCAAAATTAGGCCCAATATACTGTACGACAGTAGCCCAGTACATTAGGTTATATATTACTTAGATGACGTGTTTTAAGTATTAAAATATCAATTTTTAGATTAAAAAAAGTTGCAAAACATCAAAAAAAGTGTAGAAAATACAATTTTAGTGCTTGTTGACTACGAAATTGACAAAAAATGCTTCATAAAGTAACATTTACCTCGTTAACAAAGCCCCTACTTTTTAAGCCAAAAAAAAGTTAAACCCATTAAAGAATTAACTTAAAAAACGTTAAAATATGTTTTCTGTAACGTATTTTGTAGTTTTAAAGTATTTTTGGGTCACTTTTAAATAAAACATAAAATTTCATGTTTTCGTGGTGGAACCCAAAATTTTTCCATAAAAACCTTATTTTTTACTAAAAACCAAAAATTACATTCAAAAATAAATTTTATAGGCTCAGCTAACCTAATTCAAAGCCAAATAAAACCTAAAACTAATATATCATGTTTTCGTGGTAAGACCCACAATTTAAGAAATTTGTGTCAAATTATAATAAAAACTGAAAAGTATAGATTATATAGCCAATATTGAACCATGTTTCATAAAAATACTTCGCAATATATTTTACTTACCATGATAAGTGAGTTGATATGAACGTGAGAAGACGAGGAACAACCGGCCGCTTTTATTTTATCCAACTGAAATTGAACCTCAACGTTTTCAAAAACCCACGAAATTTGCGATCCGCACGTGTGAATTAACACACACAAACAGCAGTCAAGGTTAAGATATCAAAGGTTACTCTACACGTAAATTTTTGCTATGAAACAACACAAACCTAGCAAAAACATTGTTTACAGCCAGAAAATGCCATTTTTAATCATCAAAAAAAAATATAAAAAAGCAAAAACTTTCTTTCCAGTACTCTAAAAATCCAAAAAACTTTGATTCCACCCAGCGTTCCCTGAACTTTTAATAATCAAGCGCACCGTTGCTTAACTTGCCAGATCGGACGGGACCGCGCTTTCGCACTGTGCAACAAAGACAAATGGCTCTGCACAGTGCAAAACTTAATATTTTGGCAATAACTTTGTTTACTATGATGTAAAATTGCTCTTTTAAAAATTTTTGAGCTTTGGAAAGAACTTTCTTTACAATTTTCTTTAAAAACTTATAAATTTTAAACAAAATTAAAACAAAACCGCAATAACTTTGTTTACATCAAAAAAATTAAAAAGTAGTATCAAAGACCGAAAGCTAACTCAAAAAACGTATTTATTGTTCTCTATGCGTTCCAATTTGATATCTACATCTATATATATTAAATATATAGAATAACATTTCCAACAGTGCGCTTGAGTTAACAATGAGAAAAAGGAACGGCTACTATAATAAGAGCGAGAACTTTCATTTCGTGTAACAATTTTTAACAAAAAAAAAATTATTTTTAGGCTTGAAGTCTGAAATTACTCCTGCTTAAACCCACCTACCATAACTTTAAAAGGGCGGATACTAATAAGCCTAAATTTTGTACCTAATTGTAAGCCTAAAAATAAGTAACTAAGCCTAAAATCTCTAACTAATGCTAAGAATGTGCTCCTAAGCCTAAAATGTCTAACTATTCCTAAAAATGCGTTACTAAGCCTAAAAATGTGTACTTAAGCCTAAAATATTTACCTAAGCCTAAAAATGTGTACCTAAGCCTAAAATGTCTAACTAATCCTAAAAATGAGTACCTAAGTCTAAAATATTTACCTAAGCCTAAAATGCGTACCCAAGTTAAAAAAAGTGTTACAAAATTTAAGCCTAAAATAGTAAAAAACTGTCTAAAATTTTAAAAACGTAAAAAAATAAGGAAATAAATTTGTGGAACATTTAAAAGTTTTAAAGCCAAGTTTTTAATAAAACCTCTTTAAGCCGGATTAAGCCGAGAGAGAGAGACCGTTCGAATCCTTTCTTTTTCTCAATTCCCAGTCGGTTTTTTGCTCGGATAAAATAGAGAATGTTTACTTAGATCTTCTAAATCAAAATTTAGCTTTGAGACGTTCACTTGATACGATTTGAAACATCAAGTACGTTTATCATAATATGACGTAGCTAAGCCTAAACCTACTGAGCCTAAGCCTACTAAGCCTAAGCATATTAAGCCTAAGCCTACTAAGCCTAAGCCTACTGAGCCAAAGTTTACTAAGACTAAGCCTACATAACTTAAGTTTTCTAAGCCTAAGCCTACAAATCTTAAGCCTACTAAGCCTAAGCCTAAGACTACTAAGCACAAGACTACTACGCCTAAGCCAACTGAGCCTAAGCCTAAACCTGCTAAGCCTAAGACTACTAAGCCTAAGCCAACTGAGCCTAAGCCTACTCAGCCTAAGCCTACTAAGCCTAAGCATACGAAGCCTAAGCCTAATAATCTTAAGTCTACTAAGCCTAAGCCTACCAAGCCTAAGCCTACCAACCCTAAGCCTAAGACTACTAAACGTAAGCCTAATCACAAACCTTTAGTCCAGTTTCTTAAGTCTAAACTTAAGCCTGAACCATTTTTATTTAACTAAAAGTAAGCCTAACATAAAAAAATCTAGCTCATTAGCCAAAAACAGCAAATCAAGCCACAAATTATAATAACAAGATTAAAAAAAACTTACTAAATAAAAATTAAAAAGAAATAAAATGAAGCTCCACGGTAATATTTTGAATATTAGAATACCAAACTTAACAATAGCTTGTATGAGTAAAAATAGAAGTAATAGTAAAAAATAAAGCTCTTGTTAAGCTGTCCAGATCATGAGATCACTTTTATTCTGTTCGGCCATAAAACACTTGGCCGTCACAAAAAGCAATAACAGACAAAAAACTTTAAAATTGAGTAAAAAAAGTAATGGCAAAAAAATAAAATCGCCACTTGTTAAGTACTAAATTACTAAAAAAAACTTAGGCCTATTAAACCTAAGTAAGAGCGAGAACCTAAGCCTAAGGGGCTAAGCTTAAGACTACGTTCAAGCCTAATTCTAAGCTCCAAACTAAGCCTGAACCTATGCCAAGACTTGAAACATAAGCCTCAAGCTAAATCTAACCTTAAGCCTAAGCAACAGTCTTACCCTACGCTTAAGTGTACGCTTAAGCCTAGGCCAAAGCCTGGACATAAGCCTAAGCCTAATCTAAGCCTAGCCTAAGCCTAGCCTAGCCGAGGCTCAGACCTACACCTGACACTACGCCTAAGCTTAAAACTAAGCCAAAGCCTGAAATTGAAACTAAGCCTAAACCTAAGGGTAAGCCTAACCCCTCAAATTAAGCCTACCAAGCCATTAAAAACGTCATCTCCAAAATTTTCTCACAATTTAAAAAAATGTTTTACTAGCAAAGCTATAAAATTGTTAAAAACAAACGTAAAACAATGAAAATTGTAAAACAAAACAATAGAAAGCACATTTAAAATACAAAAAAATTTTGAAAAACAAAGTAATTATACCAAAAAAACGTAAAGTACAAACAAAAGTGGTGTTAAATTACCCAAAACTCCAAAAAAACAAAGAAAAAGTACTCTAAATTGTAGCAAAAAGCCTTTTCGCAAAGTTTTTTTCCCTTTTTCGATAATCAAAATTCCCATTTTTCTGGGCTCGGTTTCGAAACCGTGGAAATATGGAAACGCCGCCGGCTTCTTGCGGCCTTAAAACACCTCATTTTAGAAAAAGGGGAAATAAAATTAATTTATACACTACATATTGTTCATATTGTTTTAGACAACTGTTAGTTTTGTTGAAAAAGTCCAAGTTCAAAAAGTCCAAGTTATCAAACACAGAACAGAAAACGTCAAACACCTTAATATCAATATTTACGTCCTGACAAAATCATCAAAATCATCGGTACCAGCCACATCAATGAAATTGCGCGAATTCCTATATTATCCATGAAAAAACTCTTTTAAAGTGCGATAAAGCAAGTTTCAAAGCTTTTTAACACCTCATTCTAGACGTATTTTATAAAATTGACATTGAAAAACATTGAGAAAGCTTTAAGTATTTATCCATGTTACCAAAACTAGCAAAAATTTATATTATCCATGACAAAACTTGCTCACCGCAAGTTTCAATATCTCAATCTTGATGTATTCTACCAGTATTATTAAAAAACATTCAGAAAGCTTAAAATATTTCTCTACATTACAAAACCTGGCAAAAACCCTAAAAATCGTTCATTCCGAGCTAAAATTTGTATTATCCATGACACCACTCGCTCACAGCAGCTTTCAAAGCGTTTCAATAGCTCAATCTTTATGTATTTTGTCAAATTATTCTCAAAAAAAAATCCAAAAAGTCAAAAATATTACCACTCAATCAAAAAAAACTTTAAAATTGTTTATTCTGGGCAAAAAATTATATTACCCAAGCCAAATCTCACTCTCAGCAATATTGCTTTATATTGTTTTAGTTATGTCTTTAGGTGGATCAAAATTGAAGTTCGTCCATGATCTTATGTGTAAATTGAAAAATGCAGGTAAGATATTGTTTTAGGTTGCTTTTACTTTGAATTCAGATGAATAACATTGAAGTTCGGCCATGCTCTTGGGAATAAACTGAAGAATTCAGGTAAAATATTGTTTTAGGTTGTTTTTAGGTAAATAATGTTTAGTTTTGGTGAAAATCGTTGAAGTTAATAGACATTATTTGCTGTTGTAGACGTAGAAGGTCAACTTGCAGCTTCATATGGTGAATTCAGTTTAATATGGGTAACAGTAAGTTATTTTATTCGTTTTTTTCTTAATTTAGGTATATTATCCATGATAAAACATAAATCAGGCCCGTAGATGTTTTCAATCTACTATAATATCCGTTGAAACGACGGTTATGATGTTATTTATCCCGTGGAACAGCTATGACAGATCACGGAGAATTCTTCATAATGTAAGTCTTAGTCTTACACTTTATTTTTGTTTGTCTATAATTTAGGTAATATCGACACATCTTTTACGCAAAATAACCAATCGAAATGAACGACCAATGATTGCACCGTGAACATACGTACGTATGTATTAAAACAAGACGTATTAGGCATGTTTATATATAGAACGTCTGTGTAAACAGTTCTAAACCGGTTCAAAATATGTCATACATGATAAAAAAAGGTCATATAAAACAAGATACATCAATAGTGGATCATTATTAGTAACATTATGTGGCTACACGTCGTTGTCGGTGCATTTTTGGTGTTGCATGTTGCTGGAGGGTCATTTAAGGTTGGTGTTGAGAGAGTCTTAAGTAAGTGGCTTGAAGATGATTTTTTATGGTTTTGGATGTTTTATTGTTCTTTAGGCTTAAGATAAGTGAGATTGAAAGCTGTATGGTTAAGCTTGTAGGTTAAGGTTTGGCAGGCTAGGCTTAGTAGGCTTAGGCTTAATATTCATCGGTTTAATAGGCTTAGTAGGCTTAGGCTTAGTAGGCTCAGGCTTAGTAGGCTCAGGCTTAGTAGGCTTAGATTTAGTAGGCTTAGGCTTAGTAGGCTTAGGTTTAGTACGCTTAGGCTTAGTCTTAGTAGACTTAGGCTTAGTAGGCTCACATTTGGTATGTTTAGGCCCCTACACTTATGATTATTAGGCTTGGTATTTTCAAGTTTAGTAAGCTAGCGCGTTGTATGTGCTCTGTAAAGAAAGTTATTGTCTGTTTTTTTTAAATGTTGCGCAGAATTAAATGCAGTAAAATACCCTTACTCGCAGTAATTTGTTGGGTCGTTTTACACCGAGGCAAATATTCCAAAAGTGAACAATATTACATCAGAAAACGTTGCGTAATACGGTTTCTTGCAATTTACCTAAAGCTACCTAGTTATAATATCATGTTGGATAACATTAGTTATATTACGCAGTCGGTTCCTTTTCTTATTTCTTATCTTACGTTGACTAGGCAGGATACATTAAGGCAAAGTTGAGGTAAGGTAGGATAATATAGGGTAAGATAAGATAAGGTAGGGTAGAGTAAGTTAGTGTCAAGTAGAGTAGAATAGGGTCGGGATGTGTATGGCCTGGCTAAAACAAAAAAAAATTTCAAACCCCAACTTTCCAGCCAACAAATCAAGTGTAATATACGATATCTATGGTCAAAAGCTGAACAACCGTAACGATGTTGAGTACCGTGGCCGCATGACACTTGGTACACCACCACAAGAGTTTAATGTTGTGTTTGATACGGGATCCGACATTTTATGGGTACCACAACAAGGCTGTCAATCTAGTGGACCATTGGTTAAGAAGTGTCCTAGTACCGATGTTTATAATCCCAGTGCCTCTAGTACGGCCGAAAACACTGGAGATACGTTCTTTATTGAGTATGGTACTGGCTCGGCTAGAGGGCTGTATTATAAGGATATTTTTGCTGTAAGTGTAATGTTTTTAGGCTTGGGGTTTTGGGCTTAGGCTTTTAGGCTTAAGCTTTTAGGCTTAGGCTTTTAGGTTTAGGCTTTTAGTCTTAGGCTTTTAGGCTTGGGTTTTTTGTTTTAGGCTTTTCGGGTTAAGCATTTAGGCTTACAGTTTTAGGTTTAAGCCTTTAGGCTTAGGCTTTTAGGCTTAGGCTTTTAGGCTTAGGCTTTTAGGCTTTGCGCTTGCTTAGACTTTAATATCTATATCACGTGCTGAAAACATTAAAACTTCAGTTCGGATCAAAAAGCGGCTCCCAACTTCAAATGAAGAACAAGGTGACATTCGGAGCAGGACAGCAAATGAGATTCACAGACGAAGGCATTCTAGGCCTATCGTTCCCAGCTCCAGGCGAAAAAGGTACCAATATATTTGACGCCGCCGTGAAAGAAGGCTTAATGGACAAGCCTATCTTCACCGTATACATGAAGAAGTGTGATGGTCAATGTGAAGATGGCGGTGTCATCACATTCGGAGACTATGACAAAGAACATTGTTGTAATGTAAAGGGATATGCTGATATCATGCCAAATGAAGTTCATTGGAAGTTCAAGTTGGATGGAGCTAGAGGTATGCATAGGAGTCTCCTATTCGGGGAAAGTTTGAGAAATGGAAAGAAATTTCTTTACAACACTTAAAATAGAAAAGTGGCATAATTTATAAAAAATTGCAAAAACTTTGTTTCCACTACTATAAAAACCTGAAAAACTTAGTTTCTACCCAGTGTTCCTTGAAATTTTTTTAATCAAGCGCACCGTTGCTTAACTTGCCAGATCGGACGGGACCGCGCTTTCGCACTGTGCAAAAAAGACAAATGGCGCTGCACGGTGCAGAAATTAATTTTTTGACAATAACTTTGTTTACAATAATGTAAAATGGCATTTTTGAGTATTTTTGAGAATTGGAAAAAACTTTCTTTGCAATTTTTTTTAAAATTTTTAAAAATTTTAAATTTAAAAAAAAATTTAAATTTAAAAATTACAAATATTTAAAATTTTAACTATCAGACTATTAAAAACGTCACTTTCAGTCGACAACAGTCAACTATCCCCCGGTACAGCCATTACCGACACCGGTACCTCAGCCATCGTAGCACCACAAGCCGAGTACGATCGTATAGTGCAGGAAATTGGTGCAGTTGAAGACAATGGTGCCACTTTAATACCATGTAACAAAGATTTCAAACTTCATTTTACTATGGGTGGTCAAGAGTACCACGTACCCGGTAAACAGATGATGCTTAACATTGGAGATCCGAACATGTGCCAGTTGATGCTACAAGGAGCACCATACGACTTTTGGTTATTGGGCGATCCATTTATTAGACAATATTGTCAAATTCATGATTTTGCAGGCCAACGAGTTGGTTTTGCACCGGTAAAACAAAAATAAATCAATAGTTGCAGGATGTGGTGACTTAAATTTTTTTTTGAAATTTGTGGACTTTGTAAAGAAAAATGGCGTCATTTTTTGTTTTGTAAAGAAAGTGTTTGCTATGTTCTATAATTTGGTCAAAAATTGCGTTTTTTACTCTTTTGTAAAGAAAGTTATTGCGCTTTTTTTTAAAAATCAGTCCAAAGCTGTAATATTACAAAAATTTTTAAAATAACGTAAAGAAAGTTTCTTCCAAACTTCAAAAATCCAAAAAAACGCCATTTTAGGTTATTGTAAACAAAGTTATTACCAAAAAAATAATTTCTGCACGGTGCAGTGCCTATTTGTCTTCATTGCACAGTGCGAAAGCGCGGTCCCGTCCGATCTGGCAAGTTAAGCGACGGTGCGCTTGATTATAAAACGTTCGAGGAACACTGGATGGAAAGAAAGTTTTTATAGTTTTTAGGGTGATGGAACGAAAGTTTTTGCATTTTCTAATTTTGAAAATGATAAAAAAGTCGCATGTTTGGCTTTTAAATAATATTTTAGGTATAAAAACTCATTTTTTGGCCGTAAAGAAAGTTTTTGCTGTTTTTCCAACTTAAAAAAAGATTTTTCCGTAATATGTAGTGTACTCTAGGCACTTTAGATTTCGATTAAATTGAGATAAAATTAATTACCCGCTGGGTTGATGGATGGGCCGCTTAAATTCGCGTAAAAAACAAAATTTTTCATTTTTTCGGCTAGTACTTTCCGACAAACACGAATAAATCAAAAAATTTTAAGCCCGCGTTTTGAATATTTTGATACTGGTCAAATTTATGACTTTTTTCAAATTTTGAAGGCGTTTTGAAGTTTAAAATTTGAAAATTTTAAAATGTTGGCTTAGGTTTTGTAGGTTTAAGAGGCTTGGGCCCAGTAGGCTTATTGTTAGGTTTAGTAGACTTAGGATTAGTAGGCTTAGGCTTAGTAGGCTTAGGCTTAGTAGCCTTAGGCTTAGTAGGCTTAGGCTTAGTAGGCTTAGGCTTAGTAGGCTTAGGCTTAGTAGGCTTAGGCTTAGTAGGCTTAGGCTTAGTAGGCTTAAGCTTTTTAGTATGTCTTATCAGGCGCCCGTTTGAAAGCGGGCTAAAGAGTGGCAAAAACTTAGCTAAAGGAGGGCGAATTGGCTCGTTTTGAAAATTTTAAAATTTTAAAAAATCGTTTTAAATAGCCTGTGAAAAAATTTGTTTTTCTCGGATCGAATTTCGTTCCAAAATGTCGCCGGGCGAAGCGATAAAAAGCCTGGAAAGAAAGTCCTTGTCATCCGATATTCGTAAGGCTTATTTCTTGGTTTCCGGCGTGGCCAAGACATTATTTAAATTGCCCAAGAAATTATTGTTGGCGGTGGTACTTTATGATTTTTTGAGGAATTTAGGGGGTGGTAAAAAAATTTTTCGTTATTTTTTATTTTGTAAAGAAAGTTCTTGCCATTTTTTGTTCTGTAAAGAACGTTCTGGTCATTTTTTGTTTTGTAAAGAAAGTTCTTGCTATTTTGGCTTTGTAAAGAAAGTTTTTGTATATTTTTGTACTTTAAAGATACTGTAACTTTCAAAATTTAACATTTTTATTGTACACAAATATTAAAAGTGGCAAAACTAGATTAATTTCCATTTTTCTACATTTTACCGTACTTCCAATTTCAAAGGTAAAGTTGAAGCCGGTCTATACAGTACCGAACTGACAGTACAATCCAAATCCTTGTCCAAAATTTCTTGACCAGGGGTGATTTTAAAGTTTTTGACGATTGCAATCAAGGCTGATTTCATTTCGAGTTCAGCAAATCGCATTCCAACGCAATTCCGCGGCCCAATTCCAAATGGGATCCATTTCAACTGGTCAATTTTTTGAATATTCAGAAAACGATTCGGGTCGAATTTGAATGGCTCTGGCCACCATTCAGGGTTTTGGTGGAAGGATTGGACTGGTGCTTGAATGCAGATACCCTTTTTGAACTGAAAATACGGGTTTTGTTAGTTAAATTTGGGTCCCACCACGAAAACTTGAATTTTTTGGCATTATGTTTTAATTCTTAAGAATGATGTCAAAATCCATGTTAATACCAAATTATAGTAGTTTTAATTGTTTTTATTTCGCGTTTTATGATTTTTAATTTTGGTCCCACCACGAAAACATGATTTATTTTTTCAAGCTATAATTTTGTCTTTTATGCCAAAAACTCGTTAAATCAAGTATAAAAAAATCATTTTTACCTTAATTCCTTTAATTTCACAGTCTTCAACACATTCTCTGGATGAAAAGAAAACCACCGGTGAGTATCGCCTGAGGGTTTCTTTAACAACCGCATCCAAATATTGAAATTTGAAAATGTCTTCGTATTTCACTTTTTTTTCGCTTTCTATGTAATCATTGATTTCGTCGAACAATTGCTGTTGAACGTCTTGATGCTTGGATAGGGCGTATAAAGCGAAAGCCAGCGCTGTACTGGTCGTTTCATAGCCAGCTAGCAAAATGGCATAGCAATTTGATATTAATGTCATTTCGTGGAGTGGGGGCTTCTGAAATTTTTATTATTTTTTTAGCTTGACTTTACTCGCTACCCCCTACCCCCTACTCTCTACCCCCCTACCCCCCTACCCTCATAAAACTACCCCTGCCCTATAAAATTACCCCTACCCTACCCCTATAAAAATATATTTACCCCGAATCCATTACCCTACTGAACCCTACTTTGTCGTAGTATTATAGTGTCTAAGCTTACTGTAGCCATGCTACACGTTGTCTTCTTCTTTGTAAACAAAGTTTCTTACCTTTTGATTCATCTGTCTTTCCCTGTCTTGTTCTAAAAGTAATGATATCAGGTCTCTCCTATGGCCATTCCCACTTTCATTCTCAAAGTTTTGTCGTCTTTTGTCAACAATCTCCTTCAGACCGTGGATCAATACCTTCTCGGCCCGTCCTTCTTTAGTCCATGGTCGTATGAAATGTGACAATTTTGGTGACAACATCCCAACCAGTGTACCAAATGAGTCTTCTAGGCTTAGTTGCTGGAAAAATGTTCGTGTATTCGTGTAGAACTTGTCATTTTTGTCATTTATACAGTCCGTTTCCATGCCAAACGCGCATCGACCAATGATGTCTAGTGATAAGGACTGCAACTCACTGAAAGTAAAATTTAAAAAAATTTGAAATTTAAAAAAAAGATGAAAAATGCCATTTTAGAACGTTGAAATTAATTTTTTTTAAAAATTTTTTGTTCTGTAAACAAAGTTCTTGCGGTTTTCTCAAAGCCAAGCAAAAACCCCTAACTTTTCGATAATTTGTAAAGAAAGTTTCTTCCAAATCTCAAAAATCTTTAAAATGCCATTTTACATCATTGTAAACAAAGTTATTGCCAAAAAATCAATTTCTGCACCGTGCAGCGCTATTTGTCCTTTTTGCACAGTGCGAAAACGCGGTCCCGTTCGATCTGGCAAGTTAAGCAACGGCGCGCTTGATTATAAAAAGTTCGAGGAACACTGGGTGGAAACAAAGTTTTTGGGGCTTTAGAGTAGTGGAAAGAAAGTTTTTGCATACTTTGGTTTTTAAAGTGATAAAAAATGTGATTTTGGGCAATATTTAGGTATAAAAAGCCTTATTTTTTGTTTTTTAGTTGTTAATTGTCAAATTTGGGTTGTTTGGCGGTGTAATTCATAAAATAAGCAAAGTAAAGTAAAGTACGTACATATACATTTCAATTTCACCTTGAGATGCCTTTGTTTTTAACATGTTTATGAATGCTTCTGTGCGTTCTTCCATCAATGGTAACATCTAAAATTAGCTGTCTTCAAAAGAAAAAATGGCAAGAACTTTTTTTACAAGACAAAAAATGGCAAGAACTTTCTTTACAAGACAAAAAATGGCAAGAACTTTTTTTACAAGACAAAAAATGGCAAAAACTTTCTTTACAAGACAAAAAATGGCAAGAACTTTTTTTACAAAACAAAAAATGCAATTTAAGATCAATTTTTACTTTGAAATTTTAAAAACTTACTGCTTTAAGTTTTCCGGTAGTGAAAATAGGTGAAACCACTGATCGAACGTCTTTCCAACCATAGCCACGACCTTCGACACCATCTTTTGTCATTTGTAAAATACTGTCATTCAATGGGTAACCAGCGTTGAAGTGTTGGGTCTAAAAGTGTTTTTGAAACTTTTAAAGAAGCCTAAAGCTAAGTTAGGGTTAGGGCTAGGACTTGGGCTAAAGATAAGATTGGGGTTTTGGCTAAGGCTAGGGGCTAAGGCTGGAACGAGGGCGAGAGCTAAAGCTGGGGATATGGCCACAGCTTGGACAAGTGCTAGGAACAGGGCTACAGCTCGGTCTATGGCCCAGAGCGGGCGCTTGACCTAGTACAAGGACTAGGGCTCTGGGCTAGGGCTTGGTGTAAAAAATGTTTCTTACCGGTCGATTGACAAATTTTGAAAATTGTTTGATAAAAACTTCATTAACAATATCCAAGTCGGTGGTGTTGATTTCAAAGATTGATCCTACGTATACGCCAAATGTTTCACCGTATGGTTCTGGTGGTGGTACATAGCCTTCTTTAATGAACTGAAATGGCAAGAACTTCCTTTACAAAACAAAAAATGCCAAGAACTTTCTTTACAAAGCAATAAATGGCAAGAACTTTCTTTCCAAAACAAAAAATGGCGAAAACTTTCTTTACAAGGCAAAAGCCGGCAAAAATTTTCTTTACAAAACAAAAAATGGAAAGAACTTTCTTTACAAAACAAAAAATGGAGAGAACTTACATTTTTGGCATACTTTGGGTAATCCAAAAGGAACTTTAGATTTCCTAGCGGAAAACTGATCTCTGGTCCACCAAGACCTAGCTCTGATCGTAGCTTAAAATATTTTATACGGTCCCTAAAAATTTTTAAAATTAATTTTTTGCGACAAAAAATGCATTTTTACTTACCAAATCCATCTTACAATGCCTAAAACTATAATTGCCAATATTATTTGAATTATCATTTTAACAAAACATGAGAAGAATCAAGAAACACGTTGATCTCTCTCTTATCAACTTCTCTTTTATCAGCCATATGTTGTTGTTCGTGTTCTCAAAGACAATAGATATTGTAGTTTTGGATTTTTTTAAAATTTTGGATACGAAAACGTTATTAAAAATGAAATTATAAACAAAAAAATGATAAAAAATGAAAAAAATGCAAAAACTTCTTTAAAAAACAAAAAAATGGCCAATAATTTTTTACAATCCAAAAATGCCATTTTATAACACACCTAAACCTAAAAAATACAAAAACTTTCTTTCCGCTACCTTAAAACTCCAAAAACTTTGTTTCCACTCAGTGTTCCCCGAACTTTTTATAATCAAGCGCACCGTTGCTTAACTTGCCAGATCGGACGGGATCGCACTTTCGCACTGTGCAAAGAAGGCAAATGGCGCTGCACGGTGCTAAAATTAACTTTTTGGCAATAACTTTGTTTACAATGATCTAAAATGGCGTTTTTGAGGTTTTTTTGAGTTTTGGAAGGAACTTTCTTTACATTTTTTGAAAAATTACAAGGATTTTTTTTACAAAACAAAAAATGGCAAGAACTTTCTTTAAAATACAAAAAAGAGCAAGAACTTTCTATACAATCATGTAAAATGGCGTTTTGATCAATTTTTGAGCTTTCGAAGGAACTTTCCTTACAAATTTTTTGAAAAATCGGGGGTTTTTGCTTGGTGGCCGAAAAACCGCAATAACTTTGTTTACAATTCTAAATCTAATAAAATTTAAAAAAATTTTTGATTTAGTGTTATTTTTTCTTTAATTTAGACCATTTTTTCAAGCTAGACCAGACTAGTCCATTTGTTTCAAGCTAGACCAGACTAATCCATTTTTTCAAGCTAGACAGACCAGACTAGTCCATTTTTATAAAGCTAGTCCAGACTAGTCCGTTTTTTTCAAGCTAGGCCAGACTGGGCCATTTGTTCCAAGTAGACCAGTTTAACCATTTTCTTTCATGCTAGACCAGACTAGTACATTTGTTTCAAGCTAGGCCAGACTAGTCCATTTGTTTCAAGCTAGGCCAGACTAGTCCATTTGTTTCAAGCTAGGCCAGACTAGTCCATTTGTTTCAAGCTAGGCCAGACTAGTCCATTTGTTCCAAGGTAAAACAGACTAGTCCATTTGTTTCGAGCTAGACCAGACTAGTCCATTTGTTTCAAGCTAGGCCAGATTAGTCCATTTGTTTCGAGCTAGACCAGACTAGTCCATTTGTTTCGAGCTAGACCAGACTAGTCCATTTGTTTCGAGCTAGACCGGACTAGTCCATTTGTTTCAAGCTAGGCCAGACTAGTCCATTTGTTTCAAGCTAGGCCAGACTAGTCCATTTGTTTCAAGCTAGGCCAGACTAGTCCATTTGTTCCAAGGTAAAACAGACTAGTCCATTTGTTTCAAGCTAGGCCAGACTAGTCCATTTGTTTCAAGCTAGGCCAGACTAGTCCATTTGTTCCAAGGTAAAACAGACTAGTCCATTTGTTTCGAGCTAGACCAGACTAGTCCATTTGTTTCAAGCTAGGCCAGATTAGTCCATTTGTTTCGAGCTAGACCAGACTAGTCCATTTGTTTCGAGCTAGACCAGACTAGTCCATTTGTTTCGAGCTAGACCGGACTAGTCCATTTGTTTCAAGCTAGGCCAGACTAGTCCATTTGTTTCAAGCTAGGCCAGACTAGTCCATTTGTTTCAAGCTAGGCCAGACTAGTCCATTTGTTCCAAGGTAAAACAGACTAGTCCATTTGTTTCGAGCTAGACCAGACTAGTCCATTTGTTTCAAGCTAGGCCAGATTAGTCCATTTGTTTCGAGCTAGACCAGACTAGTCCATTTGTTTCGAGCTAGACCAGACTAGTCCATTTGTTTCAAGCTAGGCCAGATTAGTCCATTTGTTTCGAGCTAGACCAGACTAGTCCATTTGTTTCGAGCTAGACCAGACTAGTCCATTTGTTTCGAGCTAGACCGGACTAGTCCATTTGTTTCAAGCTAGGCCAGATTAGTCCATTTGTTCCAAGGTAAAACAGACTAGTCCATTTGTTTTAAGTAGACCATTTAACAAGGCTCGGTTGCACTTTGTCTTACCTTTGCCATACCCCCCCTCCCCCCCCCCACCCTATAACCCTGTTATGACATTTATGCCAAAACTTATTAACTATGTATTTGTTTCCCAAATTCATTGTCATCGCTTTATGGTTGGGTTTCTTTTGTTCGGTGAGCCTTCTTCTTCATTACATATTCAATTTTTGGGGAGGCCGCGGCCAGGAAGAAGATTACTTTTTGCTTTAAACGCTTCACTGAATCTCCAGATTCTCGTCGTATCGGCTTCTGGATTTCGAGGAAATTAGACGGCTTTTTAGTTTGTTTTAAGATGATTTGGCAGTTTTGTGGTGTAAACAAAGTTCTTGCTATTTATGTTTTGTAAAGAAAGTTCTTGGCATTTTTCATTTTGTAAAGAAAGTTCTTGTCATTTTTTGGTCTGTAAAGTAAGTTCTTGTCATTTTTTGATTTGTAATGAAAGTTCTTGCAGTTTTTGGTATGAATACTCGTAGATCTCGTAGCATCCCAAGAAAAAAATAAATAAAAAAGTTAGTACGATTCCAGTTTGAGTAAATTTCATTTGTAATCGAATTTATTCCCCGTTCTGACATAAAACCCGGTTTTTCATTACTTTAGCTCTAGCTTCAACTTTTATTTTGACCATTTTTTGTGGAAATGGCAAAAATTTTGGTGTTGTCGAAGGGTCAAAACTTTCTGTACAAAATAAAAAATGGCAAAAACTTTCTTTACAAAACAAAAAATTGCAAGAATTTTCTTTACGGATCACAAAATTTCAAAAACTTTTTTAATGCACGGTGCAAGTTATTTTTTTGCACGGTGCAAAATGTTTGTTTTGCTATTACTTTTTTTACAATTTCAAATTAAAAAAAATTTTTTCACGTAAAAAACGTTTTTCAATACTTCTAAAATTCACATGTTTTTTATGCAAAAACTTTCTTTCCAGTACTCAAAAAATACTGTGCAAAATACTGCACGGTGCAAAGAAAATAAAATAAGTTTTCGACACGTTTGACATTTCTATCTTTGTTTATTTTAAAAAAACGTTTGGCGGTTCCAAATATTTTGTTTTTTAAACTTTTGCGGATTAGTATCGGTCTTTTTTAGGCCAACAAAAATTCTTTTCTAAGAAAATATGTAAACGAAAAACATAAGACTAATCTTAAAATATATTTTCGTGAGCTTGGCAAAGGGATAGTGGTTATTTTAAGGTTTGTAAAGAAAGTTGTTGCCATTTTTTGTTTTGTAAAGAAAGTTATTGCTATTTTTTAAAAATTGTGAAGAAAGTTTCTTCTAAAACCTCAAAAACTTTGGTATATGCCATTTTTTATCATTGTAAACATAGTTTTTGTCAATTTCTGTTTCGTAAACAAAGTTCTTGCGGTTTTTTTTTTAAATTTGTTTTAATGGTGGTTTTCGAATTATTGTGTAATAAAGTTTCTTCCAAATCTCAAAAATTCTCAAAAATGCCATTTGACATCATTGTAAACAAAGTTATTACCGAAAAAGTCATTTCTACACCGTGCAGCGCCATTTGTCTTTTTTGCACAGTGCGAAAGCGCGGTCCCGTCCGATCTGGCAAGTTAAGCAACGATGCGCTTGATTATAAAAAGTTCGAGGAACACTGGGTGAAAACAAAGTTTTTGGGATTTTTATGGTACTGGAAAGAAAGTTTTTGTATTTTTTTATTTTTGTGATAATTAGAAATGGCATTTTTATTAACTTTGTGATTAAAAAAATCCAAATTTTTGCTATTTTTTCTTTGTAAAGAAAGTTTTTGCTGCTTTCTAACTCCTTTTTAATTTTTTTTTGATTTTCGAAAACAAAGTTCTTGCATGCTTTTGTAAAACGTTTTACTTGTACTAAACAATTTATAAACTTTATAGTGTTGGACTAGCTGAAAGGCTTCTATTTACACTAATCTTAAGCCCTTTTGTTGTATAAACCGGATTAAGCGGAGGACATTTATGACAAAAAAGGTCATTTCTTGTTTGAAAAATCGTATTTTCGACTTACTTTTTAATTTAGCAGGGTATTTTTTGCACTTTTTATAGTTTTTTGCTGCTTGATATTTGGTTTTTTAGTGTAAATCCTTGGCCTTGCAGGCTGCGGGGGACATTTTATACGATGATTTGATTTTTCAAAGAGATTTTTGTAATTTTTTGTTTTGTAAAAAAAAATTCTTGTCATTTTTTGTTGTGTAAAGAAAGTTTTTGCCATATTTAAGCTTATAAAGAAAGTTCTTGTCATTTTTTGATTTGTAAGGAAAGTTTTTGCCATTTTTCATTTTGTAAACAAAGTTCTTGCCATTTTTTGTTTTGTAAAGCAAGTTCTTGTCATTTTTCGTTTTGTAAACAAAGTTCTTGCTATTTTTTATTTTGTAAAGAAAGTTCTTGCTACTTTTTTGTTTTGTAAGGAAAGTTCTTGCAATTTTTCATTCAGTAAACAAAATTCACGCCTTTTTTCTCAAACCTCTTCATCTGGTACTATAATGTAATCCAAGATGATATTGTGCTTGCGACTAATAAAACTCATCGTTTATTCGTCGTTTCTATGACGTTATATATGAGAGGTCTGAGTGGAATGGGGAAACGTTTTACACTTCTTCGTCTAATCTTTGTTTTTGGATTTATTAAATATGCCACGAAGGGGTGTGTTAATGAGAAAAGGCTTGGCATAGCTTTATATTTTGACAGTTTTAAGCGACATGTCTTTACATTTTAGCTAGCTTATCTGATATAAGTTTGTTAGGGTAAAGTAACGTTAGATAAGGTAAAGCAAGGCAAGGTAAGGTTAGGTAAGGTAGGTCAGGGTAGGGCAGGACAGGCTAAAGTTGGGCAGGTTAGATAAGGTAGGGCAGGACAAGGGGAGATTAGAAAAAGTAGAGCTAGGAAAGATAGGGCAGAGTAGGGTAAGATTCAAAAAGGGCAGGTAGGGTAAGGTAAGGTTAAAAAAGAGAGGACAGGGTAAGGTAGGACAGGGTAGGGTAGGGTTAGATAGGCAAGGTAGGGTAAGGTAAAGTGAGATTAGAAAAGATAGGAGAGCAGGAAGGGCAAGACACAGCAAAGCAGAGTAAGGTAAGATAGGGTAGATTACGTTAGGGTAGGGTAGAATTTTGCCATTTTTTAATCTGTAAAGAAAGTTCTTGCCGTTTCTCAGCTTGTAAAGAAAGTCATTGCCATTTTTAGTTTTGTAAAAAAAGTTCTTGCCATTTTTTGATTTGTAAAGAAAGTTCTTGCTATTTTATGTTTTGTAAAGAAAGTTCTTGCTATTTTTTGTTTTGTAAAGAAAGTTATTGCTATTTAACAAAATGTTATAATTTTCATCGTATAATTTGTCCACCGCAGCTCGCCCTGCATAAAACTCACAAGTTTTTGCGAATTCTTTGCCTTATAAAGAAAGTTCTTGCCATTTTTCAGCTTGTAAAGAAAGTTCGTGCCATTTTTCGTTTTGTAAAGAAAGTTCTTGCCATTTTTTGTTTTGTAAAGTAAGTTCTTGCCATTTTTCATCTTGTAAAGAAAGTTCTTGCCATTTTAAGTTTTGGGTCGAAAATTTCCACGCCTCAGGTCATTCTAAAAATAACTTTTAAAAATTTCGAAATTTCAAATTTTCGAAACACCTTCAAAAACACAGTCAATTAGTACTCCAAACTTTCGGCCAAACTGTTTCAGCACATTCATTTTTGGCCAGTTCCTTAACCCAAATTGCCATTTTCTGTGTTGGGTAATTGGGAGAAATTAATTTCTTCCGACAGCTCTCGCTTCTCGTTTTATCTTCCCATCCACAAGACTGAACCGTTTCTCGGGCCCAACAGTTTTTTGGGCTACATTTTTGTTTCAGGGTTTAAAATTTGTTTAAAAATTTAAAATTAGGTAACAAAATGCACGTTTTTTCAGTTTTTTGTGCTTTGTAAAGAAAGTTTTTGAAATTTAGTGTTTTGTAAAGAATGTTCTTGCTATTTTTTATTTTGTAAAGAAAGTTCTTGCCATTTTTGGTTTTGTAAAGAAAGTTCTTGCTATTTTTGGTTTTGTAAAGAAAGTTATTGCATTTTTTAGTTTGTAAAGAAAGTTCATGCTCTTTGAAATCATCATGTCAATTTTTCTCTTTTTTAGTTTGCTGTAAACAAAGTTATTGCGATTTGCCTAAACTCCATCAAAAACTCCCAATTTCTTAAAAATTTGTAAAGAAAGTTCCTTCCAACTCTCAAAAATATTCAAAAATGCCATTTTACATCATTGTAAACAAAGTTATTGTAAAAAAGCTTAATTTCTGCACCGTGCAACCCCATTTCCCTTTGTTGCACAGTGCGAAAGCGCGATCCCGTCCGATCTGGCAAGTTAAGCAACGGTGCGCTTGATTATAAAAAGTTCGTGGAACACTGGATGGAAACAAAGTTTTTTGGGTTTTTAGGGTAGTGAAAAGAAAGTTTTTGCATATTTTTGTTTTGGTGTTATAAATACTGGCATTTTTTGATTTTATCGACTTTTTTGGTTTGTAAAGGAAATTCTTGCGATTTTATGAGTTGTAAACAAAGTTTTTGCTATATTGTGTTTTGTAAAGAAAGTTCTTGCCATTTGACATGTTATAAGCAAAGCTTCTGCCACTTTTCCATAGACCAAAAGCCATTTCATACCAATTCCAAATTTGGATTAGTATGACAACATTCCTCGGAATGTAAAAGTCCTCGAAACCGCTCACTTAGTTTGTTCCGGATGACCCCTTAGGGAGGATGAAAAGGACATTCGAGCCGTCAAATTCGCCGCCCAATTTTAACGCGCGAAGGGGGGGGAGGAATTTCTTTATAGCTTCATCGAAACTGTTAAGAGCTTCGTCAGACGGAGAATGGGCATTTGCCTTGGGGGTTTTTTGAAATTTTTTATTTCGAAAAACAAAATAAAAAAAATTTTTTATTTGTTTTAGGCTTAACATTTGGCTTTTAGGCTTAGAATTTGATTTTTAGGCTTAAGAACTGTCCTTATGCTAAAAAAACTAGTCTTATGCTAAAAAACTGGCTCTAAGGCTTAGAAAATCATGTTCAGGTTTAAAAATTGGTTTATAGGCGTAGGAACTAATTTTAGGCTTAATAAATGCTTCTTAGGCTTAAGGACTTATTTTGGGTTACAAGTTGAGTTTTAGGCTTAAAAAATGAGATTAGGTCTGAAAATTTCTGTTTAGGCTTAAATTTTGCTTTTTAGGCTTAAAGATTAATTTTAGGTTTACACGTTAAGTTGTAGACTTAAAATAGATTTTTAGGCTTAATAACTAATTCTAGGCTTAAAACGTTATTTTTTGGCTTAAACCTTGAGTTTTAAGCTTTAAGTTGGCTTTGAGGCTTGATTAATTTTTAGGCTTAAAAATTCATTTTTAGGCCCAACGTCATAATTTGGGGCTTGCAAAGCAATTTTAAGCTTAATCCTTGAGTTGTAAGCTTTAAATTGGTTTTTAGGCTTATTAACTAACTTTAGGCTTAAAAATTCATTTTTAGGCTTAATAGCTAATTTTAGGCTTAGAAATTGATTTTTAGGCTTAATGTAGACTATTAGGCTTACAAACCAATTTTAGACTTAAAAATTCATTTTTAGGCTTAATAACTAATTTTAGGCTTAAAAATTCATTATTAGGCTTAATGTAGACTATTAGTCTTACAAACCAATTTTAGGCTTAAAATCAAGATTTGCGCCTATGAATACTTTTTTAAGCCTAAAACTTTTTTTATTTAATTTATGTTTAGCCTTGATTAATTTTTAGGCTTAATTTAAACTTTAAAACACCTATTTTTTAAATTTTTAGGTTTAAATTAAAAAATTTCTTACTTTCCTCCGTACTTAACCTTACATTAGTGGAAGGGGGAGGGAAATGCCGGAAATGGGCTTATTTCTCTGTTATTTGGGCTCCAAATTGTTGTTTTTCTTTGTTTTTACGGATATTATGTTGGGAGGGGGGGGTTGTAATCGAAATTGACACTATTTTTGTTTGAATTTTTCTATTTAAAAATTAATTTGATAACAAAAGGCTACTGTACTAATAAAACGCCGTTTTAAGATGGCATGGTAAGGTAGGGTTAGATGCAGGGGTAGTTGAGGCTAGATGGGTTAGGGTAGGGTAGGGCAGGGCAGGGTAGGGCAGGGCAGGGTTGTTTACTCTGTATTACTTGAACTTTCCATATAATTGTTGTATACAACTACAAATACGAGGAAGCACCTGAGAGACCTTCTTTTCTCCTAATTATAGTATATAAAACAATGCTGCTTGGGCATTGTTAAAGCACAGTAAAGTCGTGCATAGGGTTTGTGATATAAAATACAGAACTGTTTGTTTTACTATAGTTGTATGCTTAAAATAAAAGTTTTTTGAATATTTGTGTTTTGTAAAGAAAGTTCTTGCCATTTTTTATTTTGTAAAGAAAGTTCTTGCCAGTTCTTGTCTTGTAAAGAAAGTTCTTGCCAGTTCTTGTCTTGTAAAGAAAGTTCTTGCCATTTTTTGTTTTGTAAAGAAAGTTCTTGCCATTTTTACTTTTTTTACTGAAAGTCACGTTTTACTTTACAGTTAAAACCTTGTTCTATGAAATAATCAAACTAGACATACTGAAAATGTGTAATAGTTGTGAAAGATTACTTGTTTTGTTTTAATAAGCAAGTATTACCTAAACACCGAATTAAAGAAATGTTACGTTTTAATCGGGTATTACTGAGGTTTTAGGGTAAAACTGTGATCATAAAGCTTTTTTTAGAACAAGGTTTTTTAATTTAACATTTTTTATGTTTTTTTTATTGTGTTTCTGAAAAAATTGTAAAAACTTCTTTTCCAAGCAAAAAATGCCATCATCTATCATTACACAGTGACAAAAATGAAAAAAATGTTCTTTTCACTACCATAAAACCCCAAAAACTTTGTTTTTATCTACTGTTACTCGAACTTTTTATAATCAAGCGCACCGTTGCTTAACTTGCCAGATCGGACGGGATCGCGCTTTCGCACTGTGCAAAAAAGAAAAATGGCGCTGCACAGTGCAAAAACTAATTTTTCGGCAATAACTTTGTTTACAATGATGTGAAATGACATTTTTAATTATTTTTGATATTTGGAAGGAACTTTCTTTACATTTTTTTTAAATTTTGTAACTTTCTTTAAAAAGTGAGAACTAGAATGTATGTTATTTTTTGGCAAACAATTTGGTCTTATTTACTTTTTTTTTTGTATTTAAAAATTCGCTTATTTACGGTGCGTGTCTTTAGGGCAATTGAAACGCGGGGCAAAGAAGCCGGTTTAATACTTGTCATTTCAGCGCAATGACATTCCTATAAAATTGGGTAGAACGAAGCTATGCCAACACAGAAACGTCATCCATTCGTTCATTTGGCCGCGACGGTACGTTTTTAACTAGTATTATTTAAAATTTTAAAAATTTTAAAAAGTTGAAAATTTTTTAAAATTTTTTTGTAGTTTCAGGCAGTACAAGCCTTGTAAATAAAGTTTTTGTATTTTTGTATATTTTTAAAGTAACTGTTTGGAGTCATCGTATAACTTGTCACCCGCAGCCTGCAGGTTGGAAATAGCTTAAAAAAGGGCGATTTGGTGATTTGTAAAGAAAGTTTTGTCTATTTTATGTTTTGTAAACTAAGTTTTTGCTAATTTTTATAAAAAAAACAAATTATTGTTTGCCTGCAGCCTGCGGGTGACATGTTATACGATAATTATTATTTTCTGTTTTGTAAAGAAAGTTCTTGCCATTTCTCATTTTGTAAAGAACGTTATTGCAATTTTTTATTTTGTAAATAATTATCTTGCTATTTTGTCTGCTGTAAATAAAGTTTCTGCAATTTCAGATATGCAGTACAGCAAGCACGGTACTGGGGTATCCCCAACGAGAACGAGTACTAGGACACGACCAAATGAGTCCGGTCGAACGATTTCTATACGGGCAACAAGCACTAATACACACTTTTGGTACTCCCGAATCTTGTGCACGAAATTGCCCGAGGGCATGTACTGTGCAGGAAGTTGAAGACCTCATGATGCCTAGATGGATTTGCCCTTCCAAGGTAAAATACGTTTTTTAAATGTCACTGAACAAAAAATCCTGTTTTAATACGGGGGGACAAATTTTATGTAGATTTTTGTTCTGTAAACAAAGTTATTGCGGTTTTTCTATAAAGGTACTAAAACTCTAAATTTAAAAAAAAATTGTAAAGAAAGTTTCTTCCAACTCTCGAAAATACTCAGAAACACAATTTTACGTCATTGTAAACAAAGTTAATGCCGAAAAATTAATTTCTGCACCGTGCAGCGACATTTGTCTTCTTTGCACAGTGCGAAAGCGCGTTCCCGTCCGATCTGGCAAGTTAAGCAACGGTGCGCTTGATTATAAAAAGTTCGTGGAACACTGGATGGAAACAAAGTTTTTGGGGTTTTTAGAGTACTGGAAAAAAGTTTTTGCATTTTTGGGGTTTTTTTAGTGATAAATAATGGCAATTTTTGGTTGTAAAAAAGTCCTTGCAGTTTTCTATCTAAACTATTTTTTTTAATTTTTGTGTAAGAAAAGTTTTTGCTAAGATTTAAAAATGCTATTTTCAGCCGGATGACACAAGCAGTATGTCGCTGACGCCGTCGCTGCGCGACAGTCGCGACCTTGGTCAGGATTTGTTCATGTTCTCATCGCAATATCTCCTCATTCTAGTGCCATTGGCCATGTTGTTGGCCATTATTTTATTGATTGTTTGGTGTCGACGATATTCGAATTCGTCGTTTGATTAAATGCATATTGTTGTTGGTCTTATCTGATCAACTTTTATTTTGATTTTTTTCTTCAATAAAGTTAAAAATTTAAAGATATTTTAGTTTTTTGATTCACTAGGCTTAAACGTGATTAAAAATTTGACCATATACTGCTTGTAAGAAACATGTGTTATCTTGTTCACGCTAATCAAACTTATAACTATGAAAAATAGTTTTTGGTAGCATTAGATAACAGAAAATTTTTTTAACATTTTCTGTTGCAAACTAAGCCTACGTAATCCCAGTCCTCCTCACTCCAACTCTCATGTTCATCAGCCCATTTCATTCGGGTCGTCCTGTTCTTTTACATGATCAACGTTTTTTTGGCCGGACGACGTCCATTGAGTCCAACCTCATTAAATCTTCTTGATACGGTACAGTTACAGATGTAGACACTTCAAATCCATAGTATCGTTCCATTTCAGCTCTTATTTTAGGTGCCGTCTTTATGGGGTCTTGGCGAGACACCTTCTTGTTCATGTTATCTTGATAAGTTGTCGTTTTTCTTTTTTTTCACTGTATAAATGAGGTTTCCTATTCTACCCTACCCCACGATGCCGTACCAGTAAAATAATGGCCCAATCTTTTATATTATCAAGTTTATTGATTAATACTTACACCTAAAGTGTACATCCCAAAGGAGGAAAACATCAGACTTACAAATATAAAAGTACAAGAGGGACGCGACCGCGTCCCAGACGTTACACGTTATTCTCCCACGATTTAGATTGGGCCACGAGCGGGTCTACCCAAGTGGGCGTGTCCTTACTTACCCTAACCTACCCTATCGTACTCTACCTTATTCTACCCTACCCTACCTTACTTTGCATTGCCCTGCCCTACAGTATACTAAAAAACTTAATTTTCTTATTTCTTACAGTATGCTACCGTATTAACTTCTTTAAATTTCTATGGCTTAATTACCATAATCTTTCTATAAACAAGTTTGAAGTCAATCAGAGCGGGGCAGGTCGGGTACTTTCCTTGTTAGTTTTTTGGTTCACTAGCCTTAAACATGATTAAAAATGTTACCGTATGCTGTTAAGAAACATGTGTTATCTTGGTCAGGCTAATAAAATTCTTATGAAAAATAGTTCCTGGTAGCATTAGATAACAAAAAATTTCTTAATTTTTCCTGTTGCAAACTAAGCATACATGAATAAAGTCGCAACAACACGATTCCAAAAGCAGCTAAGACGCGGTGGAATACATGTTATAATCAACTTGCCGTCATTAAAAACAGCAGAATCGAGATTACTGAAGCAGCATTTTTGTCGCGTGTTAACAAGATATCAGGTGTCAAAAAAGTCCAACAAATCACTCAAAATGAAAGTTTTTGGATAAAATTGGTCAACTCTGTGACATTCTAGAATTTGTGACATGCGCTACTACACAAATGGGAAGAAATATCAGAATAAAAGGTATGGTCTACCCGCGGCAGGATTCATAACGAAACAACGAACAGATTGACAGCATCAAACGGTTACAAGAAAACATTTATTAACTTCAATGAGCGCCAGTTACGTGTTGACTGAAAAAAAATTCAATATGAAGTTAGTTCTGATGAATCCGAAGAAGAGATTGCAAAAGATGATGATGATGGAAAGATTGTAGTTAAAACATAAAATTCATGCCATACTTTGTGTTGTGGTTAAAATTGGCATGAAATACTTCACATGATTAAAAATGTTACCGTATACTGTTAAGAAACATGTGTTATCTTGGTCAGGCTAATCAAATTCTTATTTATGAAAAATAGTTCCTGGTAGCATTAGATAACAAAAAATTTCTTAATTCTTCCTGTTGCAAACCAAACGTTCATGAATAAAGTCACAACAACATTGATAATAAATGTATCATACAGCGCTCAAGGTTCAACAGATTAGGCACTATAATTAAACGTTGTTTACAAAGATACAGGGTGTCCAGAGAAATTTGAAGGAAAGTACAGGCTTCGTTCTCAAAAACTAAGCGTCTGATTGGCTTGGTTCTTTTTTTGTTAGAGAGCTAATAGCGGGCGGTTTTAGTTTTGTACAATTTTTTACCGATTCGGCAGACGATCGGCGGAGGGTCGGCGGAGGCATAAAACCTATTGGTTCATACACAAAACTACAAATTTTTAGCTCAAAAATGCTACGATATCTTCCGTTGGGTTTCTATTTTTTAATTTTCTTATTTAGTCTTCGCGTCGGCGGAGGAAGATGACGTGTGGTACCGTTTTGTCGGCGAAGGCCATAACTCGGCTCAAACTCAATAGTTTTTCCTCAAACAAAAACCATTTAAAAAGTTGTTTTAAAGTGTTTAAAATTACGCAATCTTGTTAGTTACTAAAAAAAGGTACTAGTTGTTTACACACAAGTGGTACTGATTCGTCGGCGGAGACCATAACTCGGCTCAAATTCGACCATTTTTCTTCAAACAAAAACCGTCTGAAATGTTTTTTGAGATGCTTATTGTTACGCAATCTTGTACGCAATACAAAAAGGTACTAATTGTTTATACACAATTGGTACTGTTTTGTCGGCGGAGGCCATAACTCGGCTCAAAGATGTTCATTTTTATTCAAACAAAAACCATTTGGACTGTTGTTTTGAGGGGTTTATTGTTACGCATTTTTGTTAGTTAGTTAGTAAAAAAAGGTTCTAATTGGTCATACACGAGTGGTACTTATTTGTCGGTAGAGGCCATAACTCGGCTCAAACTTGTTCATTTTGCTTCAAACCAAAACCTTAGTTAGTCAGTACTAACCAGTTTTATAAAGTTTCATTTGGCATGTTTTGTAAATTGTTTGGTACCATTACTTATACAAAATTTCCCAACATTAAAAAAATTTTTTATAAAAAAAATTTTTAACGTCTAGCGTGTAACAATAAACCCCTCAAAACAACAGTCCAAATGGTTTTTGTTTGAATAAAAATGAACATCTTTGAGCCGAGTTATGGCCTTCGCCGACAAAACGGTACCACACGTCATCTTCCTCCGCCGACGCGAAGACTAAATAAGAAAATTAAAAAATAGAAACCCAACGGAAGATATCGTAGCATTTTTGAGCTAAAAATTTGTAGTTTTGTGTATGAACCAATAGGTTTTATGCCTCCGCCGACCCTCCGCCGATCGTCTGCCGAATCGGTAAAAAATTGTACAAAACCAAAACCGCCCGCTATTAGCTCTCTAACAAAAAAAGAATCAAGCCAATCAGATGCTTAGTTTTTGAGAACGAAGCCTGTACTTTCCTTCAAATTTCTCTGGACACCCTGTAAGAATGTTCATCCACCTTTGTCTTTTGTCACAAGTTTTTTTTGTGGCCCCGCCTCAAAACATTTGATGTTATCACAAAATTACTGTATTTAAGCCTTGGTTTTTCAATAATTAGTCAATGTACAAGCTTTGAGTTGTTCTTAAAATTGGATTAAGGTAAGTCATGGTAATTTAAAGAAGTTACTACAGTAGCATACTGTATGAAAAATTAAGTTTTTAGTATACTGTAGGGCAGGGCAGGGCAATGGTAGGTTAGGTAGGGTAGAGTAGGGTAGTAACTTCGTTACTTGCCTCGTATTTTACAATAATTTATGTTTTTATTTGCAATTTAAAAACTTAATTTTTAGATGTTAAAGATAACCATCTGCCTGCTTTGCATTTTTATTCAACAATTTTATGCTGATGATGATATTATTAGACACGACTTTGACGCTTACGATACCGTCTCACGAGCTGAAAGAATGCGTCATCGTCGCGGTATTTTTGATCCACTCGATACCCTGCTCTCAGTTAAGGATTTGATGACCTGTAGCAAGTACGACAAGCTTGGCTCGTTTTGCATGCACAACGATTGGGAAGGACGTGACGCAAACTGTAAATGCCCCCACAAAAAGTTTTCGTACAAGCATACTTTTGGAGGCACCTGCTACTGTTGTCCGCACGAATGTTAGTTTTCGAACACAGTGAACGTTCAATCCATTAATATTTGTCAGCCAACAAAGTATATTTTACCAAATTGAAGAGAAACGTCTGTCTTTTCCCTACCCTACACCACCGTCTTCTATTCTACAGTAGGCTAGGCCCCAGTCCTACACCATCCTACCCTAGACGGCGTTTCCTTACTTTTTCTTATTCTACAGTATGCTAAAACACTTTATATTCTTTTTTCTTACGGTATTTTACAGTGTTCTTCAGTTTTTTTTATTAAATAAACATACAGTAAACAATAAGACTTTGTAATATGTCAAGTATGACATGTATAATATATTAATAAGATTGAATTTTGCCGAATCGATCCAAAAACTTTCCAGAATCTTCGATTCTCAGTCCAGAAACCATGTTCACGATGTCGTGCGTAGCCTCAGGCACCTTCAGATTCCCATCGTGACCGTTCATGTCCGTAGCGACATGACCCGGTCTCAAAGCGATGACAATTATGTTTTCGACCGCTTTTGTGGTTGATAATTGCTTACTGTAATGGTTGACTGCTGCTTTCGATGCACCGTAGGCAAATCGACCACTGGCCCAAGTGTTAGTTGTTAATTCGATCGAGGCGTGACCAGAACTCATGTTAATGATCTTGGCAGGGGTTTCGGAAGAGGCGGCTTTTTGTAGGAGGGGTAGGAGGGCCTGAAATATTTTTTGTGACAATGGCAAGAACTTTCTTTACAAAACAAAAAAAGACAAAAACTTTCTTTACAAAACAAAAAATGGCAAGAACTTTCTTTACAATACAAAAAACGGCAAAAACTTTCTTTACAACACTTACCGTAGTCGTCATAACAACTCCACAAAGATTGGTGTCAAAAGTCTTCAGAATCGCCTCTCTCGAAGGATCCTCAATGTGAACATTGTCACTCAAGGCTATGCCAGCATTGTTGATTAATATATGTAACCCTTCGTCCTTCAACTCAGCTTTCAACCATTCGGCTGCGGTTTCAATCTTTTTGTCATCCAACACGTCGTATTCGATCAGCACTATCCGGTTGTCATTTAGATCGTGGATTGCCTGAAAGTAGAAAAAACTTTTTTTACAATTTAAAAAATGCCATTTTTAAAAATTGAAAAACAAAAAAATGTAAAAACTTTCTTTCCATAACCCTAAAAACCCCAAAAACTTTGTTTTTATCTACTGTTCCTCGAACTTTTTATAATCAAGCGCACCGTTGCTTAACTTGCCAGATCGGACGGGATCGCGCTTTCGCACTGTGCAAAGAAGACAAATGGCGCTGCACGGTGCAGAAATTAATTTTTTGGCAATAACTTTGTTTACAATGATGTGAAATGACATTTCTGAAGTTTTTTTGAGCTTTTGAAAGAAATTTCTTTACAATTTTGAAAAATTACAAGAATTTTTTTTCGCGAAAAAAAGAATATGGCAAGAACTATATTTACAAAACAAAAAATTGCAAAAACTTTCTTTCCATTTACCGAAAACCCCCAAAAACTTTGTTTTCACCCAGTGTTCCTCGAACTTTTTATAATCAAGCGCGCCGTTGCTTAACTTGTCAGATCGGACGGGACCGCGCTTTCGCACTGTGCAAATAAGAGAAATGGCGCTGCACGGTGCAGAAATTACGATTTTGGCAATAACTTTGTTTACAATGATCCAAAATGGCTTTTTTGAATAACTTTGAATTTTTGAAGAAACTTTCTTTACAAAATATAGAAAAATTAAACTGATTTTTAAAAAATTGAGAAAATGCAAAAACTTTCTTTACAAAAACAAAAAAAAATTTAAAAAATAAAAAAAAAATTAAAAAATTAGCTCACTTTAGCCTCGGCAGGTTTCCTGACAGCCGCAAAAATGCGTTTGACGTCATGTTCTTCGAGGTATCGTTGTACCAAGCCTAGCCCAATGCCTCGGTTGGCACCAGTAATCAAAATATTCATTTTTATCAGCTCAACTTGATTTTTTATCAGTTAAGTTTTTAAAAATTGCTCAAAAAACTGACATACGACTATGTTCGGTAGACTTTCGTCGTTTTTGATACGTTTTTGTTTATAAGGTGGCAATCAATGATTATTTGTTTATATTCGTTGATCATGTGAATAACATCGCATTGGGGTAAAGTTTTCATTTATTATAAATTCCCGTAAAACAGCAAAGAGTATGTGATTGATATTGGTGTGGTCAAAGGGTATGATATTGGTATGGTCAAGGTGTATAACAATGGTATGGTCAAAAAGAATGACACTGATATCGTTAAAGAGTATAATATTGGTATGGTCAAAAAGTTCGTAGAAAATCGAAAAAAAATTTTCTGTAAAAAATCCGTAAAAACACAAAAAATGTAAATTCTAGAAACTACACGACCAAAATTTTAAATTTTATTACCTAAATTTCAAAATTCAAAAAATTTTTTTTATATTTTGTTTGTTCAAGAAATTCATATAAAATAAAAAAAAATAAAATTCCATAAACTTTTTGACCGGAAATTCAAAATTAAATTTTATTACCTAAATTTCAAAAAGTTCAAAATATTTTAAAAAACTTTATTTTGGTCAAGAAATTCATAGAAAACCAAAAAAATAAAAATTTCATAAACTTTTTGACCATTTTTTTGAAATTTCAAAACCTTTTCAACCCAAATTTCCAAATTCTACGTACTTTTAGACCGCTTTTTCAGAATTTCACGTACAATATTTTTCGACCAGTTTTTTAAGTTCCACGTACTTTTCGACCACTTTTCAAAATTCTAAATACTTTTCGACCAGACCAACACGTTATAATAGAAAAACGAATAAGATAAGGTAAAGTTAAGCCTTAAGATAAGGTAAAGTTAAGCCTTAAGATAAGATAAAATTAAGTTTAAAGATAAGGCAAAGATAAGTCATGTATAATATTGATCCTGAGCTTTGACATTATGACTCGTGTTCTGAACAACACTGATATCAGAAAGTGTGGGTTAGAAGTGTTTTTGAAACAAAAGAATGTTAAAAAAGGTAATAAACCAGCTAAAACTACTTAAAAATGACTACTATTACATTGTGTAAAAAGTTTTGAGCCCCAAACCTTATATTTCTGCATTGAAAGGGGGCTCAAAACTTTTTACACAAACTATGATAGTATTAGATTGTTCAAATAATTCTGAGCCCAAAAATTGAAAAAATTGAAAGGGGCACTGAATTATCTGAACAACCTAATAATCTAAAACAAGTTAAAAAATTAGTAATAATTACAGTATGACTACGATGTATAAGATATAAAATACTTATAAAACCTTACAATACTGATAAAACCTCACAATACTGTTAAAAACTTAAAACACTGATAAAAGTTAATCAATAAGACCTCAAACCACACTCATAGTGCTCTTGTTCGGATCAGGACTAGCTGAATATTGATTTTGATTCGGTGATCTGACTGGAGTTCGATTGGTGAGATCTCTCAATGGCAAGGTACTATCATCAACAAAGTCCAACGATTCATTTGCCTTTGGAGCCGTCTTTAGGCCACGTGGATTCGGGTACATGTGTCCTGGATTGTACAGGTCGTTCTGGAATTGAGAAATTTGAAGTTTAGGTAACAAAAAGCAAAAATTAAAGATTTTTTTGTAATTTTAGGTAACAATTTTTTTTTAAATTCAATTTTTCTAAATTTAGGTAACAAAAATTAAAAACAAAAGCCTTTTTTTGAATTTTAGGTAACAAAAATTATTAAAAATGCACTTTTTCGTATTTTAGGTAACAAAAATTAATAAAATTCAAGTTTTCAAAGTTTAGGTAACAAAATTTTTTTTAAATTTAAAAAACCATCAAAACCATACCTTAAATCCCTGTGAATCACCAATATTTCTTCTGTAAGCACTACCTCTCAACAATGGCTCATGCGACCGTTCCGAATTCGATGGTGTTTGAACTTCAGGTTCCTGCCAAAAGATCCTCACCAGCTGATTCATCAGATCGTACGTTATTCTACCTCCAATGTGTCGTCGAATGAAATGAAGCACCAGAACACCATCACAATGAAGAAAATCGACCACAAATCGCTCAATATCTCTTCGGCCCAATCCCATATTGGCCAGGTCGTTCTGGTTAATGTTGGAGCGAACGAAACGTACTCTACAGCTTGGTACTAGAAGCATGAACAAGTAGTAGACAAAATTGATTGCTGTTACAACTGCGACAAACAATAGCCACCAGTAGAGGAAGAAGTAGAGCTTTTCATTTATCATATTCATCATGATAACACATTGGACTGAATGACGTTGAATATTGGCTAGTTTTCGTACCTAAAATAAGTAAAATGTAAACTAAAACAATCAAAATTTAATTTTCAATCCATTTTTAAACTTTTCAAACCAGTTTTGCTCCAAATTTCACCAAAACCAACCATTTTTCCAGTACCACACCATCAACCAAAGTTAACATCGAAAAAACTCCATAACTCCCAGACTAATAGTGAGATCAAACCCAAAATTCATCGACACATTCACAATTATCTACTTTAACTTACAGAAAAGTCGCACATGATAACACGAGGGAAAACTTCAGATTCCTTCCACTCTTCACCATGGATAACATCTCTCATCGTGTCGAAGCCCCATGAGAAGTAATTCCCGCCCAAAAAGTGGTTCAATAGCACCAATTGACCAATAGCATTTGCTGTGTACAATAACTTCATAAACAGGTACATAACGGTAGCATTGAAGCCGGAACGAGCAACTTTCTAAAAAATATGTTATTCATGAGAAATCTGATGTTTTAACATTTTTTTTTGTTGTTATTTCAGCCAAAACTAAGATTTTTATAAATTAAAAACGTTCCTCAACATCTTTTAGCTATTTTCTGTCAATTCCACGCCATTTAAACCCTTCTACATCAAGTTATATTAAGATAAACACCATCTACTTCAATATAAACTTACTCCTCGTTGAGTTGGATGGAAAACGCTCAAGGATTCAGAAATATATTGAGCTAACTGTTCAATTTCACTCTCACGAGGTTTCCCTTTCATTAGCATAATTTGGCGAGCATCATCGACCAATGCGCGAGGATGAATCGCGGTCTGCTTGTGGATATTGTTCCATAGGTAATTTGGAAGCCAAAACAAGATGGATTGAAGTGCCAAAACGATGGGTACCCACTGAAATGTGATTGGAATTAATTTTTCAATAGATTATAATGATAGTTGTGGAAGGTAAGGTAAAAATAGGCTAGAAAAACGAGAAAAAAGGGTAGAAAAAAATCAATATTGTGAGCACATTTCGTCGTATAACTTTGTTACACAGCCTGCACAAAGCTTTTTTTCTGTAAAACGCGGTTTTATCTGTTTTTCGAAAGATTTTCTAGCATTTTATATCAAATTTTAGATAACAAAACCCAAAACCTACCCTATAATACGTGATTTGATCTTGTCTACCCGCCAGTTCGCTTGGAATTTCATCGTCCATCGGCACATAGTACGAATTGGCGATGAAACAATAATCTTCAGCGTACTTCTCCCAGCCACCTTTGAATTCGTTTGGAACCCAGCATTGAATTGGCGAACCGAAATATTGTTTGGCCGAAATCGCCAATGAACAACAGATCAACATCAACGCACTGACATAGTAATTCAGCCAATCCACGGAGTCCGCGACGATCTGAACCTTGACGTTCTTGATGTAGGTATTCACGAATGGAATACCCAACATCTCGAGGGTTTAGTCTGAAAATTGATGGTGTAAAGAAGGATAGATGGAAGTAAGTACGTTTTATATTGTTTTTCTTGGTTTTTAGGTAATAACGCGAGAGTATTGGGACGAAAAAATTGTAAAATACGAGGATTTTGACCTGGTGTAAATTTAGGCAAAAACGTTTAAAAACGACTCAAAAGTCAATTTATAGGTAGTTTTTGGCATTTTTATGGTATGTCCGACTGAAATGTTTAAAAAATGGAGGTATGGAGGTCAATTTTAATTAAACCAAATTTTAGGTAACAAAGGCTAAAAAAACTAGTCAAAAATGTTTTTATAGGTAATTTTTGCCATTTTTAACGATAAGGCTGAAGAATATCTTCAAAAAATGGAGGTATTGCAGTCAATTTAGTTTAAACCACAAAAACGTGCGAAAATGCTCGAAACCGTCGCTTGTAATGACCAGGAAAAGACGCGCGCGCGAGAGAGAAATGGACAGTCTGGCCGAGCTCTTGACCTCAAATGGGAAAAGGCTCTTCCTCTCACCGTTCCAAACCAGCATTTTTCGAAAAACGGGATTTTGACATAAATATTAGTTCAAAAAAGGGATTTAAACCAATATGGAGCTAAAAACGGAAATATTGATATAAAAATGGTTGAAAAAAAAGAGGTTTAGGTATGAAACGCGTTCGAAATAGGTTTTTATACAAATATTTGGACGATAAGATTGATTTTATAAAAAAATTATTGTGGCAAAAAGTCTTGTCGTTTTTAACATGTAATGAAATGTAAATTGACGACAAGACTTTTCAGAGTCTCCAAGAACTTCAAAAATTTGTATTTTAACGTAAAATAAGATAAGAAATAGAAAATTTATGAAAAAATGTTCAAAATAACCCATGTTTAATACAAACATGGCCAAACGACGAGATTTTGGTATAAAAATCCGCGATTTTACGAAAATCCCGGCTGATTTTGTTGTGTCAACATGGGGTTATATTTTTAGTGCATTTGCTATGTCAACATTAATATTGTTGGTAATTTTGAAAAGACTTTTATCAACAACTTATTGATTTTACTTTTTCCAAAAAAAATTTTTTTTAGTTTTGAAAAATTTTTTTTAAAATTTGAAAAACAAAAATTTTTTCTTTTTATCAATTTGTTACCCCGAAAATGACAATTTTATCCCCACAAATGAATTTTTAAAATAAAATAACCCCTTTTAATGACAAATTCAAACATATATATACCTACCCCACAAACTTCTGCCAAAGTAAAGTAATAAATTCAGAAAGAAAACGCTGTCCGAACTCAAAAGACACCTCTTTATCCACTGGTCGAAGATAAAAAACCGCGGTTTCGAAAGCAGTTGCCAAAAAACGAACGCGCACCCCTTTTCTAACAGCGGTGATCCTTCATTAGAATGTGGTGGGGGATATCGGAAGCGCCAAGATTCGTGCGGTCTTTGAGGAGAAAATGCGAAAATGAATGTTACTGTAGGCTTAAGTGGGCTTGAGCTTACAGCAGTGGATAAAGAGGTTATATGGGTTGGGAAGGGTCATTTTTGGGATATTATAACATAGTTTAGTATATTGACCCAGATCTAAGCCTAAAGTTGTGTGATAAGACTGAAATTCTGTGCTAGGCTTAAAACTATGGCCTAAGTCTAAGGATTTGTGTGCTAGGCCTAAAATTGATTATTAAGCCTAAAATTCTCTGTTAAGCTTAAGAATGTAAGTTAAGCCTAAGGAATTGAGTGCTAAGCCTAAAATTTTCTGTTAAGCTTAAAAATCTTGCGCTAAGCCTAAATTTATCTGCTTCTAATGCTAAACTTGCGTAATAGGCCAAAAATTGTGTAATAAGCCTACACTTGCGTTACAAGCCTAAACTTCTGTATACCGAAGGTAAAATACGAAAGAGGTCATAAATTATAGTATGACACTACCCAAAAATCCAAAAAAATAAAAAATGCCACAATATAATCACTCTATCGAGGTCACACAACCACAATAAGTCTATGATCGAACACATTTACAGGTAGATAGCGGCACATCTAACTTGAAGCTGTTGTGTAAATAAAGGGCGAGTGAAAGTGAACACTAGAGAGATGAGTTTACGACGGGAAATTTGCATAAAATGCCATAAAAAAGTGCGAAAAAGTTTGGCTGAATTAGAGGTTTAGGCTTGGGCTTAGGAGGATGAGGCTTCATAATCTTAGGCATTGTAGGCTTAGGGTTAGTAGGCTTAGGGTTATTAGGCTTCTAGGCGTAGGCTTTTAGGCTTAGGCTATTAGGATTAGGCTTTTAGCCTTTGGCTTCTAGGCTTAAGCTTATAGGCTTAGGCTGAGTAGGCTGATGCTTGTAGGCTTAGGCTTCTAGGCTTAGGCTGAGTAGGCTTAGGCTTCTAGACTCAGGCTTCTAGCCTTCTAGACTTAGACTTCAACGCTTAGGTTTCTGGGCTTAGGCTTAACTTGCATGAAGGCTAATGCTAAAAAAATGTGTTTTAGGCTTTTGCTTCTCTTAGGCTTAAAATTGGGACTGTAGGCTTATAATGGAGGTTTTATGCTGTGAATTGAAATTTTGGCTTAAAATTGGGATTTTAGGTAATAAATATGTATTATAAGCCTAAAAATACGTCTTGAATTAAGCCTACTGGTTAAACATCATACCCATCTGTTTGTTATGGCAAATGCCATTTATAGTAAAGACAACGATAAAAATTTAAATATAAATTAATAAAAAATTCAAATTTCGAAAATTAGTAAAGCAAGCCAGATAACTGTTTAGATCAGAATCAAAAAATATTAAGACAAAAACACGACGATTGGTGATTCAGAAGCGCCCCCAAGGCTTGTGTTTTTAATTTTCAGAACAGACATAATAAAAATATGCATCAGCTCGAACTGGTTTGTGTAATAATTACAAGACTTGAATTGCTTAGGCTTAGGTCTAGGCTTCTATGATTTTTACATTGGCTAAGATAGGGTAAGGTGTTAAATCAGGGCAGATTAAAACAACGTAGAGTCGCAAAGCGTTCTGAAGGGTAAGGCATGGCAGGCAGGGTAAGGTGACGGAGAGAGGGGGCAAGGCAAGGCAATGCTAGGCATGAGGAACGGGCCGGCCCAATTTTCAAGCTCGGCCAGATTTAAATTTTGCTTAGGGCTAGGCAGGGTAAGGTGACGGAGAGAGGGGGCAAGGCAAGGCAATGCTAGGCATGAGGAACGGGCCGGCCCAATTTTCAAGCTCGGCCAGATTTAAATTTTGCTTAGGGCCGACTGGGCTCGAATTTTTTTACGTGCAAACGGGCTGGGCTTCGATTTTCAGGCCCGGCCTGACCTAAATTTGGGCCAAGACCGGTCTGGCCCATTCCTCATCTCTAGGCAAGGCAATCGTAGGGTACGATATAGTAAGGTAGGGTAGAATAGGGTAGGGTAGGGTAGGGTAAAGTAGGGTAGGGTAGAGTATAGTAGGGTAGGGTAAGGTAGGGTAGGGTAAAGTAGGGTAGGTTTGAGCATAGAGAGACAAAATAAAGTAAAATAATACATGATAGTCCAACCAAAATAAAATTTTTTGTAAAAAACGTCTAGGAACAGCAATTTTTTAGTCCACTTTAAGACAATTAAAAGATGAGCAAACTTTGAGGAAAAACCGCATGAAATGACCGCCTTCAGGGCTTATCGCATATTCCATTATTTACCTTGATCTGTCTCGGGGATAATAAAACCGTTTATTACTCTCGAAATTAGCCAGGTTTCGATTTTACATTTTTATTGGCTTTCAGCGTACAATATGTGTGTTTAAAACTTAGCTTACAGTTGTCTATGTATAATATTTTGTAAAATCATAGTTTTTAACTGGATTTTTGATTTTAAATATGCATTTTTAATGTCCTAAGGTTTAATAGTCTTAAGTTTCGTAGTTTTAGGCTTACTACAATAGTTCTGGCCTTCCAGGTCTAGGCCTTTAAGCTTGGGCTTTGGTTAAGAATTGCAGGCTTAGGCTCAGTAGCCTTAGGCTTAGTAGGGGTAGGCTTAGTAGAATTAGGCTTAGTAGGCTTAGGCTTATGCTTAGTAGGCTTGGGCTTAGTAGGCTTAAGCTTGGTAAGTTCAGGTTTTTAGGCTTTTTTTTTGAACACCGTGTATACTGCACGCAGAAATTATTGAGCGCCCCACTAAAGTGGCAATGAGTAAACCGATTTGGACCAAATTTGACATACGTGTTCCTAGTTTACTTTTTTGGTGTGAAAAAGTGTGAAAAAATTATTGAGCACTCCTGGAAAATAGCACGGAGTTGCTAGAACTTGGAAGATTTTTACAAGAATAAGGTAAGATGTTATTATACTATGTTTTAAAGGTGGTTTCAGAATTTTGCCTCAAGAAGAAAAAGACAAAGTTCAAATTTTCGTAAAGACGGGAAAAACCACGTAAGTTAGAAGAAGGACCGACCACGGCAGGAATACTGTAAAGAGAACAATCAGGAATGTTCATAACAAGAAAGTTGGAGAAGATACCAAGATGATTGAAAAAGATTTTGGAAGCAGGAGGTGGAGAAACCTAGGTATTTTAGGGGATGGTCCGTCATTTTTTCTCCTTTTTTTGATCCATTTTTAGAAAATGTTATTTAAAAAGTTGTTTATGATAATGCAACTAATTCTGGTTATGTTTTTGTTGTTACAAGGTTGTTAATAAACTATATATAAAATTTTGTCCAAATCGGTTCACTCATTGCCACGTTAGTGGGGCGCTCAATAATTTCTGCGTGCAGTATATTTTGTCACTTAACATAATGTTTTGTAGCCTACACGATGTGTAGCGTCGTTTTTTAAAAAGACGGTTTGTCTTTGTAATGAAAAAAATATCTTTTTTTACTTTTGTTTTTGTTTATTTTGAAGTTTTGTGTTTATTATGACATCTCAAGGTAACAATCACGGATGGAGACGACTGACTGGAAAAGTTGCTGTAATTACAGCTGCAACTGCTGGGTAAGGGTTTGTTTTTAATTGAGATATGAATTTTAGATGGCTTGAGGTATAATCAGGGTTTCTTAAGCTAAACCTAAGCTGAACCTAAGCTAAGCCTAAACTAAGTTAAGTTTAAGTTACGCTTCAGCTAAGCCGATTTTAAATCATTTTCAGCATTGGCCTGGCCATAGCCGAGAGATTCCTAAAAGAAGGTGCCAAAGTTGTGATATCCTCTAGAAACCAACAGAACGTTGATCAAGCCATATCAAGCCTAATAAAAAATGGCGCAAATGCAGCACACATAGCCGGAAAAAGTTAAGTCTAAATTAAGCCTAAGATAAGCCTAACTAAGCTAAGTTGAGTCTAAAGCGAAGCCTAAAGCTAAGCCTAAACTAAGTCTAAGCCAAGCCTAAGTCAAGCCTAATCTAAGCTTAAAGCTAAGCCTAAAGCTAATCTTAAAGCTAAGAATAAAGCTGAGCCTAAGGCTAAGCTAGGCCTAAGATTATGTCATGTCTAAGCATGACGCTAAATTAAATTTTGATTTCAAAAAATTTTAACGCTCACAAAGCCCATTTATATTTTACAACAGGGTTGCGTAGTGCATAAAGCCGACTAATGACGCCAAATGCTTTATAATGGCATACAAAATTGTGTTATCTATACCAGCCTTATTTATATCCGACCTTTTTTCGCTCTCCTAAAATCTACCCCATCCTATCATACCACACCTTACCGTACCCTACCATACCCTTCCCTACCATACCGTACCATTCCCTACCGTAACCCACCATTCCGTACTACACCCTACCGTACCCTGCCATACCCTACCCTACCCTACCCTACCCTACCCTACCCTACTCTACCCTACCTTACCCTACCCTACCCTACCCTACCCTACCTTACCCTACCCTACCCTACCTTACTCTACCTTACCCCACCTTACTCTACCGTATTGTACCATACTCTACCCTACTCCACTCCCTACCTTATCCTACCCTACCCTATCCTACCTGACTCTGCCTTACTCTACTCTACCCTTTTCTACTTTACCCTATTCTACCCTACCTTTCTCTATTTTACCTTACCAAACCGTACCCTACCTTACTTTACCCTACCTTACTCTACCCTTCCTTACCCTACCCTAACTTATCTAACTCTACCGTACCTCAATGTGCCTTACCTTACCACGTCCCACCCAAATCATTATGCTACTCTACCCTACCTTATCCTATACTACTATTGACCCTACTTGACTCTGCCGTACTTTGTCATACATTATTGTACTATACCTGCAATACCTTATCCAAAATTACCCTACTTTGACAGCTTTATCCGACCTTACTTTACCTTACTTTACTTTATCTTCAAATAAAGATCAAGCCGATCATTTTATGACATTTTATTTTATACATATTTACAGTATATTTTACAAACTATCACTTATTAAGCTTTAAATTCCTCTTTCTCCTCATCACCTCTCTTCAAATAAGCGAATCGTAGCTCCTTGGTCCCAAAATCATGAATAACACAGTAATTCCGCATGAACGGCGCCCCCAGTAGCATTACTTTTAGTGTACTAGAACTGGACAAGTTTAGGTAACAAAAGCCAGTCGGGCGGATGGGATTGGCTGGTAATAAGCTTTTGGAAGATAGCTCTAGATCCATGTGATTTGTCTTTATAGTTAAGGTAAAGTTGGCGTTACAGCGAGCTTTTACCACCAAGGTGCCGTCTCCAATGCGTTGGATTATCTCTTTGTCACCTGGGATTCTGAAAGTAATGTAACTATAATAACGAAGGCTGTATGATAAAGCAGAGTAAACGGAAAGACGAGTTGAAAAAGAGGGTAGGGTAGGTTAGAGCTAAATAGGATAGGGTAAGGCAGGGGTAATGTGGGGGTAAGGTATGGTTTGGTAGAGTAAAACAGGGCATGGTAGGATAGGGCAGGAAATGACAGAGTACGGTAGGGTATAGTAGGATACGGTAGAGTACTGTAAAGTAATTAAAAATGTAATCGAATAAGATAAAATGAGGTAGTGGGGTAGGCTAGGGTACAGTAGGGGATGCCAGAGTACGGTAAAGTATAATAGAGTACGGTAGGATGGGGTAGGGTACTTTAATGTACGGTAGGGTAAAATAGGGTAGGGAAGAGTAGGTTAAGGAAGGGTAGGGTACGGTAGGGTACTGTAATGTACGGTAGGGTATGGTAGGGTATTGTAATGTACGGTAGGATAGGATAGGGTACTATAATGTAGGGAGGTAGGGTAGCGTATGGTAGGCTAAGGTAAGGTAGGACAGAGTACGGTAGGGTAGGATAAAGTGGGGTAGGATACGGTACGATAGTCCATAGTACAGCAAGCTAGGGTACGTTAGGGTCCGACAGGCTAGAATAAAGTAGAGTAGGCTAAGCTTACCGTGCCACAATCTTGTTCAGCAGCCATTCTGGTAACATTATCGTATTACTGCCAGTATCAGACACAGCCACCAAGTACGAGTCCATCTGAATCCTCTCCTCATTCATATGCAGATCATGAACTTCAAAAGCCCAATGGGTCAATGGTCGATCATAATGCAACGGTACTACTTTAGTACTACCAAAGGCTTCAGTACAACTTTCAGGGTCAGTACCGCCTAAGGTAATACGCCCACCGTTCTCGCAAAACTCCTTGGAACATTGGATGAGAACGGTGGTGAAGATAGGCTTACTGAAGAGCTTGGTTCGAATGGCTTCATGAATTAGTGACGTTCCTTTAGATTCTTCTAGGTCTCGAGGAAAGCCCAAGCCTAAAATGCCGTCGGTCGTGAAGGAAACTTCTTTTGCTAAGCCTATCCGGACCTTCTTGGGGAAGGATAACACTGAGCCTAGCTTTTTGTTTCCGATCTGAAATTATATTATGTAAGTATACATTTCCTTTTGATACTGTTGTTTACTTTATCTCTAACGTCTACTTCTCGTACCCTGCCAGGCTTGGACACAGGGCAGGGCATTGGCAAATTTCCATGCCATGCCCTGTGCCCTGCAATGCCCTGCCCTGTACAGGGCATTCGACTTTCATGCCCTGCCCTACCATGCCCTTGCCCTGCAGGGCATCAGGGCATTTACAGGGTATTTACAAGGCATTTGGGTATATTCAGGCGCACGCCTTCGCCGAGTAGTCGATAATCGGCGGACGCCATAACTGGGTTAGTTTAGCAGCTAGAAACATGTAGTTAAGTGCAGAAGTTGTTATCTGTTATAATCTACACGTTAAGGCAGTAATTTATGTTTTTGAAAGCAATATTTTTATCGACCGGTCGATAATTAACAAATATTTAATTTGTACAAAAAACAACGTTTTTTGCTAAGAATTGTACCTAACGCAATATCTGTACGATTTAGAACAACAGAGCGATAAGAATATATATATAAAAATTGCAATTAAAATATACTAAAAATTATCAACCGGTCGATAACAATACTACTTTTAAAATCTTAAAACTATGCTTTTATTTGAAGCCTATGACATATAATAACTTCTGAATTTAACTACATATTTACAGCTACTAAACTAAATAAGTTATGGCGTCCGCTGATTATCGACCGCTCGGCGGAGGCGTCCGCCAAAGCTTACCATGGCACAAACAGGGCATTCGCAGGGTAATGCAGGGCATATGCTATGCCCTGCCCTGTTCCAAGCTATACCATGCCCTACCATGCCCTGTTACAGGGCATGGTACAGGGCACCCTGCCCTTTGTCCAAGCCTGTACCCTGCCCAATGCCTGAAATTGTGTGCTAAGCTTAGAATCGATTGTTAAACCTAAAATTATATTCTTAGCTTATAATATGGACCTAAGCCTGAAATATTCCCTATAAGCCTAAAACTTTGTCAGAAGCTTAAAAATAAGTATCGAAGTCTAAAAATGTGCACCTAAGCCTAAAATGTGTACCTAAGCCTAAAAATGTGTACCTGAGCCTAAAAATGTAACTAAGCTTAAACTATCATCTTAATCTTAAAAATGTGTACTTAAGCCTAAAAATGAAACCTCTAACCTACCCTACCCCATGCCCTACCCTATTCTCTACCCTACCCCTATCCTTTCACCTACCCAGCCCCCTACCCTACCCCTACGCTAAAACGACAAACCTAATAAAACCTTACCATAACATAATCCTTGATCTGTTCGCCAGCAGCATGCCCAATAGCATACCTACTCTCAAACACCAATCCCGTCTCTTCGGCCGTTCTCGACCGAAGTCGGTTGAACGTTCGATCATACAAAGCAAAATGCATAGCACGGCCAGGTATGGCATAGTGACAACCATACTTGGGCAGCCATAGTACCGAGGACCCGGTATCAAATACAACATCCAGCACTTGTGGTGGACTGCCAATTGACACCTTGCCTGTGTATTTAAGGGATTGGTCCTTTAAACGTTCCACAAACCCCTCTTCTAACGTGATGTTGGGCTCGGGCTTGGGGAAGGATGGCTCTCGTTTTACTGTAAGCAAATTATATTGTAGTAGGAGCAGGTACCATTATTGGTAAAGTTTTGCCATTTCTTGTTTTGTAAACAAAGTTCTTGCAAGTTTTTGTTTTGTAAAGAAAGTTTTTGCCGTTTTTTGTTTTGTAAAGAAAGTTCTTGCCATTTTTTGTTTTGTAAAGAAAGTTCTTGCCATTTTTTGTTTTGTAAAGAAAGTTCTTGCCATTTTTTATTTTGTAAAGAAAGTTTTTGACATTTTTTGTTTTGTAACGAAAGTTCTTGCCATTTTTTATTTTGTAAAGAAAGTTTTTGACATTTTTTGTTTTGTAACGAAAGTTCTTGCCATTTTTTATTTTGTAAAGAAAGTTTTTGACATTTTTTGTTTTGTAACGAAAGTTCTTGCCATTTTTTATTTTGTAAAGAAAGTTCTTGCCATTTTTTATTTTGTAAAGAAAGTTCTTGCCATTTTTCTTTAAAAATCCTTTCTTTCGGTCTTCCCTGACTAAAAATGATGTGATGACATAGCTATGAAAAAGGGCGCATAATTAAGTGAACGGTCTACTATAAACCTTCATAGCAATATCCACCCCTACCTTTAGTGAAATTTAACAACGGCCGAGCACTCAACTTGATCTCCACCACATTACCATGCCCTTTAACCCACAATAATAAGAAGAACAGACATATATTGTGATTGAACCGGACCATATCAAGTTGCAGCCACTGTACACACCTTTACCCCTCCCGACTTCCAGTTTCCGTCGAGAAACGGGTATCCACGAGAGAGGAATCCATCTTGTTTTAAAAAACGGTCGAATTTTGCTTCGACTCCTCTTTTTATTGTTTTTCAAGTTGTTTCGACGGCTTTGTTCCAACGTATATTAATATAGGTAATAAGTGGGTAGTAGGGTTGAGTAGAGTAGGGTAGGGTAAAGTATTAAGTTTTTAATAGAAGAAGGGAAAGCCCACCTTACCCCTACCCCTACCCCTAACCCTACCCCTACCCCTACCCCTACCCCTACCCCTACCCCTACCCCTACCCCTACCCCTACCCCTACCCCTACCCCTACCCCTACCCCTACCCCTACCCCTATCCCTACCCCTACCCCAACCCCTACCCCTACGTTGCCCTGTTCTGCTTTGCCAGGCCCTACCTTATTCTTGACTTACTCTAGCTTACCCTACCTTACCCTATCCAGCCTACAATAGGCTTTACCCTGCCCAAGGCTTTATCCTGCCCTAACTCTGACCTACCCAAACTGACGCAAAGCCGTAAAAATAAAAATATTGACCTACTCGCAGTAATTTGTTGGGTGGTTTTACATCGAGGCAAATATGACCAAAGTAAACAATATTACATAAGAAAACGTTGTGTAATACGGTTTTTTGCAATTTACCTAAGGCTATTTTAATATGTAATTAAATCATCTATATTACGATTACATTGAGTAATGCTATAACGAACAATTCTATCCGTACCCTGCCCTACTCTACCAAACCTTAGAGGTCTACCGGTCCGGTATTCAAACGAGGACCGGGACCGCGGTCCTAAATTTTTTCACCGCACCGCCCCAACTTTGAAAATGCATTTGGTCGGACCAGACCAGACCGATGCACCGGTTTTGTTCGGTTTGCGCCGACAGCCACTTCTACCCTACCCCCAGAAAAGTAGTTGTCATTTTTAGTTTTGTAAAGAAAGTTCTTGCTATCTTGTGCCTATTTATACCCTACCCTACCATACCATTTTTTAATTTTTTGGTGACTTTACAGTACTTTAAAGTTCCTTTCCTTTCATTTTTTTACGTTATCGTTATTATGTTTCAAGTTGTTCTCTTTCCGGAAAACCGGTTTAATCACATCACACAAACGTTTCCGAACGTTCTTTTTTAAATTCTAGATTTCTTTTTTTTGCTTTGACTAGAACAATATTTGCGGTAAATTTTTTACACTTTTATTAAAGTGAAGTGCTTTCAGTTTACTGTAACTAAATCAATCAAGTTTTTTCAACGTGTCCATAGCCTACGTTATGACGCGTTTTTGTAGGCTTTACCCTACCCTGGTCTATCCTACCCTACCCTACCCTACCCACCCTACCGTACACTATTCAATTACCCTACTCTAATATATCCTGCTCTATCTAACATAACTCTGCCCCATCTGATCCAATCCGGCTGTACCTTATCCTACATTAGATAAGCTAATCAACCAGAGCTGAATCGAGTTTACAGCGTAGCCCGATTCAATTTTATTTTCGGCCTGGCACGCCTAAAGCCCGACCCTGCCCTACTGCTATGTCTAACCCTACATACACCGACCACATCGTATCCTACCATTCCTTACCCTACTCTACCCCACCCTATCCTACCATACCTTGCTCTATCCTACACCAAATACCCCAACCGCATCATACCCTCCCCTAAAAAATTTAAAAACTTTAAATTACCACGCCTTGAAATGAAAGTTTATTATGTTCTTTTCTTTGCCATGGAGTAAATATTTGTCAAGCAATGCCAAATAAATTACTACGTTATAAAAAGCTGTGTCATGCAGTAAAATACAAGGCTTCTTCTTATTAAATTAACAAAAATATTATATTCACCAAGCTATTTTCGGTGTTCGATATATTAAAATGTAAAAAAGAAGTCTTGTCGTCAATTAGCAATGTTTTCAATGGTAAAAAACGACAAAACTTTTTTTTTGACATTTTTTCGACCGAAATTACATTTTTTCGACCAAATCTTCTTCTTTTTCGACCGGAATAAAATTTTTTCGACAAGAACTAAATTTTCGGTCAAAAAATTCGTAGAAAACAAGAAACCATCTTAGTAAAATAGAAAGAAAGCATATGTTATTAATGATAGGTGATTGGCGAGGTAATGGCTTGATTAAGACGTAGATTTACATACAAATGAGCCCAAGTTTAATGTAATACAGAGAAACAACTTTTAAACCGTGTTATATTGTGATAGGAAAGATAGCAATGCTTTTTCGAAAACCAACTTGAAATTACAGTATCTTATGACCAGAGATACGGATTTTTCTTGGGAGGGGAGATGAAAAAAGAATAAATACACACTCATTGACCCCCACCTCCTCTCGACGACATTTTTCTAGCAGGGGGGGGAGGGCGGAAAAAAACGAATCCACCCCAGTTCACCCCTTCCCTCTAGCAAAGTCCCTGCTTATGACCGAAAACACTCATAAAATTACAGTATCCATTAATCAAAAAGCCCCGTAGAGTTACAGTATCCTTTAACTAAAAGACCCCATAAAATTACAGTATCCTTTAACTAAAAAACCCTATAAAGTTACAGTATCCTTTAGTTAAAGAACTTCATAAAGTTACAGTATCCTTTAACTAAAGAACCCCATAAAATTAAAGTATCTTTTAGCTCAAGGACCCCATAAAGTTACAGTATCCTTTAACTAAAGAACCCCATAAAATTAAAGTATCTTTTAGCTCAAGGACCCCATAAAGTTACAGTATCCTTTAACTAAAGAACCCCATAAAATTAAAGTATCTTTTAGCTCAAGGACCCCATAAAGTTACAGTATCCTTTAACTAAAGAACCCCATAAAATTACAGTATCCTTTAACGAAAAGACCCCATAAAATTACAGTATATTCGGTCAAAAAATCCATATAAATAGTAAAGTTACAGTACACAAAGATGTACAATTACAGTACCTCTCCCTTCCTCAAGCGTACTGTCTTGGACCAGAAGCGGTGTTCGTACTGTAGCCGAAACCTTCTCTCAGCACGATTTCCTTTCCATCCACAATCAAGTACTTCAGATTGGAGAGATTTCCATTCGGACAGGCACGGTAGATTCGAATTACGTAGTAAATCATTGCCACCGCTGATATGGCACAGAAAATCTAAAAAAATTAAAAATTCAAAAAAAATTTTAAAATAAAATCAATTTTAAAAGTACAGTACCTACCGTAGCAAAAAGATATGTCAAGAACAAGGAAAAGCGGTGTTCGATGCCACTAACCATGGCTATGGCATTAATCAGGGTACCAATACAGAATAAGGCACCCAAAATTGTGTTTACAAAAAAATCCTGAAAATTTGTTTTAAACAACAAACCGTTTTGATGTAAGCCTACAAGTATATCCCTAAAAATAAAAAAAATCGTAAGCTAAACGTAGCCTTACTTGAGCCTACAAAACATAAGCCTAAATGTAGGTAACATCATAATAAGCCTACTATGACTAAACCAAATGCACTTAAGCCTAAAGAACATATGTTTACATAGCGTTAGCCTACTAAAACACAATCTACCGGGCCCAAAATCGCAAAGCCTTAAGCCTACCAAGCCTGAGCTTACTAAGCCTAAGCTTACCATGCCTAAGCCTACTAAGCCTAAGCCTGCAAAGCCTGAGGCCATTAAGCCTAAGCTTATTGAGCCTAAGCCTACTAAGTCCAAATTAGACGATTCTTTTTTTAGTACACTTGAAATTGCGGACGGATTTGGTATTGGTACTTCACTTTTTAATATTCGGCGGAGGTTCGGCGTAGGCCAGCGGAGGCGAAGGCCATAGCTCAGTCAAATTTCAATATTTTTTCTCTGGAAAAAAAATGCTGGCATCTGAAAGCACTGTTTTACGTAACTACTGCAAATTTAATGTTTTACGCCAAAAAATATTGAGTTTGAGCGGAGTTAAGGCCTACGCCGTTTTCTCTGCCAACCGTCCGCCGATGAAAATTTTCTAATTTTAAAATTAGTAGAGATGCTTAAAAACCTCAAATGAACATTTAGAGTTACTTATCGAAGAAAAAATATTAAAAATCGACCGAGATATGGCCTTCGCCGTTTTTTCTCCGCCAATCGTCCGCCAATTTCAAAACAATTATTTTTTTTAAATTTGAAATTATATAAAATCGTTGAAAAACTAAAAGCAACATCTCCAGTTTTTGTCCGGTGAAAAGATGTTGAGTTTGAGCGGAGTTATGGCCTTCGCCGTTTTTCTCCGCCGACGGTTTGCCGATGCAGGGAAAAATTTATTTTCGATAACAAAGCGTTTTGAGGGACCAATAGGAGTTACGGGAATAGAAAATCAAGGTTTTGGATTGGTCAAAGCAAAAATATAGCGTCCGCCGGTCTCCGCCGACCGTCCGCCGAATATCCAAAAACAAAGTACAAATACCAAATCCGTCCGCCATTTCAAGCATACCAAAAAAAGAATCGTCCAATTTGGACCAGTATTCTTTGAGAACGAAGCTTTTAGTTTCCTCCAAAAATCTTGGGACACCCTGTAGTATGCTTAGCTTACCCTACACATACCTCATAAAATTCAAACTCTTCAAAAATAAGCCTAAAACACAAATCGAATTACCACCTACCGCAATAGTAACAGCAAAATAGGTGATACTGTTATTCGTCGTTTCCACTGATTTTCGTTGGACTCCGAGTAGGTACATGACCAAAATTAGGAAATTCGAAGTCAAGGCGAACCATGCCACCATACACACAAATCCAACCCCACTGTAAATGTAGGGCCCCAAGTATACCGTAACCAGAAAAGCAAATGGTGCTACGACATGGAGGGTTTTTAGAACACCAAATGGAAATGAAAGGCAAAACGACCAGTCGAGCTCGACCATCTGCAAAAATTCAAAATTTGACTAATTTTTAAGAGTTGAAATTAAGCCTAAAGCCAAGGCTAAAAAGCGAAAATTAAAGTCAAAGCTTAAACTCATTAAGTTTGATTAAGCTTAAGCCTAGACCTTTATTTTCAAGCGTCTGAGCTGAAGCCTAATACTTATACGCCTATCGAAAATCCAACCATCTAAAGCCAATAAGCCTAAACTAGCTACACACAAGGCTACGCTGGTTAACCCTAAACCTACTAAGCCTAAATCTACTAAAGGCTGAGCATAATAAACATGCAAAACCTAAACTTACTTAACTTAAGCCTACTAAGCCTAAGCCTACCAAGCCTAAGCTTACTAAGCCTGCTAAGCCTAACCTGCTAAGTCTAATCCAACTATATCTAAAGAAAAAAAAGCTTACCAAGCCTAAGCTTACTAAGCCTAAACCTATTAAGCCTAAGTCGCCTAAGCCTAAGCCTGCTATGCCTAAGCTTACTAAGCCTAAGCTTGCTAAGCCTAAGCGTACTGAGCCTAAGCCTAATAAGCCTAAGTCTACCAAGCCTAAGCCTACAAAGCCTAAGCCTACTAATTGTAAGCCTATTTAACCTTAGCCGATAGGCTTACCAAGCCTAACAGTACAAAACTGTAAAAAATATTTAAAAAATCAAGTATTCCATGGCCTTTCAACCATTCATATCATTCTCAACACAACAAATCACATTTTTAATCAATGAAAGCCACGGTTTATTCAAATAACTGATATGATTCGCAATTAGAAATACCACAATAACATATTTTTGCACAATATATATATAGTTTTGTATACGAGTAGAATACTGAGCACAACAGTATCATACCGAACATTCGAGTATGATACGTTTTTAGCAATTTTAGGTAAGAATAAGAAAAAAATGACCAAACTTGATGATAATATAGCGATATCAACAAAATTGAGTACAATAACAAGTTAAAAGTAATCACTTTTGTGTGAGAATGAACTTTGAGTAAAAACTTTTTACAAATTATTTTTTTTAATTTTCAAAATTTTGAAGAATTTTTTTTACCAAAAAATTTTTTTGAACAAAATTCCTAAATTGAGCTTGCTTTAGCGTCTAGCAACCAATCTATAAGCCTAATAAGTCAAAAACAGATCTTTAAGCCTAAAAAATGAAGCCTAAACGATTAAGGCCTTAAAGACATACAAAATTAAGCCTAAAGTTTCAAAAATAGGTCTTTAAGCCTAAAATCTCAAAACATAGGTCTTTAAGCCTAATAAGTCAAAAACAGACCTTTAAAGCCTAAAAAGTAAGGTCTGAACCATTAAGCCATCGAAGACTTAAAAAACTAAGCCTAAAAGTCAAAAATAAGCCTTTAACCCTAAAAATTCAAAAATAGGCTTTTAGGCCTAAAATGTCTAAAATAGGCTCTTAAGCCCGGAAAGGAAATTCTAATCCATCCAGCCCTCAAAAAGATACCAAATTAAGCCTAAAATTTGGCCATGAAAAAAAACCTTAAATCAAAACCTTAGGCTTAAACCCAATAAAAAATAAAAATCTTAGGCTTAAACCAATAAAACATTAAAAGTCTTAAGCTTGAACCCAATAAAATACAAGCCTAAACAATAAAAAACCTTTCAAAAATCATAAAATAAAAATTGGCCTTGAATAACCCAGTGAAGAAGATAAGAGTAAAAGTGGAGTAACAACCGGTATTTCGATTATAAATAGGACTGTTTTTTAGGTATAAATGAAAATACTTTAGAGATGATATCACAATATATTGATTATATAATATACAACAGGCCTTTTGATAGCGCGACCTGTGTCTTTAGTGCAACTTTGAGTATATTGAAACTTAGATTACTGTAGAGTCAGTTATAGTACCAAATACTACCATTAGTACTGTACCAAAAAGTGCTATTGATACTCTACCAAAAGTAGTACCATAAGCACAGTACTAAACAGTAGACCATTGGGACCATCTGTTAAACCAGCACTGTACCAAAAAGTACCATTAGCAGTGTAACAAGAAGTAGTATTGTGAATACAGTACCAAGCGATACCATCAGCAGTGTACCAAAAACAGTACCATAAGTATGAGTACCATCCACAGTGTACCAAGAAGTAGTATGGTGAGTACTGTACCAAACGATTCTCTCAAAAGCGTACCAGAAATAGTAACATAATACTAGTACCATTAGCAGCGTACCAAAAATTATCATTAGTACTGTACCAAAAAAAACGTACCACTAGCACCACCTGTAGAATCAAATTCAGCTTCAACCCACATTACTGTAGAGGTCTTTTATTACTGTCGATGCTTTTTATTACGGTAGATGCCATTTATTACTGTACATAACGACTGCCGTCTTAATCCAATGTCATTTCTGCGTCGTTTAGACCGTTTTGTGGTGCTGGAGAAGGTTGATTTTCAGTCGATTTTTGTCGAATTTGTCGTCGGATGCCTTTTACCGCGTCTTTCAGCTCTTCGTATTCCTAAAATACGTCATTAATTTGATAAAATTATCCTTCAAACGCTATTTCCAAATTAACTTTTCCATCGTATAACTTGTCACCCGCAGCCTGCAGGCCATTCAACTCTTAAATTTGACTATTTCTCTGTAAAGAAAGTTCTTGCTTTTTTTTGTTTTGTAAAGAAAGTTCTTGCCATTTTTTAGTTTGTAAAGAAAGTTCTTGCCATTTTTTAGTTTGTAAAGAAAGTTCTTGCCATTCTTTGTTTTGTAAAGAAAGTTCTTGCATTTTTTTAAAATTTTCAAAAAAAATTTTTAATTCCTCCCCCCCCCCGACCCACTTCGAAAACCAAAAAAACTTAAGTCTTACCGAAAATGGCACTTTCAGTACCATGGCCGCATTGATAGCATACATGTACTGCTCTAGTGGAGTTGGTTCACTTGGGTCTTCCAGGTTCGCGTACTGATAAGTTGAAACTACCGTTTCGAATACATCTGATGTGATTTTGACAATTGGCAGCTTCAGTTCTTCTTTTTGGGTTTTGTTGTTGTTGTAGGTTTTCGAGCATCCTGAAATTTAAAAAAATTAAAATTCGGCCAAAACGTTGTTGTAGACAGTTTAAAATGGCAATAACTTTCTTTACAAACCAATAAATAGCAAAGACTTTCTTTACAAAACTTAAACTTATCGTATAAATTGTCACCTCTAGGCTGCACAATGAAAATTTTGTTTCATAACAGCAAAAAAATTTCTTTCCACTCAAAAAACCGACAAAAACTTTCTTTCCAAAACAAAAAATTGCAAGAACTTTCTTTCCAAAACAAAAAATTGCAAGAACTTTCTTTACAAAATCAAAAACGGCAAGAACTTTCTTTACAAAATCAAAAAATAGCAAAAATGTTCTTTAAAAAACCAAAAAATCGAAAAAAAATTTCTTTCCACTGTTTAAGCATCAGAAATTACCGTCTGACACTTTGAGTCAAAAAAACTAAGCAACTTTTGAAAACTCCCAACTCATGGCCATTCCCTTTTTTCATTACTCAAAACGCCAAAACTTTCGATCCATCAAAATGTGATTTTCGGACAAGATCTTTTGGCCACTTTTTCTTCTTGGCCGCATTCGAATTAATCGATTTTTGCAAAAAATAAATAAAAATAACTTAATGACGTTGAAAAATAACGTATTTCCGGAAAATGTTGTTTTAAAAAGGGCAAAAAAATTTAAAAAATCCTTTCTTTTAATTTTTGGTAAAAAATGTTGTTAACAAAGTTTTTGCGGTTTTTGGTACAATATATTACTAAGAGTAGTAGGAATATATAGGAAAAAGGGTAATTAAGGGAAGGGAGTATGTTGGTAGGGGGTTGGTGGTAGGGGGCAGGGGGTAGGGAGTAAAGAGTAGGGGGTAGGAGGTAGGGGGGTAGGTGGTAGGAGGTAGGGGGGGTAGGGGGCAGGGGGTAGGGAGTAAAGAGTAGGGGGTAGGGGGGGTAGGAGGTAGGGGGTAGGGGGTAGGGAGGGGGGGGTAAGGGGTAGGGGGTAGAGGGTAGAGGGTAGGGGGTAGAGGGTAGAGGGTAGGGGGTAGGGAGGGGGGGGTAAGGGGGTAGGGGGTAGGGGGTAGAGGGTAGGGGGTAGGGGGGTAGGGGGGTAGGAGGTAGGGGGGGGTAGGGGGTAGGGGGTAGGGGTAGGGGTAGGGGGGTAATTTTTGGTAAAAAATGTTGTTAACAAAGTTTTTGCGGTTTTTGGTACAATATATTACTAAGAGTAGTAGGAATATATAGGAAAAAGGGTAATTAAGGGAAGGGAGTATGTTGGTAGGGGGTTGGTGGTAGGGGGCAGGGGGGTAGGGAGTAAAGAGTAGGGGGTAGGGGGTAGGGGGGTAGGAGGTAGGGGGTAGGTGGTAGGAGGTAGGGGGGGGTAGGGAGTAAAGAGTAGGGGGTAAGGGGGTAGGGGGTAGAGGGTAGGGGGTAGGGGGTAGGGGGTAGGGGGTAGGAGGTAGGGGGTAGGGGGTAGGGGGTAGGGGGTAGGGGGTAGGGGGGTAGGGGGTAGGAGGTAGGGGGTAGGGGGTAGGGGGGTAGGGGGTAATTTTTGGTAAAAAATGTTGTTAACAAAGTTTTTGCGGTTTTTGGTACAATATATTACTAAGAGTAGTAGGAATATATAGGAAAAAGGGTAATTAAGGGAAGGGAGTATGTTGGTAGGGGGTTGGTGGTAGGGGGCAGGGGGTAGGGAGTAAAGAGTAGGGGGGTAAGGGGTAGGGGGTAGAGGGTAGGGGGGTAGGGGGTAGGGGGTAGGGGGTAGGGGGTAGGAGGTAGGGGGGTAGGGGGGGTAGGGGGTAGGGGGGTAGGGGGGGGTAGGGGGTAGGGGGTAGGGGGTAGGGGGGGTAGGGGGTAGGGGGTAGGGGGTAGGGGGTAGGGGGTTGGTGGTAGGGGGCAGGGGGGTAGGGAGTAAAGAGTAGGGGGTAAGGGGGTAGGGGGTAGAGGGTAGGGGGTAGGGGGGTAGGGGGTAGGGGGGTAGGGGGGTAGGAGGTAGGGGGTAGGGGGTAGGGGGTAGGGGGTAGGGGGGGTAGGGGGTAGGGGGTAGGGGGTAGGGGGTAGGGGGTAGGGGGGTAGGGGGTAGGGGGTAGGGGGTAGGGGGTAGGGGTAGGGGGTAGGGGGTAGGGGGTAGGGGGGGGTAGGGGGTAGGGGGTAGGAGTAGGAGTAGGAGTAGGGATAGAGGCAAGGGTAGAGAGTAGGGTATGTATAGTAATAAGAGTAGAAGTAAGAGTAGAGGTAATGATTAGAGCATAAGTAAAGGTAAAGCCCTTACCAATCCCTTGCTCTGAACTCCAGGCGAATTGACCGAGTTGTAGCTGCCAGCCGCCGAGCTTGGTCGATTCTGTGGTGACCTGGTCGCCTCTGTCCTTGATGGTGCTGACGGTGGACCATTATGAGTTGAGTATGGTGATAACGTGTTCTTTGGAGACGTAACCTCCACTTCCTCCTGCTTTACATTGCTTTCTTGAATTACTGTAACATTGTCAGCGCCCCAGTATTTCCAAAAGTCAACGAAAAATGGCATTTCCTCCATCGTGCCATAGTGAGAGCGTTTGTCCAGGATAATCGATCCTTCTATCGCTGCTTCGTTGTTCATCAACAAAAACACATCTAGATGACAGCTTCCCAGGACAATTCGGAATCTAGTTGGTGTGACGGTAATCACTGTCAACTGAAAATTTTCAAAATCAGTTAAAAATTTTTTAAAAAAATTTTCGTCGTCTCAAAAAAATAAAAAAAAATGTAAAGAAAGGTTCTTCCAAATATTGAAAATCCTCACAACGCCATTTTACATCATTGTAAACAAAGTTATTGCTAAAGAATTAACTTCCGCACCATGCAGCGCCATTTGTCTGTTTCACAGTGCGAAAGCGCGATCCCGTCCGATCTGACAAGTTACGCAACGGTGCGCTTGATTATTATAAAAAGTTCGAGGACACTGGGCGAAAACAAAATTTTTCAGCTTTTTAGAGTAGTAGAAAGAAATTTTTCGCCATACATTGATCCAGATATGTTATAAAATGTCATTTTTCCTATAAAACAAAATTGTCCACTTTTACCTTTTAAAAAATTTTTTTGGCCATTTCCCACCCCTAAAATCATTAAAAACCCACCCTCAAATCCCTGACAAACGCATTCCTGTCTTTTTCCTCCATTTTCCCAATGTTTTCATCAAACTCCAACAAGGTGTGTGGCCTTCTGTACCTCAGGTTCTGAATGCATTTCATCGTATTCTCGGTTGAATTCAAATACTGTACCAATGACACCAGATCCTTGTTTCTTGTGATGTCATCTTGAATAAGATGGGCTACCATCCAATGTGGGTTCCAGGCGCGGTCTCTTCTGTAGCTTGGCGGTTCTGGTCGTCCAAAATATCTTATTTTCTGTTGATTTTGGCCATGTAACCCTTTAAAATCCATTGAATTAAACTGATTTGGTTGAGCATTGACCTGATTCGCTTGAGGATTGAACTGATTCGTCTGAGCATTGTATTGGTCCGTAGTGTAGGCCTCAGAAGCGTCTTCATTTTTCAGGTTTGAGCCATCAAAGGCTCCAAAACCGGCTCCATTTTGGTCGATTTCCATCTTTTCCACGCCATTCTGCCACGTCTGGCCATCGTATGAGCCATTGCCATTGTTTTTTAGACCTGTCTTTTCAACAGAAGCTTCATTCCCACCATATTGACCATTGCCAGCTCCATATTGTTCACTACCAGCTTCAACACGGCTTCTTCCTTGACCTTCAATATTACCCATGCCTCCTTCAATAGTGCTCATTCCTTCAATATTACCCATGCCAACCCCCAGCTCTCCCATATTCTCCACCCGCGGCTGTTGAGTGAACAAAACGCTGAATCCTCGTATCTTGGCCTTGTAGATCACCGTGACCAACAATCTGCGATGTTCTCCATAGGCCATTGTGATCTTGTGATGATTGAACTCGATGATATTAACCATGTTTCTCAGCTCTGGCATTAGCTCCAGCTCTCTTGTGGGGTCATGTAGGGTCGAGCAGATCCGTAGCTTTTCCACCGCTGCCAGTGATAAGGCGTATGATGCTGATGAGCATTGTACTATAGATACACTTGGGAGGTACTGGATGTATGGTAGGCGTTTTCTGGTTCGGATGTTACTATTGATGTAGGTAGTGAGTGAGTTTTGAGGTAGTTCGGCGGAGGTTGCTGGTTGGTCTACAGCCAGGTCTATTATCCATTGATTTGATCGTATGTAGCTTGTGGATAAGGTAAAGTGATGGAGACTTTGGATGTAGGATAACGAGTCTTTTGTGATGTCAGAGGCGGTGAAACTGAAAAAAAGTGATTTTTAGGTACCAAATTTTATAAAATTCTAATTTTTTGAAAACAATTTTAGGTAACAGTTTTTTTTTTAATTTCAAAAATTCAAAATTCTCAAACTTACTCCACCAAAGACAATCGACACCCACGGCATTTGCAGTGTTTGGGTAATATCGTCGCTATGTTCAGTCGTTTCACGTTTTCATTCATCTTTTCGGTCGATAATCGTTCTCCCAGTCGATTTAACGACTCAGCAATTTGAGCTCTTGAACTCCATTGAATGGCTTCGGCAGCGTACAGATTTTGGGCCAAGTCGTACAAATTTCTGTCTAAAATGAGAAAAAACGGTAAAAACTTTCTTTACAAAACGCCAAATAGCAAGAACTTTCTTTACAAAACAAAAAATGACAAGAACTTTCTTTCCAAGCTATTTTTTGCCAATATTTCATTATAAATCAAAATCCCTACCAAAAACGTCTGGTTTCTTTGAGAAAGCCTCAATTAGGTTACAATTTATCAAATCGACCATTGAAATTTTGGTACCACAACAATGGGACAGGAAAAATCGGACACCGGCATCAATTCCATTCATTTCTTCAAAGCCAACAAGCTAAAATGACATAAAAGATGAGATAATTACTTCAAAATTTAAAAATTTCTCAAAATTTCAAATTTTTTAAAACTTTTTTTCAAAGTTCATAAGTTGTAAAAAACCTCAAAAAACAGCAAAACTCACCAAGTAATACCTAGGCTCCTGAATAAACTGTAAGCATATCCTGTCAGCTGGGAGTTGTTTAGCGTTTTTGCACGTAACATCAACAAATGAGTCAAAAACAGTTCGAAAGTGCAACAACGGTACTTGTGTCTCAAACCGTTTCTTCATCAATTTCATTTGCAACTTCTGAATCGCTTTTTGAATCAATTTTTGGTCGATATTCGATACTTTTAGGGCTAGATTCGTCTCCAAATCCTCCAATTCTTGAAAGTTTTTAGCGTCGTAACCTAAAAGTGTAAAAAATAAAAAAATTGTAAAGAAAGTTTCTTCCAAGACTCAAAAATACTCAAAAATGTAATTTTATACCATTGTAAACAAAGTTATTGCCAAAAAGTTAATTTCTGCACCGTGCAGCGCTATTTGCCTTCTTTGCACAGTGCAAAAGCGCGATCCCGTCCGATCTGGCAATTTAAGCAACGGTGCGCTTGATTATAAAAAGTTCGATAAACAGTAGGTGTAAACAAAAATTTTGGGTTTTTAAGATACTGGAAAGAAAGTTTTTTGCAATTTTTTTTTAAATTCTACCGTCATAAATAAGGTCATTTTAAGCTTGTAAACAAAGTTTCCACAATTTTTTTCATAAAATCTCCCTGCCTTCTTACCTCTTTCCTTTTCCCTCTCAGAATTCAGCACTGGTACGGTGCAATGCAGCTCGCCAGTGAATGCGTTCATCGCAATGTGAAGCGCTTCTTCTTCGGTACAATCATCGACCGGTAATAAGTCGAAGATTAGCCGGACGGCCGCCGTTCCAACCACCTTTATCCTTGGTTTTTCGGTTTTTACTCTGTCCGTCAGTTTGTTGAGGAAGGAGTGAACTTGGTCTAGACGTTCGCCACATCTCAATAAGACCGTTTCGCTGACTAGTCGATGAATTGAGGTCAAACTGGAAAAAACAAAGTTGAAATTGATTTTTAGGTTTGAAAACATATTTTAGGCTTAAAAATAGATTTTAGGCTTAAAAATAGATTTTCGGCTTAAAAATAGTTTTTAGACTTGAAAATATAAATAAAAATTTAAAAAGATGACTTTAGACTTAAAAATAGATTTTAGAATTAAAAATAGATTTTAGGCTTAAAAGTAGATTTTAGGCTTGAAAATATAAATAAAAATTTAAGAAGATGACTTTATGCTTAAAGATATAATTTTAGGCTTAAAATTATTATGTTACAGTTAAAAATGCTACTTTAGGCTTAAAAACCAAAAAAAAATTTTCAATAAACACTAACTTTTCAGTAAAAATCTAAAAAAACGCCTCTGAAACCCAAAAAATAGCGTGAAAACCCCATTTTCAAACTAATTTCCACCTTTGTTTTATTAGTAATACAGAAAACAAAACCAATTCTAATATAACTTTTTCAAAAACAATACATTTCCAACCCAGGATTCAAACAATAACATCCATTTTAAGCCTAACTTTTCTTTTTCAAGCCTTTTTTCTCTTATTAGTCCTGTCATGAAAAGACGTTACTAGAAGGGGAAGAAACGCAGAAAAGTTTCTAGAAGGAGAGAGGGACCGGAGGAAAGTGAATGGGGTAGATCCACCCCCAGGTCCGATTCGAAAAGAAAATCCAATAGTAGGACCAGTGCACAAAAAAATTTTTTTTTGAAAAAGAAGTGTACTAGTGCTACCAAAAAACCAAAAAAAAATTTTTTATACTCCCCCCCCGCCAAAAACAATCTGTAGCAACACGTCCCTGATACTGCCATGCCGTAAAACCCTTAACAATTCAAAACTTATTGCTAATTTCCGAAATAACAGCAAAACAAAAGGCTTCCTTCTCCTCTCGTCCCCAATTCGAAGGTCAATTTGTGAGATGAGAATTCGAGGTAAGAGATTCGAAAATAAGGATTACTATCGCTCGTGCAGAAAATCGACCTTGACTGCCGCTTAATTTACTAAACAACTTATGGAAATTGACGTAAGTGGATTTTAATTGAAACAATTATAAAAATGAAAATTTTGGAAATTTTTTTTTCTGAAATTTCATTTTTTATTACCTAAAATAATTTTTCTCGCCAAAAAAATAATATATCTTACTTAAAATTTGATTTTTTATCCAAAAAGTTAATATTTGTTACCTAAATTAAAAAAAATTTTGTTACCTAAAAATAATAAATTCAATTTTTATGATCTAAAAATCCGTTATCACTTTGAATATAATTACAAATCCTATTTCGTTACCTAAAAACAAAAAAAACCAAATCTTGTTACCTAAAAACAGCAACTCCACTTTTATTACCTAAAACCCCAAAAAAATCCCCTCTCCCTACCTTCCATCCTCCTTGTACAACCCAGGCAGTGGCCTGGTCGCTGGAGAATGTCGTATCTTCAACTTGGAACAGAGCTGATCCTTGTTTCTCCATATTTGAATTCGATATTCAGATTCGAATTGAGTCGACTTCTTTTGGCGTTGTGTTGCTTTTCGTTGTGACCAGTATGACAAAACAAGAGTTTCTCTTCGCAAATCATAGGATTCGACCGTTAGGAACTTGAGGGAGATGGTTCTTGTTAGGTGCATGGCTTGACAATATAGGATATCAAGTTGGAGTTTGATGCAGAACTTGTGCATTACATCGTACAGTACTTCTAAGGGCTGAAAATAATTTTTTTATCAAAGCTTGAAAATTTACAGACTGCAGGCGACATGTTATACAAAAAAATCATTTTTAAGCTTTGTAAAGAAAGTTTTCGTCATTTTTTGTTCTGTAAAGAAAGTTCTTCTCATTTTTTGCTCTGTAAAGAATGTTCTTGCCATTTTTGATTTGTAAAAAAAGTTTTTGCCATTTTCTATTTTTTAAAGAAAGTTATTGCCATTTTTCGCCTTGTAAAGAAAGTTCTTGCCAAATCCCTTTTATTACCTAAAAACCGAGAAAAAAATGAAAAAGCTCACATTATCTTGTCCTCTCATCTTTTGTTGACACATTTCGTGAAGATAATTGACTTGAATCGGGTGAACTAAAGCTGTTCCTAGGCCTACTTCATAATCCTCAACTAATATGTCCAAATGCAACAACATCCATTCTGGCTCGGCGCCGGGAGTTGGAGGTAGCAATGATGCTGTTGCTTCAAATTCGTTTTTCACGATGAAAACTGCCTGAAAAGAAAAATTGAGCTCATAAAGTTCTGTAAACAAAGTTCTTGCCATTGTTTGTTTTGTAAAGAAAGTTCTTGCCATTTTATCTTCTGTAAAGAAAGTTCTTGCCATTTTATCTTCTGTAAAGAAAGTTATTGCCGTTTTTCGACTTGTAAACAAAGTTATTGGTATTTTTTGCCTAAAAACAAAAAAAATCATACCGTGCCGTTCCTCACATCAACCACATCGTACCCTCCAGCCATAATAGGTGTCTCCAGTGCTAATCGCCGCTGAATCATTTGATTCAACCTGTACAGTGTTAGAGCTTGTTTTTTGGGCTTTAGACTCAACTCCGGAATGTATCTTTTCTAAAAAAATTTTAAAAAATTAAAAAAAAATTATTATCATGATTTTTTTAGCCATTTTATACCTAAAAACCAACAAAAACCCTTAAACCTACCCTAATACACTGTGGTACCCGTACACATCGTCCCAACGACACAGCTTCCAAAGCGTGTTGAATTTGAAAAATCGGCATCCTAAACAACAATATCAAAACCTGCTACTCAAGTTTACCTCGCAGCCCCCATTTCGTCCCTTATATGACACAATATATCCGCAGTTTCCACAAAATCAAACGAAATTTGATCCAAATAGTAACAAATGTTCTTGGTGATGTCCAGCTTTCGCGTTTGTCGCAACCATCGCACCAATGCCAACAACTTCAAGAATATACATCGAGTAGAATGTCCGAATTGTACGACAGATATCTTTCGTTCTGTCTCCTTCTTTTTGGGCAGCAATTCGGCCAGAACAGTCAGCTCGTGAAAACAATGCTGAACCGCAAAGTCTATGAGAACATTGAGAGGAATGTACGGCGGACTGTAGTGATCTGGTACCTAAAATAACGAAATTAGACGTATAAACACCTAAAGCTAGTGTTAATATTAGTTTGTCCATATACGTTCACAAAAAGTTAGCTTTTAGCCAAAAATCCAAATTCTGATACCCACTACAATATAAATCAGCTATTATTTATCTAAAACCCTTTAAAACTACAAAACCTACTTTATAAAACAACTAATACATCTATCACAAAATTTAACTCCATTTTAAAGCCATTTGAAACACCAAAACCTTCAAAAAAGTTATTTCCAATCCACCTCACCCATTTTGCTACCTATATCAACATAAAACTAATAAAAACTCCCTCGAGACCCCTCAAGATCTTCAGGATTCATTCCGGACATTATAAACATGTACCTAAAGTTCAAGACAAACAAATAATAAAATGACTCACATCAGGCAATTGAAACTTCTGAACAGTTCCATTGGTTGGGGCCGGTTCAGCGCGCTCGGCTGGATTCGGCGCATTCTGACGGTCCATTAAAACGCCCAAAGATTGGCGCATCACTTGGTTTTACAACTACCAGCTTGGATTCGAATGTTGGTTTAGCATATGTTTTGAAACCGTTCTGAAATAAAGGCTGTCAAAAAGGTAAGTGTTTAAATCGAAATATTCAAAAATATTTAGGTAGACACGAGTAAAATTAATATAAAAGAGTGGTAATGCAAGCAATTTATAAAAACTTTAAGTTAAAACATAGCAAAGAGTGTAAGCTTCATAATGATGTGAAAAAATTCAAAAATTTCGATCAAAAACAGTACGAATTTCAAAAAAATATATTATCCATGCCCAAAACAGCTCCTTGATCTTCAAATCCCAAATTTTACAAGAAAACCATTTAAAAATACTCAAAACTTTTAATTGAAAGCAAGGAAAAACATCAAAATCTATTCGCAAAGGCATTTCACTCAAAAATATTGGGTTTTTTACAATTTACAACAAAGGATATTAACATGCTCAACTTCAATGAAAAGTTAACCAAAATTCGCAGAAAAAGCTTTTAAAAAGCTTGTTTGATAATTTTACGCCGTCATTTATTTCATCAAAAGGAATTCAAAGACAGATTTAAAAACTTCTTCGCTTTTAAAATTCTCGGATTTTTCAAAAATTCAAAATAAATCCAAATTTTGCCATTATTTTCATTGCCTAATGTATAACAAGTTTAAACTACATTATTTCAATTTAAGTATGCCATTAAATGCCATTCTTTTATAATAATAGTCTTAAAACTCCAATATGACAACGCTTTTAACGCTGAAATATCGTTTAACTCCTTGTGTTACCTAAAATTGCAAAAACAATAAAATATAAATCTTACTGCTCACCACAATAATTAGAAACAGTTATTTATTATCTTTAATATACTTGTGTTTATTGTAAAAATACTTGTTTCGAAGCCAGACAATCAAATCCGAAAATATTTTTTCTTATTTTTTCAACATTTTTCACTGCTTCCCTGATGTGACAGGGTTTTCGTGGTGGGACCAACTTGAGGCGAACATGTAAAGGGAAAATAAAGGTTTTTGAGGTTTCTATTGGACTGAAATAATAAAAAACAACAAAATTAAGTGAAGGAATGTAAGGAAAACAAGATTAGAATATTTAAGGTAATTTATTTTTCAATTTTTAATTGATTGCAATGTTATTTTAGGCTGTTATATCAACTGGAACGACAATCACTGCAAGGAAGCTCATCGTTTGTTCATATCCAACTGAAAGTTAAGCTACAATACACAAAAAGTTACAATATGATATGAAATAAAGAATGCACAATTACTTCCGTGCTTAAAAAGTACGTGCGTTTCTGCACTATATAGGAACTTATTATTTTCTAGTCTTGTGTACTACTTAGTGTCACGCATATATACTTTGTAGCATCACAAGAATGTTTTTGCCATTTATTGGTTTGTAAAGAAAGTTCTTGCTATTTTATGTTTTGTAAAGAAAGTTCTCGCAATTTTATGTTTTGTAAAGAAAGTTCTTGCCATTTTGTGTATTATTTAGTACTGTTCATACATAGAGTGACTCCTAGTACAAATTTTAAGCCTTATGTAGTATCAACAAGTCCAATGTACTATATATTAGCCAGCACACACGTTTATGGAACTATTATATTATAGTACTTATTGTGAAGTCTTTTGAACTGTATACTGTCACGTACACATTTATACGGAACTACATAGTACTATGAGTATCTAATTTAAAAAGTTTGAAGAATGAAGAAAAAGATTGTTATGTTTGAATCTTTAAATAACGTTACAAAGCTACAACAACTAAAATAAAAGTACTGGCTAAGACTAAAACTAAAAAGACTAAAAAATGCTGTAAAGAAAGTTTTTGCCATTTTACGTTTTGTAAAGAAAGTTATTGCCATTTTGTGTTTTGTAAAGAAAGTTTTTGAAATTTTATGTTTTGTAAAGAAAATTCTTGCCATTCTTTGTGTTGTAAAGAAAGTTCTTGCCAATTTATGTTTTGTAAAGAAAGTTCTCGCTATTTTATGTTTTGTAAAGAAAGTTCTTGCTATTTTTTGTTTTGTAAAGAAAATTCTTGCCATTCTTTGTGTTGTAAAGAAATTTCTTGCCATTTTCTCCAGCCTTTTCTGAGTTACATACGTATTTTACTGAAACTAAGAACTGATCAGTGACCGTGATTTACTAGATGTTACTCAACTTTGTCAGTCATTATGTGATACACATAGTATTTTAGACCTTGTTTAAACCGGTTACTGCCAAACCTTAAGAAACTACAAAGTTGGGAAGTGAAAAGCGCGCAAATTACAGGTTGAATGCCTATCTTTTGCCACCTGTTCTGGTTCGAAATGTATGAGAAATGACTTGTTAATGCCATTGTTTCGTGTTTATTAATTGTTTGATTATTGTTTTTGGGTTTAGCAGGTTTTGTGCGTCATTTTTATTGAATTGGCTTATTTGTAGACTTGTTTGCTGCAAAAAGTGGGAATGTAACTTTTACCTACTATAATATAGAGCTAGGACTTGTGCAAAGCCTAGGGCTAAACTTGAGGATGACTCAGGAAGTAGGATTAAGGTTAGGGACAACAGAGCTGGGAGTAACTAGGGCTATAGTTAAAAATAAAGCTACGGTTAGGGCTAGGCTAGGGATCGCGCTTGGGATAGGGCAAAAGCTAGGACTAAGGCAAAAGCAAAGATTAGGGCTAGAGCTAGGGCTGTAGTTAGCTTTAAGACTAGAGCTAAAAATACGGCTTAAGCTAAAGCAAAAGCTAGCGCTAGGCCTAGGGCGAGTACATAATCTAAGGCTAGCGCTAAACCTAGACCTAGAGTTAGGAGCTTAGGCTAGGGCTCAGACTATGGCTCATGCTAGGTTTGACCGAAACTAGACTGTGGCTAGGGCTCTGGGCTAAGGCTAGGGGTTTCAGACTATGGCCAGGGCTGACCGAGGCTAGACTGTCGCTAGGACTGCGTTTAGGGCTGGAGCCAGGGCACAGGGTAGGGCTCAGGGCTAGGGCTAGGGCTAGGGCTAGGGCTAGGGCTAGGGCTAGGGCTAGGGCTAGGGCTAGGGCTAGGGCTAGGGCTAGGGCTAGGGCTAGGGCTAGGGCTAGGGCTAGGGCTAGGGCTAGGGCTAGGGCTAGGGCTAGGGCTAGGGCTAGGGCTAGGGCTAGGGCTAGGGCTAGGGCTAGGGCTAGGGCTCTGGGCTAGGGTTAGGGCTAGAGCTAGGGCTAAAGCTAGGGCTAGGAAAACACAACTTAAGCTAATGCCAAAGGCAAGGCTAAGCCTAAGTCCAAGCTCATACCAAATCTCAAGCCAAGGCCATGGCTAGGTCAAAAACAAGGGCAAGAGCTAACAGTAAGGCTAGGCTTGCAAAACCCTTTAATTTGTTTTATTTTCTGCGTTTTGCAATATGACATACGAAAATAATTTTAGTACGTGAGAGTAATGTATGAGCATACGAGAGTACTATGTAATTACATGACAGTCGTATGTCATGTAATTATTGGACCAAGGTGTATGTGACTTTGCTTTGTCACGATATTTTTGTCTTTTTTGTAGAAGATTTGCAGGGTTAGGTCAGAGTAACAGTAAGTGTAAGGTACTCTACCATAGCATAATGTGTTACAGTATAACACAATGTTATAGTACGTTAAGTTGAAGGACTTTACATTGTTAAAATACGTATTTGAAAATAAAAACCTTTATGACTTGTGGCATTGATATTAGGCTGTTCACTTAATTCTGAGCTCTCTTGACACGATATATTAGGTGCCGGCATAAAGAACCCGCCATACTTTGCCTGTAATTTCATGTAAAGTATGGCGGGTTCTTTATGTCGGCACCCAATTAAAAGTGATTTTTGGCATTAAGAATAGGCCGTTCACTTAATTCTGAGCTCCTCTAACACAATATACAAAAAGGTAATACAAAGACAGATAAACATGTTATTGTATTGGTACTAAACAGGATAATCGCCTTGTTTTGTCAATTAAAAGTCGAGTCAACTTGTTTTGTCGCATTTGCTTGTAGTTACACTTGCCCTGACACACTTCAGGTTAGACAAACAAACTTTGAATTTCTACATTTGCTTGGTATTTATAGAGGCTGGATAGAGTAAAGTATGTAGAGAAGATGACGAAGAAAAGAAGGGTGGGGTAGAGTAAGGTAAAAACATTTAAGGGTGTGTTAAGTTAGGGTAGGGCAGAGAAGAATCAATACAGGTAAGAGTAGGGCAGGACAAGGCAGGTCTGTCTGATCTGTCCTTTGAACAGCAGACTTGGCCCGGCCCGTACTCCATGTCTAGGTAAGGTTGGTTAATGTTGGGTAGGATTGTATAAGGTAAGATGGGGTAAAGTAATGTACGGTTGGTTAGGGCAAAGCAAGCAAAGACGAGACAGGACACGACAGGACAAAGCAAGGCAAGACAAGGCAAAACTAAAGCAAGGGTAGGATATTGTAGGGTAGAGTTAGCTAAGGAAAGATTGAGTAGAGTGGGTAAGGTGGAGCTCAGTATAAATGATAAGGTACGATGGGGTACGGTAAGGCAAAAGTAAGTTCGGTAGGGTAGGGTAGCTTTATAAAGTTGTAGACTATCTTGTTACTATGCTTTCACGAGGTATATCGATCTACCTGTTTGTAGTGTTTAATATTAATTTTATACTAAACTGCGCTCACTTGAAGCTTACATAACTATAGTAATATGCGGCTGTTTGTAGTTAATATGAATACAACATTTTGTAGCATAGTAAATCGTAGATTTTCAGTTTATTCGTAGAGTAATGAGCTGCACATTACTGTAAATATTTTGGATAGAATATCTTAGTTTTTGTAGCTGTACGATCTTGTTGACATATTACTATATATACCATCTCCAAGGGACCCTACCCTACCGTACCCTACCCTACCGTACCCTACCCTACCGTACCCTACCCTACCCTACCGTACCCTACCCTACCCTACCCTACCCTACCCTACCCTACCCTACCCTACCCTACCCTACCCTACCCTACCCTACCCTACCCTACCCTACCCTACCCTACCCTACCCTACCCTACCCTACCCTACCCTACCCTACTCTACCCTACTCTACCCTACCCTACCCTACCCTACCCTACCCTACAATATCCTGCCTTATTTTTTACCTTGCTTTACTTTGTTAACTTGCTATTTATCTACCCTACCCTACCCTACCCTACCCTACCCTACAATATCCTGCCTTATTTTTTACCTTGCTTTACTTTGTTAACTTGCTATTTATCTACCCTGCCCTATTTTTTACCCTGCCCTATTTTTTTATCCTGTCCTACTTTTTTACCCTGCCTTACTTTTTTACCCCGCCCTATTTTTTACGCTGCCCTACGTTTTTACCCAGCCTTTCCGCTTAGTCTTAGGCTTAAACTTAGGCTTAGCTTAGGCTTAGCTTAGGCTTACCTTAGGCTTAGCTTAGGCTTAGCTTAGGCTTCGCTTAGGCTTAGCTTAGGCTTAGCTTAGGCTTAGCTGAGGCTTAGCTTAGGCTTAGCTTAGGCTTAGGCCTGGCTTAATCTTAGCCTTAACCTTAGCTTTAGCCTTGGCCTTAGTAGTGTATACGACACCTAAACGCAGATTGCTACGTATAACATACATATAGGGCGTGTTTTACATTTCTAGCAAAGATATCTTAGAGTACTTTTGTATACAATCGTATCTTCATATATACACAGCACTTTACTGTGAATTGTCATGTTGCTTACTCAACTGTTCAACTGTCCAATGTACTGTACTATAAAGTGTGTAAATACCGTGCTATGTAATATTGTTTTGATGATTAGCTTTTACAGCACTTTAAGTTATTGCGTGTAATTTCAGCCGAGCTAAGCTACGTTAATGTCAATGTTTAGGCATAACAACATGATTAACTGAGGTTTTGTTTACACTATACATTAGACTGTTTACTATAGTACAGCTTTTTGTTGAAGCATAGTACTTTTTTTGGTACTATATTTGATACTATATATATATTTGGTACTGTATGTACTATATATAAGACTTGTATGAAAAACTTGTCATACTGTAACTAATATCGTCGAAAGTACTATAATATATTGTTACTGTATAGTATTATACCATAATTTTACTATATAAGCCTGTACTATTACCTTAGTGTTCCAAAAACACTACCCACTATAAGCTACAGTAACCCAAAATGCCCAACATAACCTACTACAATATCACTCTTCCAACACCATTTTTTCGTGACAGTTTTATCATCTACAGCTACCTGGTACAAGTAGTCAACTTTCTATTGTTTGTTCTAACTAGTATAATCCTACTGTACTGCTCACCCAAATCTATAGGAGCATACAAGTTTTATATGCTATGGAGTGTTACCAACATATATCTAAGTATTCTACTGATTGCTCTAGACGACATGGAACACTTGACACCTTATGGAGTGTTTATTGCTAGAGGAATGCCCAAGGCTGCTGATGTAAGTTTGAAATGGTAGAATATAGCCTTATTGTTAGGCTTGAGCTTAAACTTAGGTTTGAACTTACGCTTAAGCTTAGGCTTAGGTTCAGGCTTAGGCTTAGTTTTAGGCTTAGTTTTAGGCCTAGGCTTAAGTTTAAGATTAGGTTTAGGATTAGGCTTAGGCTTAGGCTTAGGCTTAGGCTTAGGCTAAGGCTTAGGCTTAGGCTTAGGCTTAGGCTTAGGCTTAAGCTTAAGCTTAGTCACAGCCGTAGCTTTAAACTTAGAATTTGTTCTAGTACTAGCCTTGGCTCTAGTCCTAGTTTTTGTCCAAGCCTAAGTCCTATCTTTAGCTTAAGCCCTGGTTTTCGCCTTGTCCATAGATGTTGCCCTAGCCTAAGTTCTAATCTTAATACAAGCCTTACAACAATAAGCCCCTGTTTTACTATAGCTCATCTTATCATACTTACCTACTTATTTTACATTACTTTACTGTACTTTATCATAAATTAGCCTACCTTACCCTAACGATTAATTATCTTATTTCAAACTAGTTTTTTAAATTACTACCTACATTTAAATGTAAAACAATATATAATTTGACTTCAAGTCACACTTTGCACCTAAATTACATACCAAATTTAAAAATTTTAATTCCACCATACCAACCATAACATTTAAACGTTCATGTATACCTATTTTAGTCCCCCTTCCTGGCAGTTATTTTCCAAATGTTGTCATACTCGCTCCTCGAAGTCAACATACTAATCACCATGTGCAAGTTCTTGTTCCGATACACCGTGGCAACAAACCAGGAAAAGATGACAAAACTATTGTCCCACAAGCTATGCTTTGCACTTTTATTATCAGTACTTGTATTTTGTTTTGGCACAAGTTGGGTTACAAATAGAAATAGTACGGATGATGCTCAGGAGTACAAAGACTCTTTTCCTATCTTTGATACTGCTTTGAGAGAATATATCAACGACAATATTATTGTTTTGACTAAAGTAAGTTTAAAAAAGCAATACATTTAAAAAAAACTGTTAAAGCAATGCTCGAAATAGCAAAAACGTTCTTTACAAAACAAAAAGTTGCCAAAAGATGCCAAAAGTTGAGCTTTTTATACCCAAAGTTGTCAAAAATGCCATTTTATAACATAGCTAAATCAAAAAAATGCAAAAAATTTGTTTCCAATGTCTTAAAAACCCCAAAAACTTTGTTTCCACAAAGTGTTCCTTGAACTTTTGATAATCAAGCGCACCGTTGCTTAACTTGCCAGGTCGGACAAGACCGCGTTTTCGCACTGTGCAATGAAGGCAAATGACGTTGCACGGTGCGGAAATTAACTTTTTAGCAATAAATTTGTTTACAATGATGTAAAATGGCGTTTTAAAAAATTTTTTTGGTTCGGAAGAAACTTTCTTTACAAATTTTTAAAAAATTGGGGGGTTTTATTTGCTTTTGAGAAAACCGCCGTAACTTTGCTTACAGTGAATTAAAAAAGTCAAAAATAATTTTGAAAATACAAAATAACATGAATTTTCTTTACAAAGCAAAAAATGGCAAAAACTTTAGTTCCGATGCATAAAAAACCAAAAAATGTGCTTTTTGTTACCTAGTTTTCAATTTTCAGTCCAACGCTCTTGACTGGATAATCCAACATATAGTATTCCCGCTAGTACTAATCTTCTCTGCATACTGTACCTACTCATGCTACAAATTTCGCAATACAAATACAGCATTCAGCGAACGTACTCGCCACTTCTTCTACGTACTAACCAAAGGTTTGGTCATCGAACAGCTCTCCTTAGTGCTATGGGTACTACTCCCATTAGTACTAATTGAAATTGCTATACCTTTGAGACAAAAAGTTATTGCCAGTTATGTTTTCATAAGGATACTGTATCTTTACCCTGCTTTTGTTATGGCATTCACATTGACGTACTATAAGCGATATCGACGTGCTGTATTGTACTTATTTAATCACAGCAACAAGAAAAATGTTACTACGTTGTCGTCAGTAGCGTCTAGTAGCTTGGTCGTTAAGAATCGACCGACTTTTTCCAAAAATTCATTGTCTGCCACTTTACCATCGAGAAATGCCGTCTCAGCTCAGGGTAGACGAGTATTGTGATGAATAATATACACAAAGACCATACTCAACATAAAAAGAAAGAATCGTTGCTTCTACTGTATGTTATTACATTTTACTGTGTGATAAAAGCGGTTTGTATATAGTAACTGATAACTGATAAAAAGAAAAATATTTTAAAAATTGCAATAACTATCTTTACAAAACCAAAATTGCCATTTTATATATAACCTAAACTTAAAAAATTTAAAAGAATGTTTGTAATACCCAAAAAACCCACAAAACTTTGTTAACAGCTAAAAAACGACCAAAATTTAACTGTTGTTACCTAAAATAATCAAAAATGTCATTTTATGACTTACCTAAATTAAAAAAAATACAAATACTTTCTTTCCACCATCCTAAAAACCCCAAAAACTTTGTTTTTACCCAGTGTTCCTCGAACTTTTTATAATCAAGCGCACCGTTGCTTAACTTGCCAGATCGGACGAGATCGCCGTTTCGCACTGTGCAAAAGAGACAAATTGCGCTGCACGATGCAGAATTTGGCTTTTTAGCAATAACTTTGTTTACAATGATGTGAACTGGCATTTTTGAACATTTTAAAGATTTCGGAAGAAACTTTCTTTACAAATTTTTAAAAATTAGAGGTTTTGCTTGTCTTGTTAAAAACCGCAATAACTTTGTTTACAGTGATATAAAATTATATTTTTAAAAAATTTTGAGTAGTTGTGCTTTTGTTTTGTAGTTTTTAAAATTTTTGTTGCAAAAAAAGTTACAATTTATGAAAAACAGCTTGAAACATAAAGCTGGGACAGTTGATCAAATATGGTTTTTACCGTGAACATTGACGCAACAAAAACTGCCCATGCTCTTTGTTTTGTTTGTGGAATTCACATTTGAAAAAGAACGGCAGCGTTCGGCCGTTCCTGTTTTTGCAACGAATGTATTTTTTAAAATTTTTGGTCTACAGTACTATTTGTGGTTTTTAAGTACTTTTGCAGTACTACTTGATACATCATTGTACTATAGGGCTCGATATTGTACTATAATCCATCTTTTTCCATTAAAAACAAAAAAATATTCTACAGTAATCTAGGCTTAAAACTCAACATCTATAGTAGTACCATACAGTTTATAGTACCAAAGTACTATAGTAAAACCAAAATGTATAGTAAAATTATATTACTGTTCATACAGTCCTTTGTACTGTTATTACCATGCCAAGCCAAGACTCTAAAAGTACCATTGATGAGAGTTAATAACAGCAGAAGTACCAACCCATTAGCACCAGCTTTTGATGTATATGGTCAAAAGCTGAAAAACGACCGGGATTTGAGTTATAATGGTACGTTTTGAGAACTTTTTGTAATATTTTATTTAGTCTTTATTAAGAATATCCTTTTTAAGTAAGTTTAGGCTAATATAGTTGTGATTATGTCTTGCACAGTGCAGCAAAATTAACAATGTCAAAACTGGTAAACGACAACTTATCTTTGACATTTTAACGTTTTGATAATTTAAAAAATGTCATTTAAAAATGATATCACTACTTCTTTTTAAATTTTTATTCTTTTGACAATTTTTGTTTTCTGGCACAGTGCAGCAAAATTGACCAGGTCAAATCTTGTATATGACAATTAAAATTTAACATTTTTGATATGTGATAATTAAAAAAGTGATGTTTAAAAACTATCTATCACTAATTTTATGCTTCAATTTTTTTACATTTTTTTACATTAATTTTGATAAAGTTTATTTTTTTGCACGGTGCAACAAAATTAAAAATTTTAAAAATAATTAACGCCGTTTTAAATTTTAGTTTTTTAAAATATTCCATGTTTAAAACTTTTTATTTAAAAACGTATTATCAAGATTTTAAAAACATTCTTTCATTTTAAAAATTTTTATTTTTTGCACCGTGCAATGAAATTTGAAGTCTTAAAAACATTAAATGCCATTTTAAATTTGAGGTTTTCAGACTTTCTATACATAAAACTTTATCTTTTAAACATATAATGACTTTTTTAAAAGCATTTTAATCAATTTTGATATTTTATTTCAAAAAGTTTTCTTATTGCACTGTGCAATGAAAATAAATTGACTGCACGGTGCAACAAAAATAAACTGAACGCACAGTGCAAACCACAAAAGTAAAAAAAATTTCTAGGAGTAATATCCGTTGGAAATCCACCCCAAAGCTTCAGAGTAGTGTTTGATACTGGCTCTGACATCTTCTGGTTACCAAAAAAAGGTTGTCGCTCTAGTGGCCCATTAACTGGTGCTTGTCGCTCTGGCTCCGGCTTGTATAACCCTTCCGGTTCAGCTGTGAACACTGGCCAAACTTTCAAGATTACATATGGTACTGGTGATGCTGTTGGTACTTATTACATGGATGAAATGGCTGTAGGTCTTACTGTAATTAAAAGTTTAAAAACATTTTTTTAATTGATTTTTTGGTCATTTGAAAGTTGAATTTCTGTTATTTTTTGTTTTGTAAAGAAATTTTATGCTATTTTGTACTATCAAGTTTATTTTTGACTGTTTTAATTCACTGTAAACAAAGTTATTGCAGTTTCCCTAAATCCAGCAAAAAACCCTAAATTTTTTAAAAATTTTGTAAAGAAAGTTTTCTCCAAATTTCAAAAATGCTCCAAAATGCCAGTTTACATCATTGTAAGCAAAGTTATTGCCAAAAACCTTTATTTCCGCACTGTGCAACGCCATTTGTTCTTTTTGCACAGTGCGAAAGCGCGGTCCCGTCCGATCTGACAAGTTAAGCAAGGGTGCGCTTGATTATAAAAAGTTCGAGGAACACTGGGTGGAAACAAAGTTTTTGGGATTTTTATGGTACTGGAAAGAAAGTTTTTGCTATTTTTGGGTTTTGGTGTTTTAAATAATGGCATTTTTGATAATTTTAGGTATAAAAGTTTAAATTTTTGTTGTTTTAAAAGCTGTAAACAAAGTTTTTGCCATTTTTACCAAATTTTTTTAAATTTTCAGTTTGGTGATCCAAATGGAGAACAGCTAAAGATGCCAGAAAAGGTTCAGATCGGTGCTGCTTCTCAAATGACTTTCTCAGACGAAGGCATTCTGGGCTTATCATTCCCAGCGCCCGACAGTCCAACGCCGATTTTCCAAAAAGCGGTCGAACTGGGCGTGATGACCGAGCCAGTCTTTACCACATTTCTGAAATTATGTCCGGGCGGGTGTGAAAATGGCGGTGTAATCACATTTGGAGGGGTGGACACTGATAATTGTGGCGAAATCACTGATTGGGCACCGGTCGATGACAGTAAGATGCACTGGAGGTTCAACATGGGCGGGTATGAGGCTGGCAATCTGAGGAATGAAAGGGCTGCTCCAGTAAGTTAAATTGCTTTTTAGGTGGGGTAAAATGTAGGGAGGGTTAAAAAATCAAGGCAATGTAAAAAAAGGCAGGGTAAGAAAATAGGGCAAGGTTAAAAATGAGGCAGGGTAAAAAATAGGACAGGTTAAAGAAGTAGGGCAGGGTAAAAATTGAAGGGTTGGGTAAAAATGTAGGGCAGGTTAAAAATAGAAGGGCTGGGTAAAAACGTAGGGCAGCGTAAAAAATAGGGCGGGGTAGATAAATAGCAAGTTAACAAAGTAGAGCAAGGTAAAAAATAAGGCAGGATATTGTAGGGTAGGGTAGGGTAGGGTAGGGTAGGGTAGGGTAGGGTACTCTTTCTATGTTTTTTTGCTTTCAGGCCATCACCGACACCGGTACCTCCTTCATCCTAGGTCCAAGTGCCGATATCGCGGCGATAGCACGTCAAATCGGGGCAGTACGTCAACGGAACGGTGACTATCTGATCAGCTGTGCCAAAGACTTCAAATTCAAAATCAAGTTTGGTACCCAATGGTACCAAATAAAGTCCCACTTTTTGAAAATCTCGTTGGGAAGATACTGTCAATTAACTATGGCCGCTGCTGATATTGGCTTCTGGGTACTGGGAGATCCATTCATCAGACAGTACTGTCAAGTTCACGACGTGCAGAACAAACGTGTTGGCATTGCACAGGCTTATAATTGAAAAAGTTGATGGGAGGATGAATGTTACAGTATCTTTTTGCTAAATTGTCACAAATTTTAAATTTTTAAATAAAAATTTGCTTTGAATTTTAAAAAAATGCAAAAACTTTCTTTACAAAACATAAAATGGCAAGAACTTTCTTTACAAAACATAAAATGGCAAGAACTTTCTTTACAAAACATAAAATGGCAAGAACTTTCTTTACAAAACACAAAATGGCAAGAACTTTCTTTACAAGCAAAAAAAATTATAAAAAACAATAATGTTTTTCTAAAAATTATTATTCAAATCAGATAAATCTCTATTTTTATCGTTTTTCTCTCGTGTTATCAGTTTTCGCACGTTCTTTTTCAATTTATTCGGGTTGCCTGACAATTCTTTTTCGATTTTTTACAAAAACGTTTAGATTTTTGATCTGAATCTAGTCTTTGGCTACGTATTTCCTTGGTTTTGTATGTTTGTTTTTACTTTTTTGGTCCAAATAGATTATTTTTCACTATTTAGTACCATCTAATACTAACTGTTTCCTAGCTAGTATTATTGACAATGATTTATTGTTTAGTACTAATTAGTACCGGCTTTCTTTTTTTTCATCAGATACTATTTAGTATCAACTTTTTTTTCTCTTCAATGCTATCTAATACCATTTTTTTTTCGATCTGTTACAATTTAGTGCCAATTTTTTCGTTTTGGTACTAGTTCTGATCAGATTTTTATTGTTCAGTACCATTTTAATGAAAATTTTTAGTATTTAGTACCGTTTAAATACTATTCTTCACTATTAAACCCATTCTTCTCTATTGGTACCGTCTTTCGTTAGTTGTTTTACTTGGTACAACATTGTACCACTTAGTACTACTTAGTACCAATTATTTATTTTTTTACTTTGTACCAGTTTGTACCAATTTTTTGCAAATTAGCACCACTTTTTACTATGGTTTTTTATTTGGTACTACTTTGTTCCACTTAGTACTAGTTTTTTCTTACTTGGTGCCACTTTATACCAATTTTTTTACTATTTAGCCCCACTTTTTACCAACTAGACCCTATTTTTTAATTTACTATTTTAGTACAGAAACTACTGTTTTTAGTATTAGATTTTTTAGTGCTATACCATACTAGTATACCCTTAAAGTCATCCCGTACCATATGGCCGCAAATACTACCGCTGTCCTACCCAAAGATCCCAGTACAGCTTCAGTAACCCAACATGATACTGATCTAACAGATGATATAAAGACCGACGACACTCAAAGCTCAGATTCAGAGATTCTACATGAAACACCGTGGCGATCAGTCATCTTAATGGGTGTCATTGCTATGTGCACATCTTTTCAGTACAGTACGTATTTGAGTTCCATGTGGCCGAATTTGAAAAAAGTAAGAAAATTTGAATATTTGTAAAAATTTGTAGCATGAAAAAAAAACGCAAAAACTTTCTTTACAAACTAAAAAAATGGCAAAAATGTTATCTTTTTTGCCTAAAATTTTGAAGAAATGCTATTTTTTATTATGGCTAAATCAAAAAATTCAAAAACTTTCTTTCCAGTCCTCTAAAAATCCCAAAAACTTTGTTTTCACTCATGGTTTCTCGAACTTTTTATAATCAAGCGCACCGTTGCTTAACTTGCCAGATCGGACGGGACCGCGCTTTCGCACTGTACAAAAGAGACAAATGGCGCTGCACGGTGCAGAAATTAACTTTTTGGCAATAATTTTGTTTACAATAATGTAAAATGGCATTTTTGAGTATTTTTTGAAAATTATGAATTTTGATGGGCTTTGAAAAACCGCAATAACTTTCTTTACAAAGCAAAAAATGGCAAGAACTTTGTTTACAAACCAAAAAACGGCAAGAACTTTCTTTACAATACAAGAAATGGCAAGAACTTCTTTTACATACACTAAATGACAATAACTTTCTTTACAAAACAAAAAAAATTCAATATTTTTAAAAATAATGCCATTTTCAGTTAGACCCCTCAATAGACGAAGCATTTTTTGGAATTGCAGCTTCTTGTTACCCGCTTGGTCAAATCATCTTCTCTCCTGTGTTTGGCTGGTGGAGTAATCACCTCAAGAACGTTAAGATACCCCTAATCACGGCAATGGCTGTCGAGTGTGCTGGGAACGTCATCTACATCTTTCTACAGACAGCACCATCTACTTCGAAGTATTTGTTTGGGGTTGGTCGATTTGTTTGTGGGATTGGTACTAGTAAGTATTTTTCTGTATTTTAGGTAGTACTGAGCATTCTTAGGCTTAGTAGGCTTAGGCTTAGTAGGCTTAGACTTAGTAGGCTTAGGCTTAGCAGGCTTAGGCTTAGTATGCAAAATTTTTGTTTTTTTTTTGTAAAGAAAGTCTTTGCAACTTTTTTTTGTAAAATACGGCCCGGTATTAAATTGGGTTCAATTTTATGTTTGTTTTACGAGTGACATAAGTTCTTGCTATTTTTAGGCTTGTAAAGAAAGTCTTTGCCATATTTCTGCCAATATTGCGCTAACTTATAAGCAGTAAAATCGTCATACTCGCAGTAATTTGTTGGGTCGTATTACATCGAGGCAAGTATTACCAAAGTGAACAATATTACATAAGAAAACGTTTCGTAATACAGTTTCTTGCAATTTACCTAAAGCTATATAAATCAGCATTATTACCTAATGTGACACAATGTTTCGACTGCTTTTATAATTTACGACCACCCCCTTTATTAAAATGACTTTCAGTTTAGGTAACGTTGGACTAATGAAGGCGTATGCTTCAACCGCCAGTACTGATAACGACCGTGCCGCTGCCATTGCTACTGTGATGGGCTTCTTTGCTATTGGACTCATCGTTGGACCATGTAAGTCTAGTCTAGTCTAGTTTAGTTTAGTTTAGTTTAGTTTAGTTTAGTTTAGTTTAGTTTAGTTTAGTTTAGTTTAGTTTAGTTTAGTTTAGTTTAGTTTACCCTACCCTACCCTACCCTACCCTACTCTACTTTACCCTACCCTATTCTACCCTACCCTACCCTACTCTACCCTACCCTACTCTACCCTACCCTACCCTACCCTACTCTACTTTACCCTACCCTATTCTACCCTACCCTACCCTACCCTACCCTACCCTACCCTACCCTACCCTACCCTACCCTACCCTACCCTACCCTACCCTACCCTACCCTACCCTACCCTACTCTACTTTACCCTACCCTATTCTACCCTACCCTACCCTACCCTACCCTACTCTACTTTACCCTACCCTATTCTACCCTACCCCTACCCTACCCTGCCCTGCCCTACCCTACCCTACCCTACCCTACCCTACCCTACCCCTACCCCTACCCTACCCTACCCTACTCCTACCCCTACCCTACCCTACCCTACCCTACCCTACTCTACCCTACCCTACCTTATTCTACCCTACCCTACCCTACCCTACCCTACCCTACTCCTACCCTACCCCTACCCCTACCCTACCCTACCCTACCCTACCCTACCCTACTCTACCCTACCCTACCTTATTCTACCCTACCCTACCCTACCATACCCTACCCTACCCCTACCCTACCCTACCCTACCCTACCCTACCCCTACCCTACCCTACCCTACCATACCCTACCCCTACCCCTACCCTACCCTACCCCTACCCCTACCCTACTCTACCCTACCCTACCCTACCCTACCCTACTCTACTTTACCCTACCCTATTCTACCCTACCCTACCCTACCCTACCCTACCCTACCCTACTCTACTTTACCCTACCCTATTCTACCCTACCCTACCCTACCCTACCCTACCCTACCCTACCCCTACTCTACTTTACCCTACCCTATTCTACCCTACCCTACCCTACCCCTACCCTACCCCTACCCCTACTCCCTACCCTACCCTACCCTACTCTACCCTACCCTACCTTATTCTACCCCTACCCCTACCCCTACCCTACCCTACCATACCCTACCCCTACCCTACCCCTACCCCTACCCTACCCTACCCCTACCCTACCCCTACCCTACCCTACCATACCCTACCCTACCCTACCCTACCCTACCCCTACCCTACCCTACCCTACCCTACTCTACCCCTACCCTACCCTACCCTACCCTACCCTACTCTACTTTACCCTACCCTATTCTACCCCTACCCTACCCTACCCTACCCCTACCCTACCCTACCCTACCATACCCTACCCTACCCTACCCTACCCTACCCTATTCTACCCTACCCTACCCTACCCTACCCTACCCTACCCTACCCTACCCTACCCTACTCTACTTTACCCCTACCCTATTCTACCCCTACCCTACCCCTACCCTACCCCTACCCCTACCCTACCCTACCCTACCCTACCCCTACCCTACCCTACTCTACTTTACCCTACCCTATTCTACCCTACCCCTACCCTACCCTACCCTACCCTACTCTACTTTACCCTACCCTATTCTACCCTACCCTACCTTACCCCTACCCTACCCTACTCTACTTTACCCCTACCCTATTCTACCCTACCCCTACCCCTACCCTACCCTACCCTACCCTACCCTACCCTACCCTACCCTACCCTACCCTACCCTACTCTACCCTACCCTACCCTACCTTATTCTACCCTACCCTACCCTACCCTATTCTACCCTACCCTACCCTACCCTACCCTACCCTACCCTACCCTACCCTACTCTACTTTACCCTACCCTATTCTACCCTACCCTACCCTACCCCTACCCCTACCCTACCCTACCCTACTCTACTTTACCCTACCCTATTCTACCCTACCCTACCTTACCCTACCCTACCCTACTCTACTTTACCCTACCCTATTCTACCCTACCCTACCCTACCCTACCCTACCCTACCCCTACCCCTACCCTACCCTACCCTACCCTACCCTACCCTACCCTACTCTACCCTACCCTACCCTACCTTATTCTACCCTACCCTACCCTACCCTACCCTACCCTACCCTACCCTACCCTACCCTACCCTACCCTACTCTACCCTACCCTACCCTACCCTACTCTACCCTACCTTACCCTACTCTACCCTACCTTATTCTCTCCGCCCAACTTTTTACGTTGCCCTGACTTTTTTCCCTGCCCTACTTTTTACCCTGCCCTTGCTTTTTTGCTCTGCCCAACTTTTTGCCATGCCCCACTTTATCACCCTACTCAAACTATTTACCATGCCCAGCCAAAAATAATAAAATTTCCTTTTTCAAAAATTTTTAGTAGTCCAGCTAGGCCTAACTCCAATAGGCGAAGAAGGATTAGCAATATTTCCGCATTTCGCCATAAATATGTATACATTACCAGCCGTAGTGTCATGTATGGTCAATATATTGGCCATGGTTCTTTTAATTTTCATTTTCCGAGAAGAATATGGAGGCTTGGCCAAGAGTGAAGTAAATTTTTTATTTTTTACAGATTTTGCTGATAACATATAATTGCACAGTGCAAAATCTTATATTAGAGATTGAACTGTGCAGTAAAGTTGGTATTATTAAAAATAGTGTAAAATACGATAAAAGTTGATTTTAAATTTAAGAATAATTTTAAATGGTCCATTTTTATAAAATTTTTCAGACCCTTTTCACGGTGCAAAATTAATTTTTTTATTTTGTTGCACTGTGCAGAATTTTTTAATTTTTTCTGCCCCGTGCAAAAATTAAAAAATGTGTTTTGCACCGTCGAAATTAAAAATATTGGTTCAATGAATAATATAAAGCTTCTCAATGATATTTTCAATGTTATTTTAATTAAAAATGGCAGTTTTTCAGAAAGAAAGCGATGAAGAAAGTAAAACCTTGCCAGATTTCGATAGAATCGGCTTTATCGTCTGTTTTGTGGCCAATTTCGCTCAAATGTTCATGTTCGGAACGATTGAAACGTGAGGATCTTTAAAAATTTTCATTTTTTTTTTTGAAACTGCGAAAGCTTTCTTTACAAAACAAAAAAATGGCAAGCACTTTCTTTACAAAACATGAAATGGCAAAAACTTTCTTTACAAAGCAAAAAATGGCAAGAACTTCCTTTACAAAACAAAAAAACGGCAAGAACTTTATTTACAAGGCACAAAATGGCAAGAACTTTCTTTACAAAACAAAAAAGAGCAAAAATTTTCAGGCTGAGCACCCCCATAGCAATGACACTCTTCCCACTGACCAGGACTGAAGCTGTCCAAGTGGTGTCGGTTGTCCATGGCATTAAGTCAGCTTTTGATCTGGCCATGAATGGAGCTTTTGCCATTTTCAATGTTGGTAAGTGGTAGGTTTTTCATTTTTTACTCTACCCTACCGTATCCTACCTTACTCTACCCCACCCTACCCTAATAATAATATTATTACAGGGTAAATCAACGTTGGGCATGCTTAGTAGGCTTCATTGGTATGGGCGCCTTCTATGTCATCACTTTTCCATACCCATTTATACCCGGCAACATTGCCACATACAAGAAGTCAGGTGAGAATGGCAATAACTTTCTTTCTAAATTATAAAAATGCGAAAACTTTCTTTCCACTATCTTAAAAACCTCAAAAACTTTGTTTCCACCCATTGTTCCTCGAAATTTTTATAATCAAGCGTAACGTTGCTTAACTTGCCAGATCGGACGGGACCGCGCTTTTGCACTGTGCAACGAAGACAAATGGCGCTGCACGGTGCAGAAATTGAGCTTAACTTTGTTTACATTGTTCTAAAATGGCGTTTTGGAGGATTTTTGAGAGTTGGAAAAAATTTTCCTTACATAGATTAATTTTTAAAAAATTTTTGAGGAAACAGCAATGACTTTCTTTACAAGAAACATTTTTGAGAACGTTAAAACTAACAATCACTTTTTTTGAGAATTCACCAACTCGACTCTCGAACCAATCGGCTGTGACGTCGAATCCCTCACCTGGTGTGAATACACCCACCCAGTCAACTTCTGGCTATATTACATTAGTTTTGTCATTTTCATTGGATGGAGCTTCTCACTCGTCAGTATTGCCATGTTTACCGTCTTTTCTCAACTTATAGGACCACGAAGACAGAGTACGCATCATGGATTCATGCAAATGATCGGATCGACCGGTCGAATGATTGGACCTTCCAGTATCAGCTACATGTACAAAAATCAAGGTATCTACGAGGCATGGGCATTAGATACGGCTGTCATGTTTGGTACGGCGCTGTTATGGGCTTTGGCATTCAAACGACTCAGACCGCTCATGGATAAGATCAAATAAGGCTGATATTCTTCATGAATAACATAAAATAAGGTTAAATAAATTGAATTAGGACTCTTAACGTCAAAATAGCAACACAAATTAACACTGTCGTATTTTACACCGATTTTTGTCAAAATTAGCCCTTTTTTACCAAAACACCTCTTATTTATAACTTTATTGACCTAGTTAGAAGCTAATAATTAAAAGTGACAAGGCAGCGTAAGATCATTCACATTGTTTAAAGTTGAAAGCAATAAAACCGTAGAATTGTTATTTATATACATTTGTACATTCGTTGAGACCATTCAAAAGGCAAGACCCATCTGAGCGCTGAGGTGAAGTTGTTTTAGAGCGAGGAATTCCTCGTCCGCCACCGTTTCTTCATCAATGTCCTGTAAAAACATAGTTAATTGATGTGAAATTTATAGAAAAATTAGGCAAAATGCTTCTAACTATAAAAGACATAAAATCGACTTACTTTGAGCAAAAACTTCAAAAATTAAGTTTTTACCTAATACCTACATCAATATCCATTGAAAAATATTGAAAACCTAAGCCAAACAACGTGAAAATTTACCGCAAAGCTAACGAAGGTCCTTTATTAACTATAACAATACAAATACCTTCCTCATTTTATGCATAAATTTGAAAAACGTATTTTTTCTAACGCCCACATTCATATCCCTTAAAATCGTCAGTAAGCCACGAATATAAGCTCAAACAACATGGAATTTTCTGTAAAGTTAGAAAAGAGCTTCCACTAACTACATCAAAAATAATCTCCACCTCATTTAATACCTAAACATTAAAAAACATAACATAAACCAACACCTACCTCAATATCAAACTCATCCTCGAATATCTTCTGAATGTTGACAAATTTCCCGTCGTTTTTGCTTAACACTTCTTCAGCACACAAGCTGACTCTGAGAGAGAATTCTGGGTCCTTGCAATGCCAATCGTCACCAAACTTCTCCTTCATGTTGTCTATCACCGATTCGACGAATTTCTGAACTTCAGTCTTTTCATCTTCTGGCGGTGGACTTGAACGAAGGATTGAAGACAATTTAAACTTTTTCGACGTGCTTGGACTCTAAAAACATTGTTTTAGCGGAAGTTCGTTGAAATTTTTGACGAAAAATTAATTTTTAGAAATATAGAGGAAGTCTTGACTCAAAAAGAAAAAGTGAGCAAAGTCTACCTCTAACATAAACGAATAGGTATAAACTGCCCTTTTGATTCTCTATAAAACCGAAAGTGATCAAAAATCATTCAGTATCTTTAGTTTAACTTTTTGATCCATCAAAATTTACCTAAACTTCTAAAATTCAATATTTAATACCCAAAACCTTACCGCATAACAACCTTCAGGCATTGGTACCAACAGACGCATTCGTTTTCTCTTCCCCTTCATAATATACTCTTCCGGCTCAAGACCATCATCACTAAAATGACGTACTCGTTGAACACGATCGAATCGAACCACACGTTTCGGAGCTCGGCGCATTATCACTAAAATTTGATGGATTAGATGGATAAAAGTCGGCTAAAGTAAGTTATTCTCGACGTTTTTTTATAAATTTAGGTTTAAAAGACGTGAAAATGTACAGAGAATATTATTATAGAGGAAAAACAAGGTTTAAATGTTAAAAGATAGTTGATTTACTCAAAAATCGACCAACTTTGGACCAAAATTTGGAAGAACCAGCGGCGGAAAATTCGAAAATTAAAAATGAAATGAATCGGAATAAATTGAATTCAAGTTGAGTTTGATACGGAATAGAAGTTTCTAGATTTTGAAAATGAAAGATCCGAATTTTGAATGGATATAAGGTTGATTTGGCCGATATTATTATAGGCATCAAGCTGCTAATTTAAAAATTTGTTTTTTGGATAAAATCAACATTTTTTAATAAGAAAATTGATGTCAAACATGAATAGTGGCCATAAAAAGCATTTTAAGACTCTGACCCACCCCTTCACTCAAAAAAATTTTTACCCCACTCAAAAAAAAATTTCTACCCCGCCCAAAAAAATTTTTTTTCAGGCCCACCAAAACTACAATTACTTGCCCTGAACTGACTTTTTCTATTACATTGTGTACTTACCCCTAATAGTACAATAGCCTACAATAAAAAAGCTATATCACCCGCCCTGACGTCCTTTCACATCCGCCCTAACGTCCTTTAAAGTTGGCGTCCTACCGTCCGTTCACGTCCGCCCCACCGTCCTTTTCCTCTCGCCGTCCTCGAGACTTTGGGTAAATATTTTTATTTACAATTCGAGACGTTTTTTTCAAAAATAACTAGCCCTTATGACTGACCGTGTCTCGCACAAATAAATAGGAACGGGGCGAATGTTGCGTCACCGTTTTTGAAACAGACCGTGATCACGGGGCGACAAAAGTGCTTTGTTTATAAAAAGTGATGCAAGGCAGACCAATGAAGCTGATACGTTGGTCTGGACGTTCTTTGGGGTTGGTTTTAGGAGAGGGACCCTGAGGGCCGAGCTTGAGGGGGGAGGGTGGGGGGGGCGGTACCACCCGCTGAAAAAATTTTTTTTCGAAAAAAGTTGAACTTGGTCCCCCCCCCCTGTGGATTTTTTCGCCCTCAGACCAAAATTCACCGCCCGCCCCCCCCCTCCCATAAACCTACAGTAAGACCTACTAAAAATACAAGCCTTGCCCAAAATAGGCCTCAAAACCACCTCCAACCAAATACGATCGCAATACGATTTCCCAACCTTTTATACACAACCACACGATGTTTAATCGCATGTGTACACAACAACACGATTTCCAAATCTAATGCACCCAACTTGCATAATTTCACGTTCGGATTAACCCAGTTTGATTAATCATCAAACATCTGCACCAGTTTGAAAAAAGTGCATGAATATACATATTATAGTAGGCAGGGCCGGGCGGGGTAGGTTCAGATTCAATTTCTAATCATTTTGGAGGGGGTGGATAATTTTTTTTCGAAAGTGAAAAGGAAAAAGTGGACTTTTTCAAAATTAAAAAAAATTTGGGTAGTCAAAATCTGAAAAAAAAATTTTTTTTGGGGGTAGATAATAATTTTTTTTGCGGGAAGGGAAGAAATCAATAAAAAAATAAAAATTTGGCCTAAAAATGCCCAACTACACAATTAAAGTCTTTATAAAGCTCTTTTACATTTTGGGAGGGGTAAATCCGAAAAAAAAACTATGGGGGAGGATAAAATTTTTTTTTGCGCAAAGGGCCAAATCAATAAAAAAATAAAAGTTGTGCTTAAAAATGCCCTACCAGACTATGAAAGTCTTTATAAAGCTCTTACATTTTGGGTGGTGTAAATACAAATAAAAATTTAGGGGTGGATAAAAAAAATTTTTTTGCGCGAAGAGACCAAAACGATAAAAAAACGAATGATCAGCCTAAAAATGCCCTACTAAACTATATGTGAAAGTCTGGATGAAGCTTTTAACTTTTGGGAGGAGTAAATACAAAAAAAATTGGGGTGGATAAAAAATTTTTTTTCAAAAAGCAAAAAGAAGACAAAATGCCCTACTACACTATGAATCTGCCAGGATGAAAACCTAAAAGTCCAATGAAATAAATAAAACGGCGTTTTAAATCCGTCTTATGACGAGTCAAAACAGACTTGTCCTGTGACACTAAAAGAAACAAAAAAGTTTTGAAAAAACGGGTCAGAGGTTAAAATGTTATTTTATCATCTTGTTTTTCCACTAAAAAATTTTTTGTGATTTTGAGTACACGGAAGTTTGTTTATAAAAGCTTTTTAGTTATAATTTATGATAAACACTACGTAAACTCTTGAACTTTAGGTAACCTTATAGCCCGAAACATACAAAAAGTAAGACTGTGATAAGTCTTATATGTGTTAGATTAAGAAGATTTTTTTAGGATATTCAACTAGAATAGCATAACATAATGTTTTTTTAAGTTAATATAATTATAACATTCTTAATTAATTAAAGTGGGTTGGGAAAGGTCAAGTAAAGTAAGGATCATGCAAGCTACGCTAAGCTAGAGCAAGGATAGAACGAGGAAGGTTAAAGTAAGCTAGGGAACGAGTGGCTTGGGCTACGGTGGCGTAAGGTATTTTAGGTTAGGGTGGAGTAAGGTAGGGTAGGTTAAGGTGGAGTAGAGTAGGGTAGGGTAGGGTAGGGTAGAGTAGGGTAAGGTAGGGTAGGGTAGGGTAGGGTAGGGTAGGGTAGGGTGGGGTAGGGTAAGGCAGGGTAGGGTAGGGTAGAGTAGGGTAGGGTAAGGCAGGGTAGGGTAGAATAATAAAGGATAAGGTAAAGTAAGCTAGGATAGAGCCCCCAAAATGTCAAAAAAAAGCGAAAAAAAAATACTTTGTCTAGAGCCGAAGATACCACATGTGACCGGCACACGCCATGAATATATTTCTAAAGTGCAAAGAAACACGACCGACGGAATAGGGGTCAATCGGGGAGAACAAAACAAAATTTATTTGAATGGGGGGGTGAAAAATGAAAAAAGTAAAAAAAAAATGGAAAAAACTCCTCTTCCTTTCCCAAAAAATATTTTTATAAAAAAAAAAATTTTACTCCAAAATTTTTTACCCCGCCCAAAAAGTAAAAACAAAAAAAATTGTGAAAAACTCCATCCTCAAAAAAATCTTTTCATACAAAATATTACGCTCCCTCCGCCCCTCTTAAAATTTTTACCCCTCCCCCCCCCCAATTTTTTATCCCGCCTAAAAAATATAAACAAAAAAAATTTTGAAAAATGTCTCCCTTACTTTAAAAAAAATTTTTACCTGAAGAAATATTTTAACCGCTCCCCCCTCCCCAAATTTTTTTAACCTGCCCAAAAAAAATAAAAAACCTAAAAAAACATGATTACGATACCTTAATTTTTATAAGTTCCAAAATTAGTTATAGAAGCCACAAAAAACTAAACCAGTAGCCAGTCTTCTGGATTGTACTGCTCGATTTAGAAGACGAAAAACGAAAAAAGCGTCTTTTTTTGAATATATCGAGAGCGGGGCAGTGCGGCGGGAAGAGAATGCGGCGGGGGAGAATGGGAAAATGAAGCAGGAAACCCGAAAGAGCTTGGTGCAAAATAAAGTAACGCTGCGAAATGGAATAATGAGAATTTCGTTTAAAATTCACTTTAAAATTTTTAAAAAAATTTTGAAAAGTTTGAAAATGATATCTTCATTGCCTACCTTTGTAATAGTCCTAACTTACAGCCTTAGTTTTAGAGTTTTCCTTGGCTTTAGCCCCAGACTTATTCTAGCTATAGCTTGAGTTCTCGCTATAGTAGTAGCTCAGAGCCCTAGACCAGTGAGCTTAATTTCTAGCCGTAGCCCTATGAGATTTAAACTTTGCCTTCTAGACCGAGTTCTACTCTTATCTCTAGAATTAGTCCTATCTTTAGGTCTAGCCTTAGTTTACGTATTAGACTTAGACCTAGCTTTTGGATTTGTCTATAGAGCTAATTCAAGCACTAGCTTTAACCCTAGCATTACCCTTCGCCCTACCCTAGGCTTATCGTAGCTGTGACCTTCTTGTGTATTAGCGCCATTTTTTTCGTATTGTGAACACTATCTTTTCACCTTGACGTTAGCACTTAAAAGTTATATGTAATTAAAGTAATATCGGATGAAAAAGAAGGATATAGGACAAAAAAGGCAAAAAGCTTGTTCTTCTTGTTGACGAAAATGTAATTACGTCCGAAAGGATTGGTCATAAAACAAGTCGCATTTCAGCGATTACTCATCATCAACGTTGATTGAACAGCTTGTAGAGTAAATAGTAAAAAAATGTTTTACATGCCTGATTTATTAAGTTATTATTCATTAATGTTTGTCACACAAACGGTGCTTTGGTGCTATAGTTGCTTAGGCAACAACAACAGTCGATGCTTCAGCTGAGCCGCTAGCGAATGAAGCGCCGGTGGAAACTTCAACGCTGCTGGCTACGGTGGTTGGGGCGGTGAAGTCAACACCACAGTCGCTGGACTAAAACAATTGTTATAGTAAAGATTTTTACCGTACCTTACCCTACCCTACCCTATCATGCTGATCATACCGTATCGTACCCTATTGTACCGTATCTTACCGTATATTATTAAATGCTACAGTATCATACCGTATTCTACAGTATCCTATTGTATCTTATTGTATCCTACCGTATCCTAAAGTATTCTACTGTATTTTACATTATATTCTACTCTATCCTATCTTACTTTATTGTAGTTTGTTCTACCGTGCTCTACCCTACTTTCCAAAGTAAAAAAAAGCTTACGAAAGCATAAGCGACAACCAGTTCGTAGATGCTACCGTATCCTTCGATTTCCAAACTGAAAATGATCTCGACCGACCATTCCTGGATGATCAACCATTCGTAGAACTGGGCCACAAAGTACTCAACACGTACTTCAACTTCGGTGTTAGACTCGTAGTAGGTGGTGAGCTTCTCGACGAGTTCCTTGATCTGAGCACGTTCCGATGTGGATCCAGAAGAGGCGTTCTCGTAGCACGAGGTCAAGGTTTGGATGAGTTCACAGCTTGAGGCTGATCCTCCAACAGCGATTTCGTAGTTGTAGACTTGCCAGTACTGTAATGAATGTTATAGTACTGTTAGTACAGTAATATAGTACTGAAATACTATCTATAGTACTAGTACTAAGATAATATCTATAGTACTAGTACTAATATGATATCTATAGTACTAGTACTAACATGATATCTATAGTACTACTAAGCAATGTTACAAAAAGGTTTGACTCTCAGGTTACTGTAACTACAGTTACAACTTAAAACTACTGTACATTAACTTACAGTAAGCGAGACTTCATAGAAAGAAGAGAATGATCCGTATCCTTCAATCTCAATCTGAAGTACAGTAGATTCGTACTGCGAGTACTCGGCGAAGAAAGCTTCAAACTTTTGGTAGATCAGTACCAGCTGATAACTGTAAGCATAACTGGTCGATTCCAAAATTACAGTAAGCTCTTCAATCAGCACCTCGATTCTAGCACTGAACTCAGCATCAACAGCCGTACAGTTGCGAAGAGCATCGAACAAGATACAGTCTCCAGAAGCGTCCAACTCAACGATGGTGGAGGTGTACTCGTATTGGATGAACACGACAACAGTTTGGATGTCGAACACGTATCCACTCCATTCCTCGATGTAGGTATAGAGAACGAGCTCGTTAATCTCGGTGTAAGTGGTCAAGAAGATTTCCAACTTGGACCAGACAGCCACCAACTTTTCGTCATAAGTCAGGCTGACATCATAGATGATGGTGACCTGAAGTTCCTCAATGAACTCAATCCAAGCCTCACGAATCGTGACGTCGGTGATCTCGATGCTGATGTTGTAGAAGTATTGGAACAACAGGCAGTAGTCATCGTACCCAATAGCACCTGAGCCCGACTCTTGAGAGGATGAGTGACTTTCAATTCCGGAGCTCAAGTCCTCGTCGCTGCCGGAACTCTCGCAACTGCAGGTGCATTGACCATAAGTGGAGCTGGTCACACTGATCTGTGTGGTGGTGGTGACTTCGCCTGAAGTGTCACCGCCCGACAACAAACATCCACGATTCTTTTGGCGATCCTCGCAATCCTTCGGGAATGAGCTGCCGGAGTTGCAGTAGTTGCCGGTGGCGGCGCCGATGAGGAGGGTCAGGAGGAGAGCGGTCGACTTGTGCATTGTTAGCTGCTTCGGCGTCGCGGTCGAAGAAGTGATGCTGTTTTGGGGCTGGGTTAGGTTTTTATATCAAATTGAAGTTGGTGATAAAAAATCAAAAGTTGTTGAAATTTGCATAAATTTCAAAATTAGCATAATCGGCTCAACGTAAAGTCGCAAAATGTTTGATGGAACTTGACAAACAGCAATATATTGTTGTAGTTTATGAGCTCGCGAAGCGTTTGGAACAGTTTTCGTTAGCAAATTTGCATTTTCCCGGTAAAAGCTTACGCACGTCAAGGATTATATTGCGTTTAGAAGGTGTGATCCTTGCCCAAATGGCAGTATATAAGCTGAACACTACACTCGGATCAGTATCAGTGCTTCGACCGCGAAGCCGAAGCGCATCACAATGCAAAAGCTCTCGCTTGTGCTCCTGGCCGCCCTTACGACGGCCGCCACCGCCAACTACTGTACTTCGGGCAGCGACTTTAGCGATGACTGCGACAACCGTCAAAACAATCGCGGATGCTTGACTTCCGGCGGACGTACTAAACCTCCCAGCTCATCTTCATCATCGTCTTCAGAATCGGCCGAACCCACCACTCAGTTCACTTTGGCCACTTCAACTCACGGTCAATGTTACTGTAGCTGTGAATCCTCCGGCTCGTATGAGTCTTCTGGATCTGATGAATCTTCCGGTTCCGGATCTGACAGTAGCTCTAGCTCTTCAGAAGGCTCAGGCTTCGAGTACGATGACTACTGCCTCTTGTTGCAATACTTCTACAACATCAGCATCGAGATCACCGATGTCACGATCCGTGAGGCTTGGATCGAGTTCATCGAAGAGATTCAAGTCACCATCATCTACGATGTCAGCCTGACTTCTGACGAAAAGCTGGTTGCCATCTGGTCCAAGTTGGAGATCTTCTTGACCACCTACACCGAGATCAGTGAGCTTGTTCTCTATACCTACATTGAGGAATGGAGTGGCTACGTGTTTGACATCCAAACTGTTGTACTGTACATTCAATGGAGCTACACGTCCACCGTGGTTGAGATCGATGCTTCTGGAGACTGTATCCTGTTCGAAGCTCTTCGCAACTGTACTGCTGTTGATGCTGAGTTCAGTGCTAGGATTGAGATTTTGATTGAAGAGTTGACCGTGATTTTGGAGAGTACCACTTATACCTACAGCTACCAATTGGTGCTGGTCTACGAGAAGTTTGTGGCCTTCTTCGCCGAGTACACTCAATATACTGAAGTGATCTTGGAGATTGAGATCGAAGGATACGGATCGTTCTCTTCTTTCTATGAAGTTGTCTACAACGTGAGTTAATGTTACTGAGCAGTAGCTTCAGTACTAGTCTTTACTACGATGTTATAGTATCATGACGTCATTCTTTGGCATCGGTTGTTACTGTACCCCTGTAGTACTATAATATGACATTCTTTTTCAGTACTGGCTCGTCTTCAACTTCGAAATTGCTGTTGGAGGATCAGTTTCCGAATGTGAACTCATCCAAACCTTGACTGCCTGCTACGAGAACGTCTCGTCCGGATCCACTTCGGAACGTGCTCAGATCAAGGAACTCGTGGAGAAGATCACCACCTACTACGAGTCGTATGTTGAAGTAGATGTTCGTGTCGAGTACTTTGTTGAACAATTCTACGAATGGTTGATCATCCAGGAATGGTCGGTCGAGATCATCTTTGGCTTGGAAATCCAAGGATACGGTACCGTCTACGACTTGATCATCGCTTATGTTTGGGTAGGTAGTACCTTGTTATAAGAGAAGATTGGAAGAAGTACCGTTACCGTTCCTCACTTTATCCTACCGTAGCTTCTTACTGTACTCTAGTGTACCCTATTGTAACTTACCGTACCCTACTGTACCCTACCGTACCCTACCCTACCCTATCCAAACCTACCTTACCCTACTGTACCCTACGTTACACTATCGTACCTTACTGTACCCAAGGGTACTCCACTGTACGCTATCCTACCGTATCTTACCGTACCCTATCGTGTGTTACCTTACCTTATCTTACCCCTACTTTACGAATTATGTTCTCAACCCTTAATGTTATAGGAACACCACTGCGGCTGCATTGACTTTGGAGAATCCACCACCACCGCCGCCATCGAAACCACCACCGAAGTCGAGACCACAACACACGCCACCGGTGACTGTTCCACCGTCCTCGACTTGGTCCTCTTCCAAAACAACATCACCGACCTGTCCTGGTCGATTGACGAAGCTCAGGTGAGCTGGAACTCGACCGAAGTCCAGCGGTTCGCCGCCTACGAGAAGAGGATCTTCGTGGTGGAGAGCAACACCACCGCCACCAGCCAAGAGGTGTTCACCAACGTCGCCAACATCTTTAACGTCTGGACCACCAACGAGTTCTACCTGGACCTGGTCTACTCCATCAACATCTACATTTACCACGAGACCGCCAGCGAATACGTTTGGGGAACGGTCAAGCAATTCTGCGCTTGCGCATAGATTATTCTTTACGAGTAGTGAAATGACACTACCACATGTGATATGATACTTACTTAGATAGTCATACGCAAATAAAAATCAGGCATGTAAACTTGGATAGGTTGGTATATACTTTACATACTCAAGCGTCTACAATTACAATTCGGGAGATATATATATACGTATATTATATTAGATGATTTTTGATGCCGTAGATTGTAACGTACTGTGCTGATGTGCAAGATGTTCAAGTTTCAGATGAAGACCAACGGAGCTATCCTTGAGACTGACATTTCCCATAACTGGACCTTTCCCAGGTATCTATCGCGTCACTGAGTCGTGGATGAGGTGCTCCATAACACTTCTGGCGTTCAATCATATACTCGTGTAGGCCAAGTATAGATTTGCCTGGACCCCGTGCACTCAGCACTACCCATTCCTCAAGGCACTTGGTATAAGCGGGCGCGGGGTCGAACCAAGGTCCTTCCGAATAGCGAGCGGCGCCACAGCCACTGCGCTACTAACGCAGGGATCTTATGTAAAGTTTTAAGTTGCGCTTTCCAGCCAATCTCAAGAAAATCAAGATCAAAAATTTACGTTTTGAATTTCCCGCCATTATGTTTCAAGCTTATAACTTTGTCATTTTTTGACTTTTAGGATTTTTTCTTTGATATTCTAGTAAAATACTTTTAAATAAACCTACATTTTTCAAACTTGTAAGGCCAGCTTGGTTGGAAAGTCGAAAAAATTGCTTGAAACACAATGCCAAATTTTCCAAACCGGCAGGAAAACAAAATAAATCAAATTTAACACTCAAAAGCGCAAGCTAAAATTTTTTATGGGTACTTATGGTGGTACAAAGAACCTGTATACAAATTTTGAGCTAATTCTGAGAGTTGCAGGTAGGGTACTTTTGTTTATAAAAAGTTTGAAGTCAATTAGAGCGGGGCAGATTGGGGACTTTTAGTTGTTTAGATCAAAACTCAACAAACATCTCAATTTTAAAACCTGAAAAGCCAAGTTTTTTTGAATTTTTTTATTTTTGAGGGTTTAAAATTTATTTTTACTGTAAGAGTCCTGTCTAAAATCATGATTTTTAAGCAATGATTTTTTTTTAAATTTTTTTTATTTTAAATTTTAAATTTTTTTTTAAATTTTAATTTTTTAAAACTAAATTTTTTAAATTAAATTTTTTTATTTTAAATTTTTAAATTTTTTTAAAATTTTATTTTTTAAAACTAAATTTTTTAAATTAAATTTTTTTAATTTTAATTTTTTTTCTTGTTTTGAATATTTTTAAATTAAATTTATTTTTTACTTTAAATTTTTTAAATTATATTTTTTATATTAAATTCTCAAAATTAAATTTTTTTATTTTAAATATGCAAAATTAATTTTTTTTTGTTTTTGAAGTTTAAAAATTTAACTTTTTTATATTTTTAAAAGTTAAATTTTTTTTTGAATTTTCAAAGTTAAATTTTTCTTTGATTTTTAAAATTTAATTTTTTTATAGTAAAAATTTTTTTTAATTTTAAATTTTAAACTAAAATTTTTTGTACCTTTTTGCAATTTTAACAAAAAGCTTTACATAACCACCCTTTAACAAACCATTTTTTACTGTTTTACTCTTTTTGTTTTTACATGATCACTACATTTGCAAAAACTAGCCTACAAGCAGACGTATTATCTTTCACTGCTTGTTATTGATGTTCCTTTCCTCGGTTTGAGGTTGATGATTTGTGACAGATTTGTTACGAACCCTTCAATTCATTTTTCCGTTCGTTTTTAAACCTACTCTCGTCGAGAGGGGGGGGGATGGGGAGAGAGAGAGAGCAAAGTGGCATTGATCGGCCAAAAGCGATTTACGCAAAACTTTTAATTGGACTTTAAAACCACAATTTGTTTCTGTGCTTTGATTCGTATTGATTTGAGAGGGGGGGGATATGTTGAACATTTTTTGATTGCTATAAAGAGTTGGCTAAGCTATATGGGTTGGAATAGAGCTAGTAAAAAGGTACAATAAGGCTAGGGAAGGGCTATGATAGAACTATGGGAGGGCTAGGATAGGGCTAAAGTAGGGCTAGGACAAGGCTAGGGTAGAGCTAAGGTAAGGCTAATAGTTAAGGCTAGGGAAGGGCTAGGGCAGAGCTAGGGTAAGCCTAGGGTAACGCTAATAGTTAAGGATAGGGAAGGGCTAGAGAAGGGCTAGGGTAGAGCTAGAGTAGGGCTAAGAGAAGGCTAGGGTAATGCTAATAGTTAAGGCTAGGGAAGAGCTAGGGTAGAGCTAGGATAAGACTAGAGTAGGGCTAGGACAGAAATACGGTAGGGCTAGGATAAAACTACGGTATAGTTCGAATATAGCTAGAAAATGGTTAGAATATGGGCTAAAGTAGGGCTAGCGTATGGCTGTAAGAGGGCTGAAAGAGGACTGAGGTAGAGCTAAGACAGGATAAAGACTTTGGTAAGGCTGGGACGGGGCTAATATAAGGCTTAAGTAGCACTAGGACAAGGCTATAGTAAACCCACGGTAGGTCAAGGGTAAGGCTACTGTAACACATGAGTATGACCTAGTATAAGGCTATAAAATGGTTGAAAAAGAAGTTAGAATAGGGCTAGCATATGGCTGTGGGATGATTGAAAGAGAGCTGGGGTAGAGCTAAAGCACAATTGTGGTAATACTAGGGTAGAGCTAAGTTAGAGCTAGAGAAATGGCAGGATTAAAACAATGTTCTCCTTAATTTTTGATTAATTCTAACTGATTTATCTTTGTCTTGATCAAAAAATCTAGTCTATATTTTGTTTTTTTTGTTATTTTAGACTCATTAACTGACCGTGTTGACATACATTAGACATTTAATCTTCGGAGCCTAGTGTTTTTCTAAACTTTTGTAAAAAGTTTTTAAAAGTCGTACGATAAACTGTTGTAGAATGTTATCAGCTTACGATGAGTAAGCGGTACTTTCTTCTTTTCTTTTGATTTTCAGACAGATAACGTAAACTTTTTTTGGCTACGATTAGTTAAGTTAGTAATAAAATATGCTTTTGTACTTTGTTTTGAACTTTCTTCTTATAATAGTAGGCTAGAGTTGGCCTAAAACAAGGCTGGGTTAAGATAAACACGGAGCATTGATGGCTTACAATTAGGGCAAGGATAAAGCTAAGGTAGGATTAGTGTAAGACAAGGATAGAACTACAGTATACGGCAGGACTAAGCCTAAGCCTAAGCTTAAGCCTAAGGCTAAATGACAATCTTTTCTGACGTTCTTTTTCAAACTATCGCTGCGTGATCCATTGTTTTTGAACGTGTTTTTTCACGCTAAACTTATTTTTCAAATTGACTGAGCAGCGTAAAATTTATTGATGATTTTATTACCATGTCGACATGGTGTGAGAGGCTCGCATATCCGCCGATTTTTTGTCTTTTTTTAAAGATAAGTCATTGGATATGACTAATGATTGGGGGTGATCTTTATAGATTTTGTTATACTTAATTTTTTAGACGTAAGGCTTAGTCTTAAGTCTAAGCCTAGGCTTGAGGTTGGGCTTGGGTTTAGGATTCGGCATAGGCTTAAGCTTAGGCATAGGCTTAGGCTTAGGCTTAGGCTTAAGCTTAGACTTAGGCTTTGGCTTATGCTTAGGCTTAAGCTTAGGCATAGGCTTAGGCTTAGGCTTAAGCTTAGGCTTAGGCTTAGGCTTAGGCTTAGGCTTAGGCTTAGGCTTAGGCTTAGACTTAGGCTTAGGCTTAAGCTTAGGCTTAGGCTTAGGCATAGGGTTAGACTTAGGCTTAGGCTTAGGCTTAGATTTAGGCTTAGTTTTAGGCTTAGGCTTAGGCTTTGTTTTGGGCTTGGGCTTAGGCTTAAGCTTAAACTTAGGCTTAGGGTTAGCATTAGGCTTAGGCTTAAAATTTAGGCTTAGGCTTAAGCTTAGGCTTAGGCTTAGGCTTAGGCTTAGGCTTAGACTTAGACTTAGGCTTAGGCTTAGGCTTAGATTTAGGCTTAGTTTTAGGCTTAGGCTTTGTTTTGGGCTTGGGCTTGGGCTTAAGCTTAAACTTAGGCTTAGGGTTAGCATTAGGCTTAGGCTTAAAATTTAGGCTTAGGCTTAAGCTTAGGCTTAGGCTTAGGCTTAGGCTTAGACTTAGGCTTAGGCTTAGGCTTAGGCTTAGATTTAGGCTTAGTTTTAGGCTTAGGCTTAGGCTTTGTTTTGGGCTTGGGCTTAGGCTTAAGCTTAAACTTAGGCTTAGGGTTAGCATTAGGCTTAGGCTTAAAATTTAGGCTTTAGGCTTAGGCTTTAGGCTTAGCTTAGGCTTAAACACAAGCAAAGCCGTGGATTTAAACTTAGGTTTAGGATTAGGCTTCGTCAATATCAGGATTATGCAGAAGCTTCAATTATGGGCTTAGGCTTGGGTTTGAGATTCTAAACTTGAACTTTTGGATTTAAGCTTTAAAATTAGCATTTTTTAGTTTTTTGAAACTTTTTTAACTACTTTTTTAAATTTTATGCCACTTTAAACTTACAGTACCTAACTCTCTAAACTCATAAAATTTTTGCCTTAAATCCAATTAAAATCTCGGAGAATCGACCGTTTATAGACCGACATTGGAATCGTTGAACGGCTGTCGCTCATTTTCCACTCGATTAATTCCATTCTTGCAACGATTGTCGGGGGGCGAAACTACTGAATCCCCTAGTGGAATCACGAAAGGGAAGGAACGTCTCTATACTTTCTTTATGCATTCCGTGCCAGTTTATGTGTGTTATGATGATTTTTGGACTTATTTTGAGGGTTTAGCCTTGTTTTTTTGAATTTTGCTTTCAAACTTTAAATTAAGTTAGAAGGGGGGGAGGGGTTGGTTAAGAGAAAGGAAAGGGCGGAGGAGGGAAACGCCAAAAATGAACATTTTTATGTCATGATGACACATTTTTTATACTTTTTTATAATATAAGGCACGGGGGGGGGAGCCAAAAAATATAATTTTGTATATCATGATGACACATTTTTAATACTTTTTTATAATTCAAGGGGGGAGGAAATCCAAAAACTATAATTTTGTATATCATGATGACACATTTTTTATACTTTTTTATAATCCAAGGGGGGAGGGAAGCCAAAAATTATAATTTAGTATGTCATGATGACACATTTTTTATACTTTTTTTTTAAATCCTGGCTTGAAATTTTTTTTCGTACTGTTCTAGCACGTTGAGTATCATACTCAATTCCCCCAACCCAGTAAAATGCCCTTCCGCTTTCAAAAACACCATTATATTATAACCTAAGGAACAGTGACAAACGTTCTTTTTGTCGCAAAAAGAAAAGGAAAAAACGCTTGTCGATGTTCTGAAGGAAAAAAGTCAATTTGAATTTTTAAGACGTTCTTAACGGTCGTTGGGTTTTTTTTATTTTGCTATGAAGAATGGCTAGTTTTTCAATATTTTTTTAAAGTTTTGAAGTTCAAAAAAATTTTTAAAAACTTTCTTAATTTCTTAAAATGTCAAGAACTTTCTTTACAAGACGAAAATGGCAAGAACTTTCTTTACAAAACAAAAAACACAAAAACTTTCTTTACAAAACAAAAAATTGCAAAAACATAGCCCCAGCTTAAAGCGCTAGCCTAAACCGCAAGCCCAGAGGCCTAGCTCAAAGCCCTAGCCCAGAGCTCAAGCTTAAACTCTAGTTCTAGCTCTAGCTTTAGATCTAGCTCTAGCACTAGCTCTAGCTCTAGCTCTAGCTCTAACTCTAGCTCTAGCTCTAACTCTAGCTCTAGCTCTAGCTCTAGCTCTAGCTCTAGCTCTAGCTCTAACTCTAGCTCTAGATCTAGCTCTATCTCCAGTTATAGCTCTAGCCCACAGCCCTAGCCTACAGCCCTAGCCCAGAACCCTAGTTTAGAGCCTTCGCTCTACCCTGGCTTTACCGGAGCCTAAACTTTCTCGGGCTAGACTTATATGTTACCCCAATCGTAATGTAAGCTTCTTCTCTTGAAAGCCTCTACTTCAGTTTTTTTTACTCTCTGCTTTACTTCCCCTTACACTATCCCTCATTAACCTTATCTTTATCTTTAGCTTTAGTTCTAGCCTTAACTTACCACTTCTATAGCTTGATCTTAACAATACAAACCGGAAGACTTGTATAACATAACCCTCTTTTAAAAATCAATCATACAGTAAAATCTTTGAAACGTAACCAAGACAATCACTTTTTTTCTCCGAAAGCCTTAAGTACTCATAAAATGGTCATTACGTTGTTTTGGACGATAAAATAAAGTTTTACGAATTATAAAATTCTCAAAAAACGCATTTTACGTTTTTCATGGCTCATTCGGAGAGCAAGGGATGATCAAAAGCGGTTTTTTATATGACGGTCAGTAGTGTCCAGATGAGTCAAAACACCACGCGATCGGGTTTCTGAATGTGATTTTAATATTTTTTTGAAAGAGGCGCTTTGTGGGGTTAGAAAGTAGACGGTTTTTGTTATAGGTTAGGAGGGGTAGCTTTTGACTGTTAAAATGGATTTTTAAATAACGACTGACTAGGCTTAGGATAAGAAAGAGCTAAGGCATAAGCATAGTAGGTATACAGTTGAAATGATTTAGTATTCACTATGCGAGAACTAAGGCTATGGCTTGACTAAGCCCAAGGCTAAGCCTAAGCCTAAGATTAAGCCTCGGCCAAAGCCTAAGCCTAAGATTAAACCTCGGCCTAAGCCTAAGCCTAAGCCTAAACCTAAGTCTAAGCCTAAGCCTAAGCCTAAGCCTAAGCCTAAGCCTAAGCCTAAGCCTAAGCTTAAGCCAAAGCCTACGCTTAAGTCTAAGCCGAAGCCTAATCATAATTTTAAGTTTAAACCTAAGCCCAAGCTTAAGCCTAATTGAAAGCCTCAACTTCAGTTTTATCTTTTACCTTAGCCTAAACATATTCCTAAGCCTATGTTTAATTTTTACAAAATTTCACTTTCGTTTCGAAAAATTTTCGTTTGTACGTAAAAACGCCACTCTTATTTAGGGGTCCATTCGGTAAGTAAAAGTGCATACAAATCTCGACAAACAAATAGACATATACACTAATACTTTATGTTTCCCCACGCGAGTAAATATTTAACGTTTCGCAAAATTCGCGACGACTTTTACAGCTGCAGGGCATTTGAACTCCGGGGTAAGGGTGAAGGTCTGGGAGAGGGCGAAGGTCAAGGGTTGGGCAGGGTATTTTTTGGGGGGGAGTTTTGGGAATTTTAATTTTTTTTTTTGTAAAGAAAGTTTTTGCCATTTTATGTTTTGTAAAGAAAGTTCTTGCCATTTTATGTTTTGTAAAGAAAGTTCTTGCCGTTTTTTGTTTTGTAAAGAATGTTATTGTCATTTTTTGTTTTGTTAATAAGGTACTTGCCATTTTTTATTCTGTAAAGAAAGTTCTTGCCATTTTTTGTTTTGTAAAGAAAGTTCTTGCTATTTTATTTTTTGTAAAAAAAGTTATTGAAGTTGTTACCTAAAAATAACCTTTTAGTCGTGTTTCACGTTGAGAAAGCGGAATTTGTGACAGTTTTTTGGCATTTTAATTAGCGTCAAGGACGTTGAGAACTCCAGTTAGGTGCGAACGAAACGGCGGGCATTTATAAAACACCGACGTTTTTTAAATTTGTTACCTATTCACTTGCACTTTACTTACTTTTTTTGAATTTTTTAATTTTATAGCTCATTTTTTTAACTTTTTTATAATTTTGGGTAAAAACTTTCTTTACAAAACAAAAAATGGCAAGAACTTTCTTTACAAAACAAAAATTGGCAAGAACTTTCTTTACAAGATAAAAAATGGCAAGAACTTTCTTTACAAAACAAAAAATGGCAAAAATTTTCTTTGCAAAACAAGAAATAGCAAGAAATTTCTTTACAAACCAAAAAAAAATTCTAAATTTTTAAAATTTAAAATTTTTTTAAAAAATATTTTTTAATCCCAAGAAATGCCATGATGTGAATTCAAAATGCCTGTTAAAACGCTTCAAACGTCTAAGTTTACGTTTCGAAGTGACATCCGAAGCAACGTTCGAGACAAAACATTTGCCAAAAAAACAGCTTCCAAACAACGTTCCACACTAACACCCCCAGGGGCTTAAAATCAACGTTTTTGGATTTTGAAGAGGGCTTTTTGGTTAACATTTTGACATATTTTGGTTTGTAAAGAAAGTTATTACCATTTTTTTGTTGTAAACAAAGTTCTTGCCATTTTACGTTATGTAAAGAAAGTTCTTGCTATTTTTGTTTTGTAAAGAAAGTTGTTGCCATTTTTTATTTTGTAAAGAAAGTTCTTTCTATTCCACAAAAAAATATAATTTTCATCGTATAACTTGTCTACCGCAGCCTGCACAACGTGAAATATAAATTTTTTGCAAATTCTTTGTTTTGTAAAGAAAGTTCTTGCCATTATTTTTGTTTTGTAACGGAAGTTTTTGCCATTTTTTTGTTTTGTAAAGAAAGTTCTTGCCATTTTTGTTTTGTAAAGAAAGTTCTTGCCATTTTTTATCTTGTAAAGAAAGTTCTTGGCATTTTTTGTTTTGTAACGAAAGTTTTTGCCATTTTTTTTCAAGCCCAAATATTGCCCTTAGGCTCTAACGTTAGGGATGTTCGTAGGTATATAATTTAGCTTAATTGTAGACGAATACCTAATTTATGAAAATTTTTGCCCTTAAATTTTTTTACTGTAATATAAAAATTTAAATAATTTTTATATATTCCTTTATATGCTAATGACCTCCTCATTATACCCACCCCCCCCCCTTCTATCCAACTTAACTATCCGCCAGGGACGTCGCTACGGTTTTTTGGGGGGGGAAGGGGGGAGTGAAGACTCAAAAAAAATTTTTTTGGTCCATAGGTAGCTACTACCTGTGCACTTTTTTTCGGATCGGCTCTGGGGGAGCTACCCCGAACCCCCAAACGACGTCCCTGCTATCCCCAACTCAAGTTTTTTTGCAATCCTATTAGGAAGTCGTTTTCAAAACGAACCCTCAAGAGTTGCTGTCCACCCCGGCTTTATTTAGTCTCCGTTCGTCCCTTTTCGGGCCCCGCTCCCTCCCGAATGTGTTCAGTTTGGCCAAGGGTTTTTTATTAAGATTAATCCCGAAAACAGCCAAAGCGGGTAGGGGTTTTGCTAGAAACAGGATATGGCCGTATAGTGCTTGACAGCGAATTTAAGGAGGGGTAGGGAAGTAAGGGGGGGGGGTGTTTTTTTTTAACAGTTTAGAAAGGGATGATAAGATGAGGCAATATTAGAGTTGTTTTGGGAAGGGGTGTTTTTTCATTTTTATGATTTTTTTACACAAATTTTGTTTTTTTAAAGATAGCAAGAACTTTGTTAAAGTAAGTTCTAACAAAGGCTGAGAATGGCAAAAAAAATTTTTTTTAAGGGTAAGGCTGTGGTAAAAATAAAATTTTGTTTTGTAAGAGATAAGGGTGTGAAGAAAAGGCTTTTTGCAACGAGTGGGGGTAGAAAAAAAAATTTGAAAGCAGAGAGGGGTAAAAAAGATAGGGTTGTTTTTATACAGGGGGTGTTTTTTCATTTTTATGATTTTTTTACACAAATTTTGTTTTTTTAAAGATAGCAAGAACTTTGTTTACAAAGCAAAAAATAGCAAGAACTTTCTTTACAAAACAAAAAATGGCAAGAGCTTTCTTTACGTAAAGTAGCATGAAAAAAGCTATTAGAAATTTAGTTTTTTTAGGAATTGACCATTGTCAATATGTAAGATGTCTTTCCTTCTTTCCTTTTTATGGTTTGGTCAAAAAAGGCGAGAAGAAAAAGTTCGATTCCTTTTTAAAAAACAAGAATGGTCTTTCCGGGCGTGCTATCCAGCACGACTTAACTTTATCAATGTTTTTTTTTGACCTACATGGGTTACTTTTACTAAGAGTATAATATGAGGTAGGGTAAGACAATAGCATACAATAAGGTAGGTAAGGCATAGTAAGGTACGGTAAGATAGGATAGAATGGGCTACGGTAGGGTACAATGTGATATGGTAAGGTACGCTAAGGCAACGTAAGGTACGATAGGATAAGGTAAGGTAGGCTACGATAGGGTACGATGGAATGGGATACAATAAGGTATAGTAAGATAGAGCAAGGTAGGGTAGGGTAGGGTAGGGTAGGGTAAACATAACTTTCAAAATAGGCATTATAAATGCAAGAATTCTAACTTGTACATATTAATCATCATAGCTTAACAGAGAGACAAATGCATTGTGTATTATAGGCCTTCTTTATTTTTCTAGCATTTCACTTTCTAGATAGTGGTGAATCCATATGTTGTAGTAATAAAAATGTGTTAGAAATATACTTTTCTTATTTAAATGTTTAAATTTAAAAAAATGTTTTGTAAAGAAAGTTCTTGCCATTTTGTGTTTTGTAAAGAAAGTTCTTGCCATTTTGTGTTTTGTAAATAAAGTTCTTGCCATTTTGTGTTTTGTAAAGAAAGTTCTTGCCATTTTTTGTTTTGGAAAGAAAGTTCTTGCTATTTTTTTAACTTTTATATAGTATAAAATTCGATTAGCCTGAGGCAGTAATTTATCAAAAGTAAGTGGAATTTCGTTCCAAGTTTGTTTCTCTTTAATTGAATTCTCCGAGTGTCAGGGGGGGGCGTTATAAAACTTTGTAATCCACTCGATCCCCCCCCCCCCTCCCCCAGGGCACTGGTCTCATCACTTTAAAGCCAAAATGACCAATAACTCTTGGCCCTTTGACGAGTTTGTGGCCAAGGCATGTGTCTGTTTTTTAATGTCCACTTTTTAATTTACGAGCTATGTGTAAACCAATTACTGTCGTGTAGGTTAGTAATAAGTGGCGGTTTTATGGGTTTAAGTTGACATTGGGTCATAAGTATGTGTATTGGGGTGACCGACTATGAATACGGAAGCCTAAATTTACTAAGCTTATTTTTTTGTTTTTTTCTGTTTTTTGCGGTAAGCCTACTAAGTCTAAGCCTACTGAGCCTAAGCCTACTAAGCTTAAGCCTACTAAGCCTAAACCTCCTAAGCCTAAGCATACTAAGCCTAAGCCTACTAAGCCTAAGCCTACTAAGCCTAAGCCTACTAAGCCTAAATCTACTAAGCCTAAGCCTACTAAGCCAAAGCTTACTAAGCGAAAGCCTACTAAGCTTAAGCCTAATACTAAAAAGCCTAAGCTTACTAAGCCTAAGACTAGTAAGCCTAAGCCGACTAAGCCTAAGCCTACTAAGCCTAAGCCTACTAAGCCTAAGCCTACTAAGCCTAAGCCTACTAAGCCTAAGCCTACTAAGCCTAAGCCTACTATGCCTAAGCTAAGCCTACTAAACTTAAGCCTAAGACTAAGAAGTCTAGGCCTGCTAAGTCTAAGCTTAATAAGCCTAAGCCTCCTAAGTCTAAGCATACTAAGCCTAAGCCTACTAAGCCTAAGCCTACTAAGCCTAAGCCTACTAAGCCTAAGCCTACTAAGCTTAAGTCTACTAAGCGTAAGTTAAAGCCTAAAAAGGCTAAGTTTAAGCCTAAGCTTTAAAAGTCTAAAGATAAGCTTAAGCGTAAGTCTTGTCCGGCTAAGTTAAAGCCTACTAAACCACAACTGGGGTGAAGCTTTAAGAAAGCTAATCTATTTTGTTCACAAAGAAAAAGCAATAAAATATGTCGTATTTGTTATGACATCCGGTCACTGAGCAATAAATCATGACAGTAAAAGTAACAAATTTATTGTCACAATTTCCCGTAATTAAATTCGTAAAAACAAGCGGTTTCAGTGACTTTTACTTGAGGTATTATTCTAGATTGTCATGTTAGAACGACTTTCTGCTGTGTAAAGAAAGTTTTTGCCATTTCTTGTGCTGTAAAGAAAGTTCTTGTCGTTTTTTAGTTTGTAAAGAAAGTTCTTGCCATTTTTTGTTTTGTAAAGAAAGTTTTTGCTATTATTTGTTTTGTAAAGAAAGTTTTTACCATTTTTATAGTGTAAAATACGACATCTTTTTGCTTTTAGTATTTTTTGATTTTTGCAGCCTGCGGGTGACATGTTATACGACGCTTATACAATGCGCGAATTCAAAATTTAAAATAAATTTTTAAAAATTAAAATTTTATTATTTTCAGGTGCTTTTATTTTTTTTTAAATACGTGTAAAAATCGGGTTTTCAAGACGGCGTGGTTACAACAAACGCGAAGGGCCGTTCAATCGGCCATCTCCACCGACTCCGACCACAATTCATCGACGATTCCGGAAGGGGTTGTTCAGGTAACTTTTGAGTTTAAAATTACAATATTTAAGGATAGTATGAGTACCTAGGTAGGTTTAGTAGGTATAGGCTTAGTTTTTGCCATTTTTTGTTTTGTAAAGAAAGTTCTTGCCATTTTTTGTTTTGTAAAGAAGGTTCTTGTCTTTTTGCTTTGGAAAGAAAGTTTTTGCAAGTTATTGTTTTGTAAAGAAAGTTCTTGACATTTTTAATTTTGTAAAGAAAGTTCTTGCCATTTTTTGTTTTGTAAAGAAAGTTTTTGCCATTTTTTTCAAACATGTTGCGCTGACGAAGAAGCAGTAAAATTGCCGTACTCGCAGTTATTTTTTGGGTCGTTTTACATCGAGGCAAATATTACCAAAGTAAGCAATATTACATAAGAAAAAGTTGCGTAATACGCTTTCTTGCAATTTACCTAAAGCTATGTTGTTAGATTTGCATTATGTATTATTATGTAATACTAAAGTAATAAAACAGATATCTTTCAGTCGATCAGTGGTAAACGGTTATTTATCCAACAAAAAGCTGGCACGTTACGAACCCAACGCCGTTCCAGTAGCCAAAGCCAAAAGTCAAACTGTTTGCTCAATGAATCCGCCAATCCTTCATGCTACGTGGAGAACATTCCATCAACTTCACAACAAGCAGTAAGTGGCGTTTATTAGGGTAGGGCATAGTAATGTTTTTCACTACAAGGTAAAGTATAGTGTGGTAAAGCGAGACAATAGTATAGGATACGATAAGATACGGTAAGGTACGGTAGGATAGGGTAAGATAGCATACGATAAGGTACGGTAAGGCACAGCAAGGTACATTTGGATAGGGTAGAGTAAGTTAGGGTACGATGGGATGGGATAAAATAAGTTGCAGTAGTGTACGATGAGATACGGTAAAGTACGATAGAGTAGGATAGAGTAAGCTACGATAGGATACGATAGGATGAGATACAATAAGTTACGGTAGGTTACGATGGGATACAGTAAGGTACAGTAAGGTACGGTAGGATATGGTAGGGTAAGGTAAGGAAGGAACGATAGGGCACAATGGGATACCACAAGATACGGTAGGGTAGGTTAAGGTACGATAAGATAGGGTAGGATAGGATAGGGTAGAATAGGATAAGGTAGGGTAGGGTAGGGCAGGGTAGGGTAGGGTAGGGTAGGGTAGGGTAGGGTAGGGTAGGGTAGGGTAGGGTTAATAAAACGTTTACTTTGATGTCAGAATAGGCGCAAATTAAATCAGGGGGTGAGAGAAATTAATTTTTTTCCGCCGCAAATGGAACATAATTAATCGCAAAGTGCAAAACAATCCGAAAATTTGCATAAATTTTCGGTTTTGCTCCCTTGAGAGCAGTTTTAAGGAGGGAAGTTGGTCTTACAAATTTGGGGCTTAAGCCTAAGATTGAGTTTAAAAGATAAAATTTTGTTATTTTAAGCTTTGTAAAGAAAGTTCTTGCTATTTTTTGTGCTGTAAGGAAAGTTTTTGCCATTTTTTGTTTTTTAAAGAAAGTTCTTGCCATTTTTTGTTTTGTTAAGAAAGTTCTTGCTATTTTTTGTGCTGTAAGGAAAGTTTTTGCCATTTTTAATTTTTTTTGTAATGGCTAAAAAACATCTTTAATGGCTAATCCTATAAACCTCATCAATGCCGTTTTGTAGGGCCATCTAAAGTGCAATTTAAGTTGGGGACGACGGTTTTAATGGCCAAGAAGAGGGAGGGGTCAGATGTTTTTAATTTGCATTTGACTGAAAATTGATTCTTTTTTGGTTAGTTTGGCAAGATAAAACATATTTTGATATATTTAGAGGGGTAGGCTTAAGCTTAGTAGGCTTGGGCTTAGGCTTAGGCTTAGGCTTAGGCTTAGGCTTAGTAGTCTCAGGCTGAGGCTTAAGTTTAGGCTTATGCTTATGCTTTATAGGTCTAGTAGTAGCAGGCTTAGGTTTAGGCTTAGGCTTAGGCTTAGTAGTCTCAGGCTTAGGCTTAAGCTTAGGCTTATGCTTTATAGGTCTAGTAGTAGCAGGCTTAGGTTTAGGCTTAGGCTTAGGTTTAGTAGTCTCAGGCTTAGGCTTAGGCTCAGGCTCAGGCTCAGGCTTAGGCTTAGGCTTAGGCTTAGGCTTAGGTTTAGGCTGAGGCTTAGGCTTAGTAGTCTCAGGCTGAGGCTTAAGTTTAGGCTTATGCTTATGCTTTATAGGTCTAGTAGTAGCAGGCTTAGGCTTAGTATCCTTAGGCTTAGAATGAGGCTTAAGTTTGGCAGTTTAAAGAATTTGGCTTAGTTCTACCTCAGGCTTAGGTTTAGGCTTAATAGGCTGAGGCTTAGCAGTATATATCTATCCTTACTAAACTTTTTTGTTTAATTTTAGGCTTAAAGTTAGGCTTATTTCGTGGAAATATTGAAAGCTTTGGTTTAATAGGTTTAGCTTAAGATTTATTACGCCTAGGCGTATGCTTATTAAACTTTGGCTTAGTAGGCCTTAGATATTTTAAATTATAATTTTAGGCTTAGAGTTAGGCTTATGTCCTGGAAATTTGAAAAATTTTATTTTACCTTTAGCCTCAATACTCCTAGGCGTATGTTTCGTAAACTTAGACTTATTAAGCTTAGGATATTCTTACTTTCAATTTTAGGCTTAAAGTTAGGCTTATTTTTCGAAAATATGTAAAAATTTTAATTTTTGGTCTTTACCCTTTTACCCCGCCTTTGGTCATTTTTATTGCAACATTCCAGTTTAGGCTTATTGTTATGACATCTTTTGTTCTTTGAACATACTTAAGTTTTAATTTAATTTTTTTTTATTTTTCTAATTTTACCAAAACTTTTTCAAATTTCCGTTTTCAAAACCAAAAAACTTTTCAAAAAAAGCCCCTATCCTTGGGCCCAACTTTTTCCTTGATTTGATATTTCTCGGCCCTTCTCCGTCCCAACTGGCCATAAATGTCTCGGGCGCTTCCCATCTCTCTTCCCTTCTAATTCCCATCAGTTTGTGTGTTTGACAGTTCGGACACCACTAATATCGACAAAGGCGGGGGGATTTGTTTTATAACGCTTATGAAGTTTGGGGGGGGATAGTATTTTGAGGATTCGGATTTTTTTGTGGTTTTAGGCGGAGGGTGGATATTTTTTGAAGCGTGTGTTTTTGAAGGGGTGGTAAAAAATTTTTTTTAAAAATTTTTTTTAAAAATTTTTTGTAGTTTCAAAATTGAAAAAAAAATTTTTTAAACATTTTTGCGAGAGATTTAAAATCTGGCAAGGGGGGGGAAGAATGATGGGTTACTTTTACTGCAAGTATAATGTAGGGTAGGGTAGTACGATAGGATACAATAAGGTACGGTAAGGCGTAGTAAGATACGGAAAAATAGGGTAGAACGAGCTACCATAAGATACGATGAGATGAGATACAATAAGCTACAAGTACAATGAGATATGGTAAGGTAGGCTACGGCACCGTAAGGTACGATAAGATAAGGTAAGGTAGGCTACGATAGGGTACGACGGGATGGGCTACAAGATATGGTAAAATAAAGTAGGGTAGGGTAGGGTTAGGTATTGTAGGGTTGGGTATTGTAGGGTAGGGTAGGGTAGGGTAGGGTGTTTTATCTGCTGATCTAAAGTAATATAAATACAAATTGAAAAAGGAACTATCCAAAATAAACAAATCGCCTGTTTTTTGATCGTTTTTTGTACCTAAAATATTGCTCTCGATCTCTCTTCTGTTTATCTTTTTATTTTATCAGATATTTTTTGATTCTAACCACTTTTCGAAACATATTATTCATAGTAATATCTGGTAATTAATATTGCATTTTTCAAAAGCTAAAGGCTCTCAGTGCCAGTTTTAGGGCTATTAGTGCTAAACAGTATCATATTAAAGACTTTGAGTACTATTCAGAAATCTCTGAGGACCATACATAGATCTTTCAGTACCATAAAAACATATTTGAGTACTATTTGTTACCTAAAATTTAATTCCAACCTTATATTACACTCAAAATTGAGTGTAATGTCGATTAATTCATGTCTAATCAGCATTTTTGTTAATGCAAAACGTCGAAATTGCAGTTTTGAGTACGGTTTGAGTGACAATTTCATTGGAAACTACACTCTTCATACTGTAAGTTGCTTTAGCAATGGCCCTGGGTCTAGACACGGAGAATGGGAAGGCCTGAATTTTAGGCCCGGACCAATCTAAGTTATGCTTGCTCAGGTCCAGCCCGAATTGTTTTACGAGGAAGTGGGCCGGGCTTTTCCGGTATTTTCAGGCCCGACCTGTCCAAAGTTTTGCTCAGGCCCGGCTCGATGGTAGGCCCGGACCGTTCCACATGGATACCTTAGTCTAGCCGAGAGCCCTAGCCCAGATCCCTAGCCCAAAGCCCTAGCCGAGAGCCCTAGCCCAGAGCCGTAGCCTAAGCCTTAGCCCAGAGCTCTATTACAGAGCCCTAGCTCCACGTCTTAGCGTAAATCCTAGCCTAGCCAAGCATTTTCTGGTCCTAGCTTAAAGCTTAGCCTTTTATAGTCCTAGCATAAGCCCTTAGTCTGGCAAACCTTTTTCTAGTCCTAGCCTAAGCCCTAGCCTAGCCATGCTTTTCCTTGTCCTAGCCTAAGCCCTAGTCAAGCCTTTCCTTGTCCTAGCCTAAGCCCTAGTCTAGCTAAGCCTTTTCTAGTCCTAGCTTAAGCCCTACCCCAAGCCTAGAGTTACCCCCACTTCCAGCCTTACCCTTACAATTGTTAGCTCTAGCCCTACAGATGGTTGTTTCAAGCATGATCTGTGTAATATAATTATAATTCGAAATAAAACAGCAGGGGGTGGTAATATCCGTTATTTGACTAATTATCCTATTTTATGGGTTATGACATTACATGGGAATTTTTTTTCGTCGAAAAATTTACTATATTATAGTACATTGTAATGTTGGCGGGGAAATTTCTTGTTATTTTCCTTTTGTAAAGAAGATTCTGCCATTTTTTGTATTGTAAAGAAAGTTCTTGCCAATTTTTGGTTCCGTAAAGAAAGTTCTTGCCATTTTTCGTTTTGTAAAGAAAGTTCTTGCCATTTCATGTTTTCTAAAGAAAGTTCTTGCCATTTCATGTTTTCTAAAGAAAGTTATTGCCATTTAAAATCGTTCTATTACCTAAAAATCCCCATTTTTCCCCCAAAAACCTCACTTTACAAGCTTATACAAGCCAAAACATGTTCAAAACCGTCTATCTTAACATAGAAGCGAAAAGCCGTCTGAAACCGATCCCTTCACCTCACTTTTCCCCAAATCTACATGTTGTTGTATACAATAAACACGACAGAGAGTTAGCTGGACAGGTGGAAAGTGTGATCGAAGAGCGATCCCCCTCCCTCTCTCCTCATTGCCATTTCTTTTCGCGGGTAAAACAAGAAATGGACATTGGGCGCGTAAGCTGGGAAAAATTATATTTCTGGCCTCGGAAGGAGAGCAAATTCAAGGGTTTTTTGAAAGTTTTGGGGACTTTAAAGGGGGATTTTGTTGAGTTTAAAGGATTTTAGGTATGAATTTTGAGGTTTCTTGATTCTTCAGATATTTTTTGGTAATTTTAGGTAACAATTTGAATGTTCTTTGAATATTTAGGTATGAATTTTGAAGTGTTCTTGCATTTCCAGAGCTTTTTTGTTAATTTTAAGCAGGAATTTGAATGTTTTTTTATGTTTAGGTATGAATATAATTAAAATTATATTTCTGGCCTCGGAAGGAGAGCAAATTCAAGGGTTTTTTGGAGTTTGGGGGATTTTAAAGGGGATTTTGTTTAGTTTTAAGGGTTTAGGTATGAATTTTTAAGTTTTTTTGAATTTTCAGATATTTTTTGATTATTTTAGGTATTTGAATGTTCATTGAATGTTTAGGTATGAATATAGATAGAATTGTATTTTTGGCCTTAAAACAAAGGGAAGTTGAGCGGTTTTTTGGGGGTTTCAAGGGTTTTAGGTAACAAATTTTGTTTTGTGAATTTTAAAGTATTTTTTGAAGATTTTAAATATCAATTTGAATGTTTTTTGAAGTTTTAGGTATGAATTCTGAGATTTTCTTGAATTTTCAAATATTTTTTGGTAATTTTATGTAACAATTTGAATGTTCTTGTAGTTTTTACGTAGCAAGTTTATCAGTTTTAACTTTCTTTTTTATTTTATGAACAGCTTTGACTGCTTTTTGAATGTTTAGGTATAAATTGATGATCCCCATAACATTTTCTAACACTTTTGACACTTTTGGGTAACAAATTAGTATTTTCGAGCATTTTGAAAACGATTTTTTTGAGTTTAAAGATTTTTTTATTTTTAGGTATGAATTTGGATTTTTTTGGTTTTCGATTTGTAAACAAAGTTCTTGCCATTTTTTGTTTTGTAAATAAGGTCATTGCCAGTTTTTCTTTTGTAACGAAAGTTCTTGCCATTTCTTGTTTTGTAAGGAAAGTTCTTGCCATTAATTGTCGTATTACGAAATTTTTTGCCATTTCACGCCCTGTAACGAAAGTTCTGGCCATTTTATGTTTATCTACCCTAATGATAAATGTGAATCGGGGCTATTACTTTCAGTTGATCATGTCGGATATGTTGCTTGAGGGAGATGATTCATTTCAACTCGTTTTTTATTTGTTTTCCAGGTTCTTGACAAGTTTTTGTGGCCGTTGCAAATGTGTTCTTTGATACTTATCTTCATTTCCTGAGGGGGTGGGGGTAAATTACTGTTGTAAATTGAACAGTAGGTACTGGACTGGCATTATATAAAGGTATTGACTGCAATTTTTGGGTTTTTCATTGCTTATGACATAAAACCCATCAAAGTGCGGCCAAATTTGTATGTTTTACACACTTTTCGGCTTGTAAACTGTTTCTGCGGTTTTTTGAATTTTCGAAATGCCGTGAAATACTCCTCATGATCTTGCAATTACTATTGTAACGTATTTTATATTAAAGACTTCGAAAAGTTGCAAAAAATTATATTAACTATGACCAAGTCAGCCTAAAACAACATATTGGATTGAATATTTTTTAGATGCTCAACTTGCCATGTGAAAAGGTGCTACATGACGCTTTCCTAACCGGTCTTCTTAACTTATCACAACGGCAGCTCAAAGAATTCCCGAATGAAGCCAGTTCCGATATTAGTGATCTCATCAAAGCAGGTAGGTTAATATAGTTGAATTTGATGTAGATCGTTGTTAATTTGGGGCATAGTGTTGATTTTTTGATTTTGGTATGTTTATGGGTTTTAAAATGAAATGGCATTGCTGGGGTTTTAATTAAAAATGGTTTGGGCAGAATGCCAAAGTTGGCGGAAAAGTCAAAGTTTAAAAATTTAAATAGACGGTAAGTGAAAAAATATGACATTTTTGGGTTTTCAAATGACATTAAAGGGCTATAACTGCTTCCGATGTCAAATTTCAAAATTTAGTGCATAATGCCAAAGTTGGCGGGAATTTGAATTTTAAAAATTTTTAATTGTTCAAAAACTTGCTTTTCTTTGCAGATATCAGCTCAAACTGCCTGACCGAACTCCCCATCACATTATGTGAACTCAGAGTGTTAGAAACCCTAGAATTCCGATCGAACTCATTAAAAACCATTCCTCCGGCCATTTCGTCGCTCATAAGCCTAACATACCTGGACCTAAGTGACAACCACCTCACCGACCTTCCAGATGTACTCTTCAGTTTACCGTTGAAAGTGCTATTACTGTCACGAAATCGACTGCAGTCAATTTCGGCCGAAATCCGACATCTTGGCCCAACCATCGAGGAGATTGACCTGTCGTCGAATAAGATACGATCTCTGCCAAATGGGCTGTCGGTATTGACGGAACTGAGAGTGTTGAACTTGAGAGGGAATCAGCTAAAGGATTTGCCTGGAGGTAGGGTGGCTTTGGCTTTGGTTTATTTAAAAATGGCATTTTTTGTTAAAAATTTTTGAATTTTGGGGGTCTTTGTGATGTCATGGTTAATAAAATTGATGCTGTAGCCGTACTTTTTGTCAGATTTTTGTGAAAATTTGACAGAATGTAGCTAACATAATGCATGTTGACTATGCGAATTATAAAAGGGCAGTTTTTATTTTTAGCTTTTAAAATTTTTTTTAATTTAAAAAAAGCTAATTTTGACCAAAATTTTGCCAATTTTTACGTTTATATCGGTTCTAATCGAGATTCTTGCCATTTTAAGACATTGGAACGATGAATGTAAGGTCTCTGGATCTTGGCAACAACTTATTGATTAGATTACCGGTCGAATTCTGTAAGCTTGGAGGCTGTGTGGACTTTAAAGTGGATGGAAATCCTTTGATCGAGCCGCCTATGAATGTGGTTAGACGGGTAAGACATTGAATTAAAAGTTTTTTCTGATATAAATTTACATTTGGGATTTAAAAAGTTTATTTTTAAGTTAAATTAGTATTTGTTACCTAATTTTTTTTGTTTCCAAAATTTTTCTTTTCAGGGCCGAGCCCACATTTTCAAATGGTTGTCCACAAAAATCGATGACAATCATACCAACAACAACATAACGGATCGTATGATGAATGGAGATCATGCTCTGACAGCCAGCTGTGCCGCTTTTGGCCTTAACAGCTCGTATGGCCTCGATTTCAACAGAGCCAACACTCTCAACGCGACGATTCGCCGCTCGGATCGAGGAAGGTGCGACACTAATTTTGAAAATTTTGCCGAAATCTTGTCTTGTCTTCGGGAAATTTTAGCCAAAAAAGACGCAGGGGATTCTGTAGAAGCTTCTGAAGATATTACAGTAGATGATACTTTAAAGAGTTTAAAGATAATTGACATAGAATCACAGTTAGGGCATCTAAAACGCCTGGAAGAACAATTGTCCGAAATTGTAATGAAAAATGAGTTAGATCAAACCAACCGGTCGATAAAAAATAGTGTGGAGTACTTTGAAAGATTGTCTATAGATTCTAGTTTTCATGCTATGGATTCAGGATGCAGAAGTATGAATGCTTCATCGTGTTCTGACTCGAAATCTATAGCACCATCAGATCCGATGCAAGAGGAAAAGGTCTTTAATGGGACAAAAGTCAATGTCATTAATTTGTTATCAATCCCAAATACTATTTATAACAATATTAGGGATCTTAACTTTAGTTCAAAAACTTCGGACATCCCATATTTACCCGATATTATCATAGATTTGCGTGGTAACAAGATTAACCTTAACATCACTGTTGTCCTCATGATTACCCTTGGTTTCTTCATAACCCCAATAGTTTTGTTTGAGTTTATCAAGTCTGGAAAGGTCTTCAGCGTGTGTTTCAGTTATTTCATAGGTTTATTCCGGCTATTGTACTGGTTGAATGAGTTATTTTTCAAAATGTTGGAGTTAATCGTATGAACAATATTGTTGATCAAAAAAATCTCTTCTGGACACTATTATAGGTTAATACGGGTTAAAAATTTTATATAGTTCAAACTTACCGGTCTCCATCCTATCATTTACATTTTAAACAGTTTTCTTAAAAAATTGCATTTTGAATTCCCGCCAATTTCGCAGTTCAAATATTTTCTTGGCATCCCGTCGCAAATTAAAAATTTATCAAATTCTTACAAAAATCTCAGTTAGCCTTAAAATTTTGTTGACTATCAGCTACAACGCCTGCTTTTTTATCAGTAATCGACTGCAATATACTTGTTTCTGCTTAATAATTTATATCGACTAATCTTGATTAATATAATGTTATATTTACTATTGTTACATGAATGAAAATACATAAAATCCATCAAACTTACTTACAATTTGTTATTTGTCAAGAAAAAAGGACGTGATTTTGTGTATAATGTGAAATGTTTTGTCAGTCATGTTGTTATAGGTGTTGTTGATGTTTATTGTGTCGTAACTTTTGTTCTACCGTATGTTTCTTTGTGCTTCTTGGCTGTAAGATAAGGAAGGGTTTGAGGATGATTGTCGCAAAATTGTGGGTGATTTGGACAAGTTTGTTTGAAGTTTTTGAATTTTTAAAGATGGGGTGTTTCTCTTTTATGTGTAATATAGGAATAACTTGATATATCTTGGTATTTTGGTCAATATTTCTTGCTATATACATTGTTGTTGTTTAGTAAATTTATAATTAGTTTTTTTTCTAACTGATTAGCTTGTAATAACGCCTAGGAACAGCGGCATTCAGCGATATTAACCTTAAATACATTTGATCTCAATATTTTTAAATTTCATTTTAAACCATGCTTTTTTGTTAAAATTACTGGTGTTGGTGATTATTACAAGCTAGCCAGATGTTTTTGCTACCTTTCGCTTGTTTTACCCTTTGGTTTTAATTTCGTTTCTTTTTTGGTTCAGCCAGTACAGGAATTTGGAGCAAAAACGGATAGAACGGCGGTCGAGAAGTTCACGATTGACAACAACTGTAAGATGCGGACCTTTCAATGGTACGGATTCTGGATACATATCGACTGGAGATGATCTTCGAGATCAGTTGGAGGTAAATGTTAGGCCTAATTTCGGAGGTTTGTCTAAATTTATATTATAGATGAGTTAAGTTTGACTCTATGAATAGAGTGTAAATGGATGTAAAGCTGTATAGAATAGATAGATATTCGTATTTTATGTTTATAGCATGATGTTCTAACTGTTTTGTATAATAGCTTTTAGATTTTGTAAAGTTATGAGGAATTACAGCTTTTTTAATACTTAAAAGGCATGGTTAATATAATTTTTGATAAAACCTGAACTTTAAGCAAAATATTAATTAAAAATATAGTTAAATTGATAAAATGCTACTTTTTTCGACTAATTTTAGTATTTATTTTAGTCTATCAACTTGGGATTGAACGAACTCAACGCTTCAACCAAGACTTTATGTTACGTCGATGAAGTTGATGTAAATTCAAATGACGTGACATTAAAAGAAAGCGATTTGGTAAATGAGATTCAGAAGACTTATGAGCAGTCACTGGTAAGTTTTTTTCTTTGTTTTATTGGTTTTTAGGTACGAAATGATGAAAAAATGTTATGTTGTACATGATAGTCGGTATGAAGCACGGGTTTTTAGCCATAACTTAGGAAAAGCTTGATGTATAGCTATGATTTTTGACATAAATGAAAGGTGATATGTTGTCAACGTTTTTTAGAAGTTACAGTTTTGTATGATCAGTTTCGGCAGAGTTATGAAAGATTTTGTGTGACATAGTCATGTATAACATAACATTTTATTTTTCAAAGTGGTTTTTTGGATAAACTTAATGTTTTTGACAAAGTTTAGAAAGTCGGTTTTAAGAAGACTATTAAATGTACTTATTACGTTACTTACATTCCAGGCCAGCACATTAAAGTCAACTCAAGTATCATCAGTTCAATCTCCAAGTCATTCGACCAGTTTGTTAGACCTGAGCAACAACAATGCTCAACGACTTTTGAAATCGCGTCCAACGAACGTTGTGCCACCGTTGACAAGGGAAAGAGCAAATGGAGTGTCATCAACTACGGTTAATAAAGTTTTGTCACCAGTTGAAGAGAACAACGAAAAGGTCGAAAGTGAGTGGTTATGGTACCTTTTTTGGGTTATTTTGGTACTTTAATTATGTTATACGGGGCTATGGTACTTTTTTTAGGTTTATAAAGTACTTTTAGGTTTATCTTGGTATATAATTTGGCTTTGGGTTTAGTTTTATTTCAAACGGCTTTAACTTCTTCTTTCTTTGCATTCTTATTGGTCTTTTCAGGAGTAACTTGAATATATTAGGTGCTGACATAAAGAACCATACTTTGCCTTTAATTTTCTGTAAAAAATGGCGAGTTCTTTATGTCGGCACCTAATAAATCTATAAAAAAGGTCTTTGTGCTCGTTTTGAATGATCACAATATCAATAATATAATAACTATTGGTACCCATAATACTGATGTGCTTTTGGTACTCATAGTACGGATGTTAGTGTAGCTCTTTAATGTGAAGCAAAAGTAAAATTTTGGTCTTAAAAAGGCTTTCTAATCAGCGACCAATTTCGCCTTATAAAACCTATAAAAAGATATTGTTATCTATGAGAAAAGTCATATTTTTGTCATCTAAATCACTTAATTATTCAGCGGCAAATTGGAGTTCAAAAAAGTTTTTGAAATTTTGAAAAGAGACCGGAAACCTAAAAAAGACTGCGCACGACGTTTTTGAATGTAACGTTTGGCTATTGTCACTTGTTATGTGTCGAGGCCTCAGAGGTTTCCCCAAATCATGTCGCTTGTAAACAAAAATACCGTTTCAGTTACCACGAAGCCACCGACAACTCATTTGCACAAGAGTATTACTGTAAACGGCAACGTCGGCCGCGCCAAGACCTCCTCTACAGCAACGAGCGAAACCGCGGTCAAAGAGGCGAAGTTAAGCAGCGCTCCGTCTCGTCCAACGGAATCCGCTACGAGAACGGCGAAAACGGCTGGAACGGGCAACGAAAATGGAACTACCGTGCCGAATGGCCTGGAAAAAGTGGGTTTAGGCTTAAAATTGGATTTTTAGGCTTGAAATTGGGTTTTAGGTTTAAAAGTTGAACTTTAGGATAATTTAGTGATTTTGTTACCTAAAATTAGTTTTTTTGGTTTGCGTTTTTAAATTTAGGGGAAACATTATTTTTGTTATCTAAAATATAAATCTTTTACCGAAAAATCCAGTTTGTTACCTAAAATTCAAAGTTTTAGATTTTGATACTTAAATTTTCATTTTTGCTACCGAAAGTTGTAATTTTGATTTCAATAATTTAAAAATTTGTTTTTAATACCTAAAATTTTAAATTTTTTACCTAAAACATCATTTTTTACTTAAAATTTTGTTTTTGTTACCTAAAATTTTCAATTTTGCTATTTACCTAAATTAACTATATCAATCTTTACAGACCCGGCCCGCCCGACCAATCACTCGATCCGGCTCCATATCAACGGCCACCAAACTTCCGTCGACGCGGCCGTCGACTCTGTCGTCACGCACAAATTCAACAACATCGAGTAGGATGTCGTCTCGCAGCTCGAGCACAATGTCATTAGCGACTAAAGAACCGAAAATTGTCAGGAAAGCAGTAGCAACAGGAAGAGGAGCCAAAATTCAACCGGTTGGATCGAAAATCACTGCCAGGACGGTAGGTGGAAGACATTTTGTTTACAGGGGATTTTAAAATGAAGAAATTTTGTTTACAGTCTTTTTGTGACAGAAAATGATTTTTTAAAGTTGATTTTTAAAATTTTAAAAATTTTTGGGCATGGAAATAATTTTTTTTGGTTTTTTTTTTAAAATTGGGTTTGTGCACCTTGCGAGCGACAAGTTATCGTTTAAAGTTATTTTTAGACATTTCACGTCGTGTAAAGAAAGTTTTTGCTATTCTTTGTTTTGTAAAGAGTTCTTGCATTTTTTGTTTTGTAAAGAAAGTTCTTGCCATTTTTGGTTTGTAATGAAAGTTTTTGCCAATTTTTTTAAAAAGATGAAATTTTTTCAATTTTTAAAAATTAAAATTAAGTTTTTTAATGAAATTCATTTTCAGATAGCTCCAGAATCAGAAATCAAAAAAGAGCTGAATGGAAATCCACCCCCACCGAAACAATTCCAAAAAGCCCAGAGCATCGACAGAACAACAATATCGGCTCGAAAATTGACCACAAGACCAAAGACTCTATTAACTCAAAGTAAAATGAGTCAGTCGGTTATGAATCTGAATGGAAGTACACTAACAACATCAAGTTCGGTCGAAGTTTTGAGAAAAACCCTTCAGAAACATGTGACGGAGAAGCTGGAGGTAACTAGAGAAAAACTGGCATATCAACTAGCAGACGGAGTGATTCTGTGCAACTTTGTCAATTCTCTTTGGCCAAGAACAATACCGACGGTGGGAAAGGCGTTGGGAAGCTTGGTAGGTTATATTTTGGGGGTTTCTGTGGATTTTTTAAATTTTTGAAAATTTTTGATTTTCAAAAAAATTGGAAAGAAACTTTTTTCAAAAACCTTTTTCAAATGGTGAAAATTACTAACAAAGGTTATTTTTTTACCATTGTAAACAAAGTTATTGCCAAAAAATCAATCTCTGCACCGTGCAGCGCCATTTGTCATTGTCGCACTGTGCGAAAACGCGGTCCCATCCGATCTGGCAAGTTAAGCAACGGTGCGCTTGATTATGAAAAGTTCGGGGAACACTGTGTGGAAACAAAGCTTTTGGGCTTTTTATAATAAAGAAAGTTTTTGTATTTTCAAGGCAACACGATATACATAATGACATTTTTTGGATTTTAAACAAAGTTTTTGTATTTCTTCTTATTTTTTGTGTATCATTTTTGCCCTTTTCAGTCAGTAGCCCAAACTCGAGCACGAAAGAACGTGGAGAACTTTATTGTAGCTTGCAGAAGTCATGGTGTGTCAGATGTAAGTGTTATTGTTGAAATTCAATTTAAAAAATTTTTTTTTAATTTTAAAAAAATTTTAATTTTAATTTGAAAATTTTTTTTGAACTTTGGATTTGAAAACTTTTAAAAAATCAAGTTTAGACCTCCCTATGCACGGTGACGGACATTCTGGAACGGAAAAATCTTCAAAACACTGCCAAAACGGTCGTTGCACTCGCAAAACTGGTCGATAAACACGTGTAATATATAAATATTATGTTATTTTGTACAATAAACTATTGTTTTTCTTTGTAATTTTTTTACGTTTTCAGTTGCTCCTGTTTTATATTTTGTAAAGAAAGTTTTTTCGTTTTTTAGATTGTGAAGATTTTTTTGCAATTTTACTATTTTTAAAGGAAGGTCTTGCCAAAAATTACCATGTCACAAACAGAGCATTTGCAGGGCAAAGCATAGGTCATGCTCTGCCCTGTTCCAAGCTATGCCTTGCCAAGTAAAAAATTTTTAAAGCATGCCCCATACTATGCTTTTGGTATCGAAACGAATCATTGAACGCGCTAAACGAAAGCTTTTTTGTTGGCCTTGCGTTTTCTCTCTTATTTTCGCGAAGTAAATATACCTTATTATCGAGACATTATTGGTATTTTAAGATTCCAATAATTAATTCTTTGGAAAAGTAATGGATAGGTTCAACTCTTTGGTCTGCACTTACCCTCAGGTGAGTTTTGTTGTTTTTTTGATATTATAAGGGGTATATTCAGAGTTCATGTTAACGTAACTTTTTTTGTCGAACTTTATTGTTATTTGCTTCAGGCATATGTTCGTCGACAATTGATATTCTCGTGTCTAACATGTCAAAAGTCGTCTGGAGAAATGGCTGGAATATGTTTTGCTTGCAGCGAGAACTGTCACGAAGGTCATGAACTGGTTCAGCTGAACAAGCGGCGTGATTTTTGTTGCGATTGTGGTAATGCCAAATTTAAGGACAACAATTGCAAACTTTTTTATGTAAGTTAAACAAATTTGTTGTTTTAGGTGGCTTTGATGTTTGTTTCAGTTTTAACTTAAAAGTTTTAGGTTTATATGGTATTTTTAAGACTTTATGTTTCACTAACTTATTTATTAATAAAATATATTTTAGGGTAAAGTCCCAGCCAACTTTTGCAACAAGTACAATCACAATTTCAAAGGCCTTTACTGACATGTGATCAGTTTTGGGATGTACTTCAAGATGATCTAATGTCTTCCCAAAAAATGTTACAATGTTTTATCTGTGAGGACTGGTTCCACGCTGAACATGTTGGTATAAACGAGGACTATTGTCGTCTCGATCTAAATGCTGAATTGGTCTGCATCGGCTGTGCCAAATCACACCTTTGGCTAAGAAAGTACAAAAAGTTGTATGATGAACAAATCGAAAGAGGCTTGATCATAATGGGTCGCAGAGAGACGGCTACATGTGTGCTGGATTATGTTCGTGTCGAGGATGATGGGAAAGGCATATGTTTTACCTCTGCAGAGTGGAGAAAATTATTGTGCAAATGCGCGGAATGCCAGGTAGGATAGGGTATGGCAATATCATGTTGTCCGAATATGGATTGTAACGAGGGTTAAAGCACTGCATTTTTTTTTCCGTTGGGTTTCCCGCCAAACTCATACCTTAAAAACTGTAATAGTTATTAAGACAGTAACATGTAATATTCATTTTAGCGCTTCTACAAAGACGACGACATCGGCCAGATTGTAACCAATGGAAATGACAGATTCAATTCAGGTTTGTGTTATTTTTAAGCTTTTTTTAATGTTTTTTATTCGTTTTTATCGTTCAAACGTAAAAAATGAATTAATGACATCTTAAGGTTCTAAAAGCTATAACAAATTCAAAAGTTGAGTAAATTTTGAAAGTTCAAATTGTTTTAAGCTATATTTTTGATATTTCATGGCTTTATTAGGATGTATATGAGTTTTCGTATCCTTGTATTACCTTATCAATAGTTGAGTTTGTGACTGGCAGAAGTCTATATTGAACATTTTCGTAATGAAATATTGAGTACGATATAGTTTATAGCAAGTATAAGACGTCGCGTACAATAAGTTGTAGTATACGAATAGGTTTGGGATACAACAAGGTCATGAATTGGATCAAAATTGTGTTTGAAGATTAAGAATCGATGTGATAGCAAATTTACTTTTTACATTTGGTCAAGTATGTTGGAATATAGACATATAATTAGTATATAAAACTAAATTAATATGAATAGTGAGGAATTTGTATATAAGCTATATTGACATAAATAAATGTATGTTGTAGTAAAGAAAGCATAGTATTAGTCAGGGTAAGATGAGTTGGTAAGATGGTAGTTAAAATACTAGCGTTACTTTGAATATTTTCTTGTTGAGAAAATGTAAATATGAAGAGTAAAACGGTTATAGTAGTAAAATATGGTTTTGATAAAGGTGTTGTAAAAGTTTTAGTTTGAGTATTTATATCTCTTTCACAAAATATAAATCTAAGTTTTAGATCCGATACTAAACCGATTTGACAAGTTAGAGGAACATGTAAACAAGCTTGACAAGTCTGTTAAGAAACAAGAGATGCACGACAAGGAACGGACTGTAAGTTTATTTAAAGTCATCCTTTGAATTACTTTTTGATATCTTTCGAAAATCGTAGCTTTGTCTTCAGTTCTCAAAAATTGCTAAACCCTTTTGGTTAAAAAATATTAACCATTTTATATTAAACATTCCTACACCTATCGCGAAATCGAGAGTTAGCTAATAAAATTAAGGAAACAATAGGATACAGTAGATAATAACTGTAAAACACATTAAGATTGCAGTAAAATTAGATAATAAAAGTAAATTATAAGTACAATAATAATATTATGTAGTGGTTGATATACGATAAGGTAACCTAAACAATAAAATTCAAAGAAAACCGACTAATAAATTATAAAATTTTCGTTCTGAAACCCAAGAAAAAATATGTGACATTTTTGTTTCGGCCGAGTTATGGTCTTTTAAATTTCGTTTTTCTATGATTTTCCCAAAACTTATGTAGGAAAACGAACGAAAAGGAAAGTGTGATTAGATGGCCGAATGGATAAAGCGTTATCCCTCGGTGAAGCTGGTTCGAATCTCGCCGCATGCAAACTTTTTACTTTTTGTCTAATTATAAAAAGTGCTCTTAAAGCAACACTAAAGTTGCCGTGATGTTTTATGAAAATCAAATTTTTTAACGTTTTTTTTTGTCAATTGGACAATTAATTTTTATGTTCTAAAAACGCGAGAATCATTCATTTAAAAATTTCTAAAAATCTTTTGCTTGATTAAAGGTATTTTATCTTTTTAAAAATAAAAATAATTTTTTCTTTTATTATATGACTATACAAAAGGTATAAATTTGAATAAGTTTATAGCATACATTTTACATATAAAAAGCATAACGCTTTATACATTTGGCCATCTGATAACTCTTTCCTTTTCGTTCTCTTCATGGCCATTTTGAGAAATTTATAGGATAACAGTGCAAACTTTAAACTATCATAATTCGGTCAAAACAAAAATTTAGCAATTTTTGAAAACGGATCCTTAATCAGGACGATCACATAGTTGCAAACCTTTTCTTAAATGCTTCAAATAAATAGGCTTAAGAATTTATCAAATTAAGTTTTATACTACAATATATTACAATATAAAAGAAAAATTATCATTATATTTAAAGGTCTTACACTTGATGGTCTTTTAAGTTTTAACCTGTTCAACAATAAAATAGAGCCATTTATATGAAAAACCGACAGAGTAAAGTTGGCAAATATCACAGTATTCAATTTACAGAAGAATCAACTAATACCTCAGCTTCTTCGTTCGTTGTTCATTAGCGCAGTTGTTACATATTTCACAATTTGGGGTTGGCCGTTCAGTACCTATACAAATTGATATTAGAGTGCTTTTTGTGGTAAATCTTCGGTAAATGTTACACTTTACTGTCAGTATGGTTAGCTGATCAACAAAAAGTGTTAAATTATTGGTGCGATACCGGTACGTTAAAATAGTAAAAAAAAGTGTTCTTTTTCTTTACAAATATTGAAGTTTGCTGTTGTGTATCTTTAGCAGAGTTTTCCCGGACCGGGTCTATTGCGGGAGTCCAGAATTTGAATTTATGTTTTCTGCCCTTTTTCTATTTGTCAGGTCACTCTGAACCTTTGTAGGAATCTTTGATGTATGAGACTATGAGAAAAAAAGTGGCACAGGCAGGGGTCGAACCCTGCATCCTTTGTTTGCCGAGGCTCCTTATCTCAAAGTCTTAACCTCGATCGGTTCTTATCTATCTAATATGATTTTTCTATTGTTTTTGCGATCATATCCAAAAATTTAAACGAAATATTCCACACTCCCAAGAGAAAAAGAAAGACATACCATCGATTGTCGTTGTATTTTGTTTAACTCTTTTCCAACGTTTCTTTCGTCTTGATCATGGAGACTCGCAACGTCTTTGTCGTATAATATGTATATGACTTTCTCTGTGTCGCTCCATTGACTTCTTGGTTGTTTCAGTGGTTTTTTCTTCTCCTTCTTTGTCTGACTGTACAAAAATTTTGTTCTGCGATTAGCGCTTTATCAATGGCTCCTCCAGCGGCCAGAGTAATGCTTTATCTATGGGGTCGATAGCATCAATCAAACTATGAGAGGAAAAGTGGCCTACAGCATCTATTATCATAAAAAAGTTATAATTATTTTTTTTCAGACGTGGGTGTCAGCACTGCGAGAGTGGAGACAGCGGATTTTAGGCGCGGCTGTGTCGGGTGCCTTCGCAAACATTGGTCAGATGTGGAAGAAATAATTTTAAGCTGTTTTAAAATTTACAGAGTGTTTCAAGAAATTTGTAACTTTCGATTATATACAGTCAATGTATGTTTTTATAAAAAATTTTGGGATGTTAAAGTGCATATGAAGGTCGTTATGAATTTTTGAAAAACATTTTTACTCAAATTATACATTTTTTCAGTTGAAAATTACTTTTTCAGAAATTTCTAAGTTATTGGAGGTTTTGTCTTTGGAACTGCATTTTTGAAATGAAAATTCGTTATATGGGGTATTGTCGTATTGAGTGTTTGAGTTGAAGATAGCCGGGCTAGCAGGAACTATGGGTAAGCTGGAGGTTTAGAGGGAAAGAACCTATCAGAACGTTAAGCGGATGTTACAACAAAAAAGCCATTTTTGATGAAAAAAGTGATTTTCAACTTTCTTCTTCGTACCTTTTTTCATCGCTGAGTAATAAATTTATCAAAAGTTACAGATTTCTTGAAACATCCTGTATTGTTAAAGAATCAATTCACCAAAAAAATGAACGTCGAATTTTTGTGACTTGAATGGGCGAATTGGTCCTTTAAATTAGTTATTGTATGGTATGGTAGAATATAGTGTTGTAGAGTAGGGGTACCTTAAGTTTGTTTAAATATGTCTGTTATCTATACATTTTGAAAAGTGCAGGTTTTTTTTTCAATTTTAAAAAAGGCCACTGAAAATACCACTAGCTATAAATTTTCGTTATGTGCCGTAAAAGTACTATTGTTTTTATCTTAAATAAATAAAGGATTAATTGGTTCTTATTGAGCGGCAACTTTGAGTTCAAAGAAGTTTTTAAATATTTAAAAAGTGACCGGGGAATGAACATTTTGGCCATTGTTAGCTTTTTTTACTGAAAACTTAGCCATAAAAATTGTGAAAAATCAAACTTTTTGAGAATGGAACTACCGTACCGAATGGCCTGGAAAGAATAGGGTTTTATGATTAAAATAGGGTCTTAGGTTTAGAATAGGTTTTTTGATAAGATAGCGTTTAGAATAACGTTTTAATGTCTCAGGCTTAAGTTTACTGATTTTGTTAACCCTCCCGCCAAATCACTCGATCCGGCTCCATATCAACGGCCACCAAACTTCCGTCGACGCGGCCGTCGACTCTGTCGTCACGCACAAATTCAACAACATCGAGTAGGATGTCGTCTCGCAGCTCGAGCACAATGTCATTAGCGACTAAAGAACCGAAAATTGTCAGGAAAGCAGTAGCAACAGGAAGAGGAGCCAAAATTCAACCGGTTGGATCGAAAATCACTGCCAGGACGGTAGGTGGAAGACATTTTGTTTACAGGGGATTTTAAAATGAAGAAATTTTGTTTACAGTCTTTTTGTGACAGAAAATGATTTTTTAAAGTTGATTTTTAAAATTTTAAAAATTTTTGGGCATGGAAATAATTTTTTTTGGTTTTTTTTTTTAAAATTGGGTTTGTGCACCTTGCGAGCGACAAGTTATCGTTTAAAGTTATTTTTAGACATTTCACGTCGTGTAAAGAAAGTTTTTGCTATTCTTTGTTTTGTAAAGAGTTCTTGCATTTTTTGTTTTGTAAAGAAAGTTCTTGCCATTTTTGGTTTGTAATGAAAGTTTTTGCCAATTTTTTTAAAAAGATGAAATTTTTTTCAATTTTAAAAATTAAAATTAAGTTTTTTAATGAAATTCATTTTCAGATAGCTCCAGAATCAGAAATCAAAAAAGAGCTGAATGGAAATCCACCCCCACCGAAACAATTCCAAAAAGCCCAGAGCATCGACAGAACAACAATATCGGCTCGAAAATTGACCACAAGACCAAAGACTCTATTAACTCAAAGTAAAATGAGTCAGTCGGTTATGAATCTGAATGGAAGTACACTAACAACATCAAGTTCGGTCGAAGTTTTGAGAAAAACCCTTCAGAAACATGTGACGGAGAAGCTGGAGGTAACTAGAGAAAAACTGGCATATCAACTAGCAGACGGAGTGATTCTGTGCAACTTTGTCAATTCTCTTTGGCCAAGAACAATACCGACGGTGGGAAAGGCGTTGGGAAGCTTGGTAGGTTATATTTTTGGGTGTTTCCTTTGACAATATGGCCGATTTTTTAAAATTTTTCAAAAAGTGGAAAGAAAGTTTCTTTCAAATTTCAAAAATGTTCGTAAAGTTCATTTTACATCACTGTAAACAAAGTTATTGCTAAAAAATCAATCTCTGCACCGTGCAGCGCCATTTGTCTTCTTTGCACAGTGCGAAAGCGCGATCTCGTCCGATCTGGCAAGTTAAGCAACGGTGCGCTTGATTATAAAAAGTTAGAGGAACACTGGGTAAAGACAAAGTTTTTGGGGTTTTTAGGGTAGCGGAAAGAAAGTTTTTGCATTTCCAACACGACGTGGCATTAAGAATGGCATTTTTTGGATTTTAAACTAAGTTTTTGGATCTTTTTCTTATTTTTGGGGTATAAATTTTGTCCTTTTCAGTCAGTAGCCCAAACTCGAGCACGAAAAAACGTGGAGAACTTTATTGTAGCTTGCAGAAGTCATGGTGTGTCAGATGTAAGTGTTATTTTTTGAAATTCAATTTAAAAAAAATTTTTTTTTAATTTTAAAAAAAATTTTAATTTTAATTTGAAAACTTTTTTTGAACTTTGGATTTGAAAACTTTTAAAAAATTAAGTTTAGACCTCCCTATGCACGGTGACGGACATTCTGGAACGGAAAAATCTTCAAAACACTGCCAAAAAGGGTCGTTGCACTCGCAAAACTGGTCGATAAACACGTGTAATATATAAATATTATGTTATTCTGTACAATGAACTATTGTTTTTTCTCTGTAGTTTTGGTTTTTTTTTGAATTTTCAGTTTTTTATTCTGTTTTATGTTTTGTAAAGAAAGTTCTTGCCATTTTATAACTTGTAAAGAAAGTTCTTACAATTTTTTGCTTTGTAAACAAAGTTGTCAGCATTTCTTGATATGTAACGGAAGCTCTATTTATTTGCTGCGAGAAACGTTCGGGCTTTTTTAAAATGTTCTTCATCGGGTCATGTGATCGGCGTCTTTTCGCACCCTGTTTGGCTGAATTCTAGAAGCAAAAAAGGGGAGGGGCGTTCGAAACAGGGGAAATAAGATTAGAACACTTTGGACCGAACATTCTTTAATTTTTTTTTAAGACTGTGTGTCAAGCTCTTGCTATTTTTTGTTTTGTAAAGAAAGTTCTTGCCATTTTTTGTTTTGTAAAGAAAGTTCTTGCCATTTTTTGTTTTGTAAAGAAAGTTCTTGCCATTTTTTGTTTTGTAAAGAAAGTTCTTGCCATTTTTTTGTTTTGTAAAGAAAGTTTTTGCTATTTTGTATCTTGTAAGGAAAGTTGTTGCCATTTTTTGTTTTGTAAAGAAAGTTCTTGCCATATTTTGTTCTGTAAAAAAAGCTTTTGCTATTTTATCTACTGTAAACAAAGTTTTTGCAGTTTCTTGTGCTGTAAACAGTTTTATCTATTTTTTTTTAATTTTGTAAACAAAATTATAGCTATTTTTATCCTTAACAGAATCTTAAGGTCATATTTCATTGTTCATTGGAAGAATCAGCTAATCATATCACAAATTATGCTTATTATAACAATAGGTATCGAATGTCCGACTAATCTGTTTTATTGCGTTGGTATGACATTAATAACATTGAGTTACAGAAAGGATCATATTTTTTGATCAGTGTCTGTTTTGGCTTTTTGATAAATATTTGTTCGAGAAAAAGCTAGATAACTCGAGAAAAATTTGTAAAATAGATAAAATGAGGGTTCAACTTGGTTGAAAAATAGTTAAAAATTATCTTTATCGTCTTTAATATAGTAGCTATGACCTGTGTTACTTTGCTTTGGATTGGTTTTATCGATCGCTCGTGTTATGGCGTAAAATAATGTTATAAATAGATCAGCGAGTTGATATTTTAGTCAATCTAATTAAAATGTTTGTATTACATCAATTTAGGCTTGAATCATCTGATTTTTCATGATCATCTCTTATTTTATGTTATTTTAGTTTATCTTTACTCGTTTTTGCTTCTTTTTTGAAACCTTAGCTTATGTTTAGGTATGATATCAAAATATAGGTTCAGTAGTGTCAAATCTCAATAGTTTAGCCGCACGCGCAAACGTTGGAGAAGAAGAGCGATGGGAATTATAGCAAAGACATCCGTGAAGGATATTCTCCTTGGCGGGAGAGGGTTTGGTCTTTTACGACGTATATTTGCATATCGCGGTCAATAAGAGAACTTTTTTGGAATATTGGCTTTGATGGAAGCTTAGAGTAAATTCTTAAATTACTTTATTTCCTGAGTATTCTATTGTATTTCGTGAAAGGTGTCAATTCGACTATATTTTTCCTTATGCCAATATATTTTACTTGTATTTTAGAAATCTCCGGCTAATTCATGTATGGTCAACTGAAAACGCAGGTTGTGTACCACAAAGAACATCTACTGTTTAAGTATGATGTGGAAGTGTGGAAACATGAGAAGAGAGGCTACAATAAGCTTAAGCCCGTCGTGGAGCTTACGAATCAAGAGGATAAGTAAGTTTTTTCTATTTTTTTCATTTTTTAGACAATAAATAGACGATTCAATGTTTTTACTAGCTGTATATACGTATTATTTATGCTGGGAAGAATTGAAAATGTCAATTTGTCCGATTTTACAGGTTTTATAAGTTATTTTTGGCAGTATGTTCACTAATTTGAAAAATTTTTATGTTATCTTATTTTTATCATAACTTTTTTGAAAATATAGTTAAAGACTTGAAACTTTGCGTGATTAAAGGTCGTTTATAAAGCTCAGTATAGCATTAAAGAAAATTTTAAATTTTGATAAAGTTACGAAGTTACGGTAGTTTTAGTAAAGGTTACTTTTTCAAAGTTTGACAAATAATTTTTTAAAATTAACGTTTTTTTAAGCTTAAAAATGTTTGTTCATAAGAGATTCCAGTACATACTGTTATATTAATGTATGTTATAGTACAAAATTTATGTAATAAATAATTTTTTTTCAGACCGACAAGATCAGAGAGAATTGTATTGCGCACGGCTTTGGTCGATGAAGTAGTAGGAAGAAGGAAGGTGGACTATTTGTATGATGGTAAACATCTTTTGTTTACGACTGAACCCATTCTGGCTAAAAAAGAAGTTGTCTTAAACTTCAAAGATGGCTACGGAGTTGCTGGAGATTATCACGTCGAGATCAGCAACGAATCCCCTCAAAAACAGGGGGATTTGAACGACAACCTTCTGATGACTTTGTTGGAGATTGGTACTTCAAAGCCGTTCGTTAAGCTGTTTGGTTTTGAGCTTCTACAACGTTCGGTCATGTTCGACAACAATGAATCTGGTTGGGTCGACGAGAGAACTGGGATTGCTGTTCGAAGGGCTTACAAGAAGCAGGCAGAAATCCTTCCCAGTTTTGAAGGCAACTTGGGTCTTGCCAGCATCGTGGTGATTGACAGTAAGTTTTGTTTATTTTGGTATTGTTATTTGTATGAAAATCGCCATTTTGCGCGTTTTTATAATATGAGGTTTCTGATACAGTGGCGGCAAAAAAAATGGGACACGACGGTTTCGAGTGTAACTTTCTTAAAACTGAACGAGTTAGGCTTAAAATTTTTGTGACTTTACAATATTCTTTTTTCAACAAAGTTTCAAAAAAAATTTTTTTGTTGATTCAAAAAATTTACTGTAATTCTACCGTACCCTACAATTCCGAATTATATGCATAATTCTTTTTAATTTGAAGATGTACGTTTTATAGAGCCTAAAAATTTGTACAATTTCTGAAAGTTTTGGTTTTGAACGTTTTTAAATGCCACAACTCATGAACAAAAAAAAATTGAAAGATACAACTTTCAGAACTTGTACAACTTTTTATGCTCTTTAAAACGTACATCTGCGACTTTTTAAAAAAATTATGCACATTTTTCTATAGGGTACGGTTGAATTACTGTAACTTCGTTGAATCGGTAAGAAAAAAATTTTTTTTTGCAATTTTGTTGCCAAACAGAATATTGTAAAGTCACAAAAATTTTATAAATTTTAAGCCTTATAAGGCGCCTTACTCTTTTAGTTTCAAGAAAGTTCTACGCAAAATCGTCGTGTCCCATTTTTTATTGCCGCCATGGTATTTCAAATTTTTTTTTTACATTTTTCAAAAATTTTTTTTAATTTTATCAATTTCAGTAAAGCATGAGGCCTTTTATGGGCTTCAAACCCCTCTATTTTTACACGACCTTCTCAGAAAACGACTGTTTTTTGGAGAAACTGTGAAAAAGTTTGAGGAAAACTTCGAAGGAGTAATCCTTGGAGTAAAATACGACTTATCCCAGCGGGTTAAGTTTCATCGTTTTTCAGACGTGCCAATTGGCCAATTGGTGTAAGTTTTTGGTAAAAAAAGTTTGAAGTTTTAAAATATTTTTTTTTGAAAAAAATTGGGTCTAAAACATGAAAAAAGTTAGTTTTTTTGAACTTCTTAAATTTTTTTTTGAACTTTTTAAAAATTTTTAATGTTAATATTGTCTTTCAGGGTAAACGGCACAAATCAATTAGTGCCAGCTTTTCTATACAATAAATATGGAATTGAGGTAAAAATGGCTTTTCCGGCGATGGTAACTGAAGAAGGCCAATATTACCCAATGGAGTACTTGTTCCCTATAGCTGGGCAGTTCGCAAGTAAAGAGGCTAGGCGTGGAACGAATCTGCAAAAAGTAGGCGTTTTTGAAGGTTTTTGATTTTTTTTTGAAATTTAATTTTTTTAAATTAAAATTTTTTAAATTTTAATTTTTTTGAATTTTTAAATTTTTTTTTGAAATTTTAATTTAATTTTTTTTTAATTTTAAAGAAATTAAAGGATTTTTTAAAAGTTTTTATGTTTTAAGAAAGTAAAAATTGTTATTTCGGTTAAACCTATTTTAAAAATTGTCATTTTTAGCATCTGGATGAAGTAGAAAACTTCAAACAAGTCAGGGGAATCCATAGTATAATGAGAGATCACAGTGCCTTTTTTGAAAAGTTTGGTATCTTCCTCAAAGGCACGACAATGGTCGACGAATCCTTCTATTCGGATTCGGGATATGCCGATTCTTTGGATCTCAGATCAAGATGTCCATCTGGGTAAGAGGTTTTTGAAATTTGATCGTTTATGTATATGTCATAACTTGTCCTTGTTTTAAAAAAATCATTAGTTCAGTACTATTAGGTGCCGACATAAAGAACCCGCCATATTTTTCTTGTAATTCCCTGTAAAAAATGGCGGGATCTTTATGTCAGTACCTAGTATTATAGTATGCATTAGGTTGTTTGAATAATTCTGGGCCTCTAACTCCGGATATTTGATTTGATAGGGGCACAGCATTATTTGAACAACTTAATAGTAAAAGTAGGCAGTTTATAGAAAGACAGTTTATTTATAGTCGGGTTGGTAAAAAATCTTTCTCAGGGGGGGGGGTAAAAATTTTTTCTCAGGGGGGGGAGCGTAAAAATTTTTTTCAGGGGGGGGGCTAAAAAATTTTTATTGGATTTTATTTTTGAAATTTTAGAGAATTCTGATAAAAGATGTGCATTGGAGGTGGCAAAAACCGCCATATTATTTAACATAATAATCGTCTTATTTTAAAAATTTAAAAATTTAAAAAAAATATTGTAGCCCAATGTCAAGTCTAACGTTTTGTATATATTATTGTAGTTTGTCTAATTTTTGTAGCATTGGCTGTCTGATTACTGTATTTTTAAATGTCTTTTAATTTCTAATTTTGCTTACTGTAACTTTCTTTCTTCTAACTTCTGCTTACTGTAATTTGTTTATATTTACAATATTGTTGTCTACTGTAGTCTTTACGTGTCTTTTCTGTTTATTGCAGCCTGCTTTTAACATTAACCATAGCTTTTGTTCCACCGTGTCTAGATCTGAAGAGGGGCTGGGGCTGACTTGGGCTGTCCCGGTCCTTTGAGGGGCCCACTTGGCCTGTCCCAGCCCTTTGAGTGGCTCACTTGGCCTGCCTCGGTCTTTTTTCAGATCTAACCGTTTCTCAAGCTTTTAAAACTAACCTTATTATTGTAGCAATAGTCTTGTTTCGCTATTAATTTTGTGTTTTAATGCCTTCTTTTTTCTTTAGTCCATTTATACTATATGATAGTAGATGAACTAAAGTTTTTTTTGTTGAGCATTGGCACTAATTTCGCTAAAAATTGGAATTTTTCTTGGTAAAACGTGGATATAATGTTGGTCATTGTCTTCTGGAGCCCTTTTCAATATCGTTGACTGTCTCTTCTGAAGCTTCTACTACTTCAACAATCGTCTTTTGAAGCTTCAACTACATCAACTTCTGAAGTCATTGTATAACAACACGAAATCAGCTTCAACTACTTCATTGTCAATTAAAAAGGACACAGTTTGGCCGTTTAACGTCTAATTTTAACAGGTTTTGCCAATAAAAAGATTAATTTCCGGAATATGATTTGCTGTGAAAGGGTTCACTACCTGTATTTTTGCTTGTTTTTGTGTTTGTGTTACAGTTTTTAATGACTTATGTAGTTTAGGTTATTATTTTGTTTAAAATATTGATTTTTGGTTAATATTTTCGTTAGAAAATTGATTTTTCAAAGTTTTTTGTTTTGAAGTGCTTTTGGGTGGTGAATATTTTTTATTTTCCGAACGTTTTGCCAGAATTTTGATTTTTTATGCGTTAGAATCATGTTATAATCAATCTTAAGGCATGGGCACTGCTTTTTGATTGGAAAATGGATTCTAATTACTTCTGGTTGTTTTATTAGGTGGCGACATAAAGAACCCGCCGTTATTTACAGGAAATTACAGGCAAAGTATGGCGGGTTCTTTATGTCGGCACCTAATAAAACCTTTTCAGCAAGATTACTGTACATTCATCGAATAACAGAGCCTTGAATTAATTCGTTTTTTGTTCTCCATTTTCAGTTTTTTTACTCTAAAAAGACAGAGTTGTCTTGTTTTTACTTAACTTTGATAAGAGTCTATAATTAATAAGGGTCGAGTTTTTTGACGGTGTTTATTAGAGGGTGCGCCAAAAGTTCTTAGAGAAAACGACCGGTAAACTTTTGTAGCAGAACTTTTGGCGCACCGTGTATATTTGAAAGCCGCTTTTTGTAACAGAACTTTTGGCGCACCCTGTATATGTGAAAACCGTGACGAGTTTGAGATTATACGTAAAAACCGCGACGAATTTGAGTACGAAACTAGTGACAAGATTTAATTTTATCTGGACTAATGGTGGAACCAAGGAAAATCTTGGCCACATACGATCCAAACTTTACAGTTTGGAAGTATGATGTGTATGTCTATGAAATGGTGAGAGACTACGAAACTGGGGATTTTCGTGATTTGATCAAGCGAGAAGACAGGTAGAGTTCTTTATTACTTTTGGTTTCATTTTGAAGGTGATTCTGAGATTTGTTTGGGAACGTTTCTGAAAAAAAATGACAAAAAACACGTTAAACTAGCAGGTTTTTATCAATATTTGGTGAATTTTGATCGATTTTTTAATAAAAAAGAGATTTTCAAGCTTAGTATAATATGGGGATAACATGGCTTGTAAAAGCATGTTGCCGGTACCTCTAACGTTACTTAATCACGATGATATTATTATGTTTTCCAAAAAGAATGGCTCATTTTGGCGGACAAATCAAGGTTAAAATAGGCCATTCTTTTTGCAACAACCTAATACATCCAGGACGGTTAGAGTCCGAGCTAGAGACCTCTTTTCTATTTTCAAGGAGCCATACCGTCACGATGACACGGTTTTTTCAGCGATATTGTTTTAGGTCATGGAGATCGGAGAATATCCTTTCATGTGGCGAGGTAATGGCTGCGTACATGAAGAATTTTTTCCCCCCTGTGTCATACTGTTACGACAATAAACGAATGTTGTACACCAACGAACCCTTGGACCATATGGAACTAAAGGTCATTTCTCTGCCATTCGGCGACGGGACCACCCGAGATTATGGAATAGAGCTTGGACATCCAGTCGCTAAACTGTTGGGGGAAATAAACAGAAGGGATCTTGTTGCATATTTAGAAATTTGCAACCTTCAACCCTTCAAGGACTTCATGGGTTTTGAACCATTCCAAGCAAAATGGTTATTTTCCCCTTCTTGCGAAGGTTGGGCCGATTCTAACAATAGCGGCATCAACATGACAAGAGGTCTCAAGATGCGCGTGGAATTGTTGGAAGACTGTGAAGATTCTGAATCTGTATTCATGATCGTGGTAAAGGACAGTGAGTTTTTTTTTTAAATTTTAAGCCGATTTTTGGCTTTAAAATTTGTTTTTCGACTAGTCGAAACTTGTTTTTTAATGTTTTTGATCCTGTAAATCACGGATTACGTGTCTTCAGTAAAGCTTGAACCCTTTTGGGACGAGTCACTCACATTAGACAAACTTCTGTATCGAAGATCTAATGTGGAGGCTATAGAATGAGAAAAGAAAAAATTACTCTGAAAGCCTTGAATGGCGTCGCCATATCTGTCCTCTACGACAGTAAGCAACGTATTAAGTTTCAGCGCCTCAGCGATGCGCCTATTGGGCGTTTACTGTAAGTTCAGTGTTTTCTGGTTTTAGGTTTTTGAGATGCGTTTTTATTACATTATGTGGTTATGAATATTCATCGTTTTCTAGGGCGCCTACCAATGTGCCACAGAGCCTGGTGGCATTTTTAAATGACAAACATCCGCGCACGATTGGTTGCATAAACCAGAACTATGCACTAACCACGGAAAATAATCAATATTATCCGATGGAATGGTGTTGCCCAGCCAGGGGACAAATGGTCCCCGAATGTATCCGCAATTCTATCACGGATTGGCGGGATGTGAGTTCAATGTTAAGCTTTATTTAGATAATCCGGAAAAAGTTTTTTATATCACAGGAGTCATCAGCGTGACGATATGAAAGTCGTCAGCGTGACGATATGAAAGTCATCAGCATGACGATTCATGTTTATAAAAGGGTGTATTTAGAAGTTTGATTTTTAGTATCACAACTTTGAAAAAGCCGACCAACAGGCTGAAATTAATGGAGCAGCGAACTTCATTTGGGCACAGAAGGAATCTTACGAACATATGGGGATTACCCTGTTCCCGCACGGCTCAAGTCGACCTTCCAGTTCAAATTCTGAAAGATTGCGCTATAGCAGTGGACTGTAAGATTTGAAGAGCGTATTTTTATAGCGTTAAATGTATTAGATACTATTCTACTGAGTATTCAGTAAAACAAAACGCTCATTAAGGGCGTTAAAAACTTTCTGGAAAGATTCTCTACGAGACGTCCTCGCAAAACGTTGACGTTCTGTGACAAAAATCAGGCAACTTTGCAAAAAACCTGGTCAGATCGGTCCCTAATGGGGAAATTCCATTGGAAACCGACCCGGCACGTTTTTTGAGAAAAATAATTTTTATTGAAATCCTGTGGCGAAGTCTCGATTTCGACTTTTTTAACCTCAAGCTTGGGTTTATTAACCGAAGTTTGAGTTTTATTTTCTACCATTAGCGATTTACGAAATTGCCTGATTTTTGACACAGAATGTCAAAATTTTTCGAGCACGTTTTGTGGTTTTTTGAAGAAAATATTTTCAGAGCGTTTTTAACGTTCTTATTGAGCGTTTTTTTTTCACTGGATACTCAGTAGAATAGTATCTAACACATTTTTATTATATACGTTTTACAGAATGTGGTTTTTGAATCTTAATGCTATTTTTCAGATCCTCGTCCACTTCTTTTTAATTTACACACACACCCACACACACTTAATGTATTTGCAAAACTGGACGACATTCTACAGATGTTTTTATTTTTAATTGGAATGCGCTACCAGGGTTTCTGTATATTTTTAAAGACTGTCACGTTGATTTCGTGTTTTACTTCATTTTTCGTTATTTTAATCTAAAAAGCTAACTTTAAGAGTTTTATAATTCAGTCTTTAAAGATATACGGAAATTCTGTGTAATGCACAAGAGTTTACAGTTCTATTCAAAACCGTAAGCGCTTTTACGTTTGTTAATTCTACTTTACAGTGACTTTCAATTCTACTCTACAGTTTCCCTTCACAACGGATGCTTTTGGGGTTTCAGAATGTATACTATAACGAAAGGTGACTGTACTAAAAGAGTTTACAGTTTTATATCAAAACTGTACGCGCTTTTATAGCAGTAGTTCTACTCTACAGTTTGCTTTCATAACAGATGCCTTCTGGGGTATCAGAGTGATAACAGATGCTTTTTGGGTATCAACGTATACTATAACGAAAGGGTGGCTGTATTAATATGGTTACCTTTTTACCTCATTGAAGAAAGAACAAGTTGGACGGATTTATATATTTTTTTATTTTCCCGGTGAGTTACAAAGTGTGGATGCTGCAAAAAAATAGTCGTAAAAATTTCAGAAGCTATTTTTGTGTAAACATAGGATTTCAACGTGCCATTGCTGTGGTCATAGGCTACATGGACGTCTCTTGTGCTCGCCTTTACCCTACCCTTCTCTACCCTACTTCTAGCTCCACGCTGCTTTACCTTACCTATTTTTCGACTTTAGTCTACCTTTAAAAACCGGTCTGCCTATACTTTTACATGGTAAGTTGATATATCGTGTTTTTTACGTATTTTTAGTATACAGTAGTCTCCCTATGTAGTGAACCATCTGTATAAGCAACTCTTTTTATAGTAAACAAAAAATTTGGTCCCGCCCAGTCAATTTGCCCTAAAAAGCCTCTCTGTAAAGACAACACCCCTTATAGTAAACACAAAATGTAGGTCTCTTCGGGTTGCTTATATAGAGAGAGTACTGTATTACCATTATCTTTTGCTAGTATCGAGTTATTAATACATTTCAATATCATAATGAATACTGACTTTCAGTGCGAAACTTCTGTACTACCAAGTCACGGAACTTATGGCCCAAGTCGTCAATCCTGGTATCATCCCCTACTCTCTTTATTATATTTACCGTGTGATATATAGCTTCCTTAGTCTTTGAAAGCTTTTAAAATGGGTAGAACTTAGTAAGATGTGAATTGGTTTATATATAGGAGCTCTTGATATAATTTCTGGTTTTAAATTTAAATGAGTATTTTTTTCAGTCAGTCTTTAGCTGTCCTAGCATTTAGGCCGGGCTATTTTATATTTTTTTCGAGCTAGGTTTAAATTTGACTTTATTTAGCGTCATCCGGGTTTAAAAACCATGCTTAGCTATAGCCACGCTTATCCATTGTAGCTGTTCCCAATTGTCCACGCTTATCATTTTAGTCGAATGCTCATTGTAAAACCACTTTTAGCTGGTTTATTTATCAAATTCATGTATGTCATTTCCAGTATTTGTGAATACTTATAGCCTTTTTCTGCATTTTTGCTCACATTGGGCTTGTCTCGCTATTCTGCTCATTTCGGGCATTCTTTTTGATATCTTCCGTTATTTTTTGAGGTTTTTGTACGCGATTTTCAGTCTTTTTTGCCGGAAGTTGAACGTTTTTCCCTCGTAATAAATATTTGTCAATTTTATTCGAATTTAAGCTTTATTTTATTACGACCAAAAAAGTAAAAAGTAAATCACAATAATGTTCATTATCTTTTTTTTTCAATTATTTGTATGTTTAACTAGGTCAGTACTAGGATTCTCTTACAAACATGAGTAACGGGCCGGGCCCGATTTTCAAGCCTGGCCCGCGGGCCTAACTTTTTAGGCCCGGTCTAAATCTTAAATCTTTTTGTACAGTCTGCTGCTATATGTTTTTTCGTATCATCTTTGCAAATATTTTTGTATTCAATTTGTAGATTACCTCTTCTTCTACGTGGCTTCGTTATAGCACTTTTTACAATTTTCACAATGCGGATTTTGGAATCGTGGTTAGAATTGTTGTTGGATGGCTTTTTTTAAATCTTCGTTAATTACCACGCTTTATTGTATGGTTACCTGAGTAAATAAACTCCTAAGTTATTCCGGGGAGATGTGGTGCGTTAAATTAGTTAACAAAGTTTCAGTTTTTACAAATTGTTGAATCCCAGCTTTATAAGTTTTGCCCGAAAAAGTAAAACTTGACCATAAAAACCAAAAATTAGTCCATAAAAATGTTTATTATCAATATATTTACAAGTTTGACTATGTTGGTATAAGGGAGCTTTTGCGGGATTCTGAAACGGATCCATTTTCGTTGGCACGGTCTTCTCGTAGCAGGATTTCTTGGGCAGTTGACAGTACTAGTCGGCCGTCTCTGGTCCACATTTTTCCATGAATCAGGGCTCGACTTGCAGCTGAAAAACAAGCCATTATTGACCAAATTTAAAATTTTAGGTATTAAAATTGAAATAAAAACGCATTTTTGTACCTAAAAACTTAAATTTAAAACATTAAGATCGCCTTACCTGCCACAGGGCTTTCCGTTTCATAAAGTACCCAATCGTTGTCGATTCTAAAGTCAGGTCGATGAATCCACATGGAATGGTCTAATGAAGCCGCCATTCCCAGCCTGAATCCAGCCGCTGCATTTGCAAACAATGGTGTTCCTACTGGTGCTACATCCGAGATGAATGCTGCTACACAGTGATGTAGATGTTCGTCATCACCAAGTGGAGTCAAACTTTTCACCCAGATGGCAAACTTCATTGGCCGGTTCGTCGGAACATTGATGTACTTTCTCGGTGTTATCACTTTGATTCCGAAAATGTTTGGTAGCTCGAGTACTCGTCGATATTGATCTGCCGCCAATTTGCCTTCTGGTGAGACGGATTTGGGGTCGTCTAGCATTCTGAAATGATATATCATAAGAATGGTTTACCAAAATTAAAATAGATGCAAAAAGAATGGCGTAATGAAGAATTTCTCATAAGAAAACAGTGATTTACTACTAATATGACAAATATGCTACGATAGGGTGCACAAAATCGCCATAACTTTTGACAAAAGCTACAGATTTCCACAAAACTTTCGGCATATCTTCACAAGGTGTCTCTTAATCCCATTGTGACCATCAAACACTAAAATGTAACCACTTCTACAAAATCTTACCTTTTCAGTAAGGTCATGACGTCCTCGCACTCCTCCGGCGGTGGAACTTTTGGCATTTCCGGCTCGTGACAAATCGAATCTGGCTCCACTTTTTGAAACGATATTGACGTCGTAAATACTGTAGTCTTGTTTTGTTTTGCCTGTACTAATCGAGTACCAAAACTACGACCATCTCGTACTCGAGTCACTTCGTACGCAATAGGTATGCTTTTGTCGGCCGGGGCAAGGAACTGGCAATGTAGACTGTGAGGATGAAAGACAGGATCGATCGTGTTGTTGGCGGCCATCAACGCCTGGCCCACGACCTGGCCACCGTACACGCGATGACCATCTTTTCGGCCTGGGAGTTGGTGGGTCGAGCTAAAAACGACTTTTTTGATTAAATCCAATTGAAAATCTAAAAACCAAAACAAAAAAGGGAAAACCACATACCTGAAGACATTCTTATTGATGTGCTTCAACTTCAAAAACGTGTCCACCAAGTCCTCGTGTCCATATTCATCATGCTGGTTTTGGGTTTTTGGCATGTAAGAACACGATTGTTTACTCAATTCCGATCTAAAATAAAGCACTTAATTACTCTAATCAGTAAGATCATTTGATTTGCAACAAAATAATTTTAAAAAGCAATTTTCAACCGTATAACGAGGCAAATTTGTTTTATATACATAAAAATGGTCGTTGACCACACGAAAACGTCAAAACTATTACAAATACAAAACGCAAAATACAAATAATAACTTAAAAACTTGATAAAAACAAAGAACTAACGTCTGTTATTACTGATGAATCAAAAAGTTTTAGCGCTTTAATACAAAACACAAATTTATATTACACTTGACGTTTGATCCCTGAATTTGGTCAATAATTAGTGTGATTGGAATAAAAAGTGGTTAAACTATAACACAAAGGGTTGTTTCTACTATTTAAACACAAAATCTGAAGTAAACTGAAATAGTTACCTAAAGCTAACATTTCCCATGAAAACCAACCGAACCTTGAAAAAGTTGACGAAAAATGCTTTTTCGGCAAGAAGTCTCGATTTTTTTGCAAATTTTAATGAAATAAGCATAGTCAAAAATCTTGTTTGAAAAAATAAGCAAGTCAAACATCTTAATTAATCTACAAAAAATATCATACAAAGCTTGAAAGCTTAATAAAACCCCCGTTAAAGCGATATTATCCATGGCCAACGTTCTTTAACGGCTAACTCAACATTCTTTACTCATTTTTGCCAAATTTTGTTTTTTTTTGCACCTACAGAAGCCATGTGGCATCAAAAACTATTTATAATTAAACATTTCATCTGACTCGAAATTGAAAACATCTTTTCGGCCGCTTAACCTCGCTTAAACATTGACCCCCAGCTGTTGCTCGGGGCGAAAATAAAGTTTCCGTCATATACATGCCCTTTTGAATTCTTTAACTGACACAAGGTGATTTGGCATTAATATAAGAACAAAGTTTTTAAAAAGTTAATAGCATAAAATGTCATTTTTGGCCTTATATTGTTATAGGCTGATACTTATGGTCGGGGTCAGTTGAACCTGTATACAAAGTTGTTGATACTTTACACCAAATGTTTTTTAAATACAAGTTTATTACTTTTAAAAATTGAGAATGAAACAAAGATTGAGGATAAAAGAAAATTTCCCGTTCTAAAGGCACATGAATGCCCTTTTTGGATCACAAATGACTTAATAACTAAAAAATATGTTATTTTTTGAATCTACAACAAGAATGATATAAACGACTGAACCTACAATGCAATGGAAGAAGACTGACAACTACAAAGCTTCAGAAAATAAAAAAAAGCAATAATATCATTTTTTTTTAAATTTAAATTAATATCGAGATTCAAAAGGAATTCAAGTTGAGACACTAATCAACAAAAACACCCAAATCAACTTAAAATTTAATTTTTTCTTTGAAATTTCATGAAAGTTAAGGCCGGTAAAGAAAGATTTTGAGGTTTTTCACAATTTTTTGCTACGAAAGAATTAACGAATCCATGATATAGTCATAAAACCTGATAAGTTATTATTACCCGTTCTGACGGAACACAAAGACTATCCCAAGTTACGCTCCGACTTTTGCTTCATATAGAAGGGGGATTCGAGCAAGTGAAGCCGTTACGGTCAGGTGGATACGTTCCTTGATGACGAGAACCATAGAAATTCAAAAAGGATGAACAATCCACTGAACACCAGTGCCGTGTTTCTGAAAACACACAGTTATTATAACATTTTTTTAGTTTAACATAATATCACGTACTTGTTTATAGAAACATCGCTCATGAAATTAAAAAGTTGAACATACGTGCTTGTGTTAAAGCTGGTTCCATTGAACTTTGATGTCGTCAGGCTTTCCCAGGGCTCTTCAAGGGCTTTCCCTACCAGGAAGGATATTATCGCGCTCACCATTATGGTGCAGGCTTGGAACAAAACGATTTCTGAAAAGTGTGATTATTAGTAGAAAAAATTGTATTATCGAATACAGCCAAGACAATAAAAGCCGTGAATTATTAGGAAAAAAACAAAAATTTTCAGACGAAAACTTTTCGAAAATAACAAATCAAAACACCGTTCACCAGAATACTGTAACTCAAAGAAAAATCTTTAGTTTAAAGCGTTTACGGGTACCTTAGTACACATTAGTGTAAGTTTAAGCCAAATTGAAGCAAAAAAACATTTGGTGTCGACAGGGGGGCTCGGCCCTAACAAAAATCGTGTTTTAAGTGAAAGTAAAGTAGAAATAGAAGAAGGATTGCAAGTGGTTGATGCAAATCCCGAGAACTTCAATGACTGATAAATAAACAAAGGTCAAACCTATTCTTACTGTTATTATGTTATTCCTTACCTGTTATTTATGTTAATTTTGTGTTGTGGTTGATTTTGGTGAGTAAAGTAGAAAAAATCAATAATAAAGTAACTAACTGCGCCAAAACAATATATCAAACATGTTGTTGTTGTATCTTGACGAATCACCTAACATTAACTCGCATTCAGCGTTCCGTTACAGCTCCAATAAGTAAACATTTCTATTTGATAAATCAACCATACTAATTATAAACGTAGTAATTAGTACAACGCAACTTCCATTTTGTGTAAAAAAGTAGTCCTGTTTTTAACAATGTTTACTAGAAAGTAAACCAAAACCAACTTCAATAATGATAACGACTTTAAATCCACAAATTCCAGCGAACGAACAATACAAAGATTCCACTGATAATACAACTAACATAAATACGTATCTGTATATCTGCCTATGAATAAAATTTTAATAAAATTTCTAGGAATCATACAGTCAACTAAGTGATATTTCGTGTTTACTATTTAAAGCGGTATCTATTATATTACTTTGAAATTTTTAAATCCTTACTGACTGTTCCACTGTCTTGTTAAGGCTTGTTAAGGCATCGAGAATCTTCTTATTTTCTTCCCTCCGATTTTGCTCATTCCGTTCGATCATTTCATTTGCCATTTCCCTTATTAACCTCTGGGTTGCTGCATGTTCTCCCAAGCTCTGTTGGTAGCTGTGACGTCGACCTGATGACATCTAAAACATTTCGATTAATTGTAAATAACACGAAATAATACACGCAATACATTTTAGTCACGAAATTAAATAAATAAAAAATTAATTCACGACTATCCACGTAAAGATCAAGTAAAAACCAATTGCCATTTATGCAGCAACAACATCACAACAGAGGATATCGTCATAATAAGACAGAATTTATAAGTACCCAACCTAAACCCGAAAAAATATCAAAATACAGCTATAGGTTAGCTAGCTAGTCAATCGACTGTTTTTCCATCTTATCACGATATTCATCCCCCCTACTGAAAATGACCGAATCGGCCAAGGGTATTGTATAAATATATAAGTATAAAAGTAGAGTATAAACATAAGTAGGGTCAGGTATAAATATGGGTAGGGGCATGGGACAGGGTATAAATATGGGCATGGGTAGGGGTGTGTATATCAGCATAGGTATAAATATTGGAATGGGTATGGGTACGAATATGGGCATGGATCACGGTATGGGTGTGGATATTGGCATGGTACGGGTAGGTAGGGGGTTTGGGTATGCAATGGGTACGAGTGTGGGTCAAAATAATGAGGAATAGGAGTATAATTGGTATACTCTCTAGAAGGAGGAATTGAAGTTTTTTCAAGTAAGTCATAATTACCTGCGCCAAAACAAGGTATCAAACATGTTGTTGTTGTATCTTGACGAATCACCTAACATTAGCTCGCATTCAGCGTTCCGTTACAGCTCCAATAAGTAAACATTTATATTTGATAAATCAACCATACTAATTATAAATGTAGTAATTAGTGCAATTCAACTTCCATTTTTTGTAAAAAAGTAGCCATTTTTGTTAAATGTTTACTAGAAAGTAAAGCAAAACCAACTTCATTAATGATAACGACTTTTAGATCCACGAATTCCAGCAAATGAACAATACAACGATTGCACTGATAATACAACTAACAGATATACGTATCCGTAGATTTATCTATGATAAAATTTTTTATAAAAAATTTTCAGGTCATACAGGAACTATGCAACTCAGCGACATTTTGTGTTAACTATATAAAACGTTTTCTATATGAAGCCTATAAAAATAGAAGTTTATATCTAAACCTAACTTTTTTTAACTCAGAAAATCTAATTCTTTAACTAGGGCCGTTTTCAACTGAGTATTGCTAAACTAATTTCAATATTAATTAATAATGAAATTGCAAAAAAACTAGTTACTTTCTTAATACACAATGTCTAAAATGTTCACTATAAAAAGCAAAAATTTTTAAACAGTGTTGATGCCACGTCGAAATTGCAATTGACTCTGACTCGCCTTTTAAAAATGTCTATTATATTCTTTACGTGCAACTATTAATCTTTTCCATTGTACTATACCAGCCATTAAACCCCACCGCATAAACTTAAAAATGCTTACATCGTCGTTCATCCTTCTTAGTTCCATCCTCATCAAACTTATTTCCATCCTCATCAACCTTATTTCATCATTCGTCCGTTTTAGTTCCCTCGTTAAATCTGTCACAGCGTCAGCCATCTTTATTATACTGCTTTCAACTGCAGATAGCCTGCTTTGCAAAGAGGCAACATCTCCTCTGACAGTGTTTAAACTGTGTCTTCTTGTGGTCGTCTGAAACAAAAGTAATTAGATATTATAGTTTTTCTTGAAACTGCAATAATAACTAAACTAAGATTACAACCAATAAATTTAAGTAAAAACAAAAAATATATTTTAGTGTTAGCGTTGCATTTTCTACATCGCTATTTTTTTCTTTGTCAAAAATATTTATTTATTTTTCATCCCTAACAAACATATGTAGGATTGCAACAAAGATTTTTTGATATTATCTATCATAAACTTAATGTTACCCGTGAAAATTAACAATAAAATACCAAAAAGTTAGTAAATCCGCTATTTCTTAAGCAAACAAACTTCACAATACATTTTACCACAACAAAAACAACGTGTACCCAAGCAATCTAAACACAGAAGAAGCAAAAGAATCAATCACTTACCATATCTTCAGATGAAAAGAATGTGATGAAAAGTGGCTTCCGCAAGGAGCGATTCAAAGGCAAAAACTGGCTTCAAACTAAAACAGAATGATTAAAATTCAAGTTTTAAACAAAAATTCGGGTAAAAACCATAAAATTGGATAAAATCGGTCGGCTCTATCTATAACAATATAAATCTTGCACACACCCACATCAACAAAACTAATCAACAAATGTTTTTCACTGTTTCAGAAAAATAATTCCAAAGGAAAAGACGAAGTGTCACCACTTTATCGGGTTTATCGTGTTTGTTGCGGAGTGTCACATAAGTGGGTTTTCTTTTCCAATTTTTCGTTGATATCGAATCATGAGTTCATCTGGCTTTGAAACGTTGAATTCAAAGTAAAATACGACTTTTAAAAATTTTATGTAATCTTTACTGTTAGTTTATATTATACTGGATATAAAAAGTTATTTTTAGCGGTTTTACAAGTTTTCTTCATTTTTTTCGGGATGTTGTTTTAGATCGGCTTTCGTTGGAGGTTTGTGTGTACATATTTTTCGGATTTTGGGTCTAAATTATTGGTAAAATAATAAACTTTGTTTTAAACGCGCTTTCTTACTTTTTTAATCTTATTTTGCTTGCAACCGCCAATTTTATTACTCATTTTCTTTAGATTATGGCTTTCTTTGGGTAGAAGAGGTCCTGTATACTCATCCGAGCTAGTTCCGTAAATGTAGCTCAATTCAAGAAAGGTGCGGGTGGTCGTGTCAGTTTTTCTGGCAATATTGCTGCCGTCTTTGGCGGCGCCGGCTTCATTGGTCTACCGGTTGTGAATCGCTTGGCCAAGCACGGAAATCAGTTGATTTTGTCATATAGATGTGTTCCTTATTTTGTGCGTGTACAGAAAGTAGTGGGCGACCTGGGATAAATTTTGTTTTACGCTTGGGATTTGGAAGACGAGGAGAGTATTCGTCGGTCGCTTAAATACAGCAACGTGGTCGTTAACATGGTTGGAACTAGAATGGAAACGAGGTAGGTACTTTTGTTAAGGTTTTTGTTGATTTTTAGGTAATTTGAAGAAGGAGAGTGGATGTTATGAGGGATATTGTTTTAGGTATACCAGGGGAAAGGGTGACTTATGCTTTTTGTGATAACTTTTGACAGTAACTAGACAGGTACTTGAAATTTTGTGAACCTATATCATAATGGATTGTTTTATTAACTATTATGTGTCTCGGTACCGCAGGAACACTTACAAAATGACGGTTTACGTGAGTTATTTGTTATTTTGCTGGTTTTAAGGTAATAAAGTATAATTAATTTTGGAAGGACATTTGTTTTATAATAACTTTCTTTACAAAATAAAAGATGACAATAATTTTCTTTACAAAACATTTATATTGCATTAGAGCGTGGATCAATGTGTCTATCAAGGTCACATGATCCATGTTAAAAAAGTTTGATAAAAGCGGTATTTTACTCAATTTTCTGAAAAGATGAATTAAATTACCGACAACATTTTCCAGAAATCTTTTGCTTTTTTATGATTTGTAGACATAGTTCTTACCATCTTAGTTCACAACGTTTAAAAACCCGAAACTTTTTAAATTACAAATTTATTATTTTGAACAATTGTATGAAACATAGGTTGAGGATAAATCATTGCCCGTTCTAACAACACACAAAGATTTTTTTCCGGGATGACAAATGATTGCAATAAGACTAAACATATATGTTTTTGTACCCGCAATAAGATAGTAAAAAAGGACTGCACACTTGGTTGTTTTTGAGTAAAAACTTAATGAATTTGGCCTTAAAAGATAGAAAAATCTCCAGCGGATCTTTTGAATACAAAATCATATAGATAGACGTCCAATCTACCGCAGATTTCCGTCGATATTACGCTAGACCCATATTGATATCGGAATTTTCAAAAACTTTAATTCCCGCATAAATTATTGCCAAAACAACAAAAAATACTGAAAATACAATAAACTAACAACGTCATCATTAACAACCTCCAACTTAAATATTTAACTTTATTTTAACCATATAACAACGTGATGTTTGCCTAAAAGATGGAGATTTCAGTAACAAAGTGCCATTTTGTACAACACGACAGGAAAATAAAAAGACGGGCCATTATGAACATACAATTTTGTACCATTTGAATACGACAAGGAGAAAAAAAAATCGCCGGAGATTGAATTTCAAAAAAAAATTTAAAAAATTAAAAATAAAGAAATGTCTAAAAAATACGTCATCGGAACACAAGAAATCATGATAACACAAAGTAAAAAAACTGATTTTATATTATCTTACAATGTAAAATACGACTTGACTTGATCTTAGTCCACAAATCAATTGAATAATGTTGTCACGATGACATATTTAAAATGACGTATTTTACAAAAATAAAATTGAAAAAAAAGTTTTTTACAGATAAAACCCGTTGATTAAATTTTTTTTTCAGCTACAGTAAAAAGCTTCTATTAAAATATTCAGCTATTAAATTTTGTCTAGATTTTTTAAAAGTGCCATTTTTAAATGAAGCAAGCTCAAAAATTTTGATTTTGCCATTGTAAAAACTTAAAAAATTCAAAAATTACTAATTGCAAAGGTTTTTTACTGTAACAGACTCGGGTGAAAGTAAGAAAAAAAAAAAAAAAAAATCCTACCGTAAGAATACCGTAATCTAAAGAGAAGTTGAGTTTAAAGTGGATCGTGCCTCGCTATTACATTATTATGGCGTTACCCGAGGTCAAAAACTGTTTTCGAGTTATGATGGCTACTGTATGAAAGCTTATTGGGTACTATGTACTATCTGTTGGAAGTGTAATGTGGGTTACTGTATCTTTTAAAACACAATAAATAAAACATTGAAATGAAAAGAACAGTAATTCTAAGACTAGAATGAGTCTAAAAATTGAAAAAGCTTTTCAAAAAGTACAGTAACCCCCTACGATACCACAAATGAAGCGTAGAATCATACTGTAGCTACCGTAACCCGATGATAATTAAGATCTGAAGAAAGCTTGCAAAAAAAGCTTTGAAAGACGTAAAAATGTGCTAATTTTCGCAAATTAGCCCGCGGCATCATAGTAATTTACGTCCATATCTTGGCTAGTCTCCACTTTGGCCGCTTGTTGTACTTGTTTACAGCCCTCCTCGAAGCAGTAGTCGGCATGAATTGTCATTTTGTCGGCTTCGAAAATCACTTCCGACGAGGCTTGTTCGAAATCAAATACGATGGGCAGTTTTATACCTAAAAATTGTTGAATATAAGGGGATGCTTTTGAAAAGTAATTTTTTCGCGGTGGGACCCACAACTTTAAAATTTTTGCAATAAAAATTAAAATTTTAACTTAAAAACGGCCTTGAGACGTCTTAATTGTCCTACATATGCAACTTTTATCAAAAAAAGCAAAAATTTTAAAAGTTCAAGTTTTTGTGGCAGGACCCAAAAATTTAAAAATATTCACGAAAATCATTGAAAATTGTAAAAACCTAACTATTCTTACCCATAAAACCCATTCTTACAATAAAAACAACATTTTTATAAAAAAATGATGTTTTCGTGGTGGGACCCGCTATTCGCATATCATACATCTTTAACCTTAAATGCCTTACCATCCTTTAATTTTTTCGAAATTTCGTCATTCAAAATCAAGTCATTCAAAGCGTTGATCAGGAACTCGATCGAATTGGCGTCAATGCCATCAACAAGTGACACAACGTCGCTGATTTTGAATGAATCAATGTTCAGTTTGCCAGTAATGGTGTAGTCCTTGAATTGAACCTTGGACAGCACCAATTCGGCCAACATATTGGCCGTGAGGAAGCGACGGTTCTTGTCTGGTTGCTAAAATACGGTCAGATTTTGAAAAAAGAGGTTTGAATAAATCAAAATATCCTCACCCATTCAAAAATAAAAACACACCCGTAAAAAATGTTTATCTAAGCCTAAAAATGTGTAACTAAGCCTAAAACTGCGTATCTAATCCTAAACTCTGTTTTTAAGCCTAAAATGTGTAATTAAGCCTAAAAATGTGTAATTAAGCCTAAAAATGTGTACCTAAGCCTAAAGATGTGTAACTAAGCCTAAAACTGTGTATCTAATCCTAAACTCTGTTTTTAAGCCTAAAAATGTGTACCTAAACCTAAAAATGCGTATCAAATCCTAAAAATGCGTACTTAAGCCTAAAAATGTATATCTAAGCCTAAAAATGTGCACCTAAGCCTAAAAATGCGTACTTAAGCCTAAAAATGTATATCTAAGCCTAAGACCCGTTATTAAGCCTTAAATTTCCTTCTAAGGCCTAAAAGTAAGCCTAAAGATCTCTCCAGTTTTATATAGGAACAAAATAACCCGCCCGGCTCTTGTCATCATGACATAATTAAAAGATTTGTTATTTCCCAACTCACGGCGACAAAAGCGTCAATTCGACTGTCCACGATCACCTTCACCTTGCCATTTTCGATCCGAACGTGTGGGAATGTGACGGTGTGGGTTTTTATGTTTACCACGCCTTTGGCAAACTTGGCGGCCAAAGCTGGAAACAAAGTTCCTGCACAAATGTCTTGTGGACCACACTCCGTGCGAAGGTAACCGGCAATGTTACTGTCGTTCACGCTCGTTTTACTGATTTCGTAGTCGAATTTTCTGAAATTTGAAATTTTAATAAAGTCAGCATGACAGGTTTTTAAATTTTTTGGTGTCAGCATGACAGATTTTTAAATTAAAGGTGTCAGCAAGACAATTTTTTTTAGAATTCAGCAGGTCATCATGACAAGTTTTTTAAATTTTAAATGTCAGCATACCAAGCTTTTTTAGAATTTTGCAGGTTATTATGACAGATTTTTTAGAATAAAAGTTGTCATCGTGACATATTTTTTCGGAATAAATGTCATAATGACAGATTTAAAAAAAATTTAAAAAAAAACTTTAAAAAATGTGTAATTATGAATTTCTTTTTAGAAAAATGTATCATCATGAGGAAAAAAATGTGTCAGCATGACATATTTTCACTTTATTTTTAAAAAACAAATTTTATAACTAAAATATTTAACTCATCATGCCATTTATAAAAAAAAAAATATATCTGTCTTAGTAACACGTTTTTTGAAAAAATGTGTCATCATGACATATTTTATTTTAAACCAAAAATGTCTCAAAATTAAAAAAAAAGTATCAAGAAAGACATAACCCACCTATACTGATCCATCCAGAACATCAACGAAGCCAAAGTGTAGTTGCTCATCTGAAAGCTGACCATGTGCTTGTTCTCCGGCTGACTGTACAATGGTGCACTTCTGAATGGCAAACGGAAATCGTTCAATCTGGTACGGCCTTGTCTCAGAATGCCAAACACATTACCACGATGACGCAGCTCAAGACCGTCGTGATTGTAGAGTAGTGGTCCCATTAGGCCGTAGTTGATAAAGTAGTGGTCGAATAGGGCGGCGCTCATCGGCGTGTTGAGCAGGCGGTTGGAGATGACTGGTACTAGTTCGGCGTGGAAGGTGGGGCAGAGAAGCTGAAATTGTGTTTCTTTAACACTATGTAACAACATTTGCGCTAGTTTTACCATTTTAGACCTTATACAAGCCAATTTAATAGAAAATCAAGTTTTCGTAGTGGGACCCAAAAAATAAAAATTTTTAAAAAATGGTAAAAAATATAAAAATTTATCTAACTCTGAGTTGTTTTTTAACATCTTTCTAGTTTATATCGATTAAAAGCTCAAAAATAAAAAATCATGTTTTCGTAGTGGGACACAGAAAATAAAAAATTTTAAAAAATAATAAAAAATGTAAAAATTTTAAAAACTTTAAGTTTTTTTAATGTTTTTTTTTTTCATTTTTTTCAATCCTAAAAAAAAGTTTTCGTGCCAGAACCCAATATCAACTTACATTATCAACCTGATCCCTAACAGCACGATGAATAAAAGGCATGTAGTTTCTAATAAGATCAGCATCAGATTGCGCGAATTCAAAATGAATATCATTCAATAGTACACGACATCTTTGTAAATCCGTCTTCAAGTGTCCATCAGTGTTGACGGCTGTTTGAAGTGCCAGCTCGACGGTCGACCGGTCGAAAGTCACTGGAACTGAACCAGTCACTTCGCCTGCACTGCTGGTCACTCGGTATATTGAGTTTATCGTGATTTTCATGTTTGAGCCCTGAAAACGGTTTTGACTTTTGAAAAAATTCAAATTTTTGTTTTGGCGCCAAATCTTGGCATTTTGCGACAAGGGGAAATAGTTACAGAAATGTAAAATATAGAGACAGATGGGCTATAAATCAAGATTTTTTTGCTTTTTTGATGTTTTATAAAGCTAAAAATCAACTTACAGTCCACAATAACTCCTTGTTCGGAGTAACCTTTAGTCCAGACTGAAAATTGCTCCCATCAAAGCCGGATACGCCATTTGATAATAACGAAAACCGTACCAATGGTGTTAACGGTACGGTCAAGTTGTATGCTACTGTTCCAAACTTCATAAACTTATTTACACGTTGTTTTAGGTATTCAGCCATTAAATCGAGAGCTTTTGGCCCGACCCGCGTCGTAAAACCGGGAAATGTGTCGGGTTCGGTGAAGAAGCTGTCTGAAAATTGGGTTTTGATGGTAAGTAATGATCAAAAAGTTTAAAAAAAGTCATTTTTAGGTCTATAAAATTTGGTTTTGAGGCTTAACATTACTAAAAAATAGAAAAAATGGCAAAATTTTAAAATGTTTTAAGAGAAAAAGCTAAATTTTTTAAAATTTTAAGTAAAAAACAAAGTTAAAATTCTAAAATTTAAATAGGCAAAGCTTAAGAAAAGCGTATTTTACATTTCCAACACTTTAAAATCCCAAAAAACAACTTTTTAGCCCAGTAATTCATCAAAAAGAGCCTTAGCTCGATGCGGGGCTCGAACCCGCGACAGCCAGATTAAGAGTCTGGTGCTCTACCGACTGAGCTAACCGGGCACGCCCAATTTTTTTTCTTTTTGCACTTTGTAACCATTACTTTTTTCAATAACTAGTAGGGCTAGGGTAAAGTGGGGGTGGATTTTTAATTTTTTTATTGTAAAATACGATTTTTCACCTCGTTTTTTTTTAAAATTTATATTGATTTTTGTTTATTTGGCGGCAACATAAAATGAAATTTTACCAATAAAAAATTTTAGCTCGCGCTTTTGAGTTTTAAATTTGAATTATTTTGATTTCCCGCCAATTTGGCAAGTTTGGCATTGTGTTTCAAGCACTTTTTTTTGCCTTTTCAGACAAGATACGCTTACAAATTTAAAAAAGTAGGCTCATTTATAGGTATTCTACTAGTATATCAAAGAAAAATTCATAAAAGTCAAAAAATGGCAAAGTTGTAAGCTTGAAACACAATGCCAATTTGGCAAGAAATTCAAAACCTAATTTTTTGACCTCTCGATTTTCTCGAGATTTCCTGGAAAGCGCGGTCTAGTAATGTGCTGAACATCTTATATTTACATAATCTTTTTATTAGCTTGTTCATTTAATTCTGTGCCCCTTCTCAAAGCTAGTTTGTGGAATACGTGGGCGCAGAATTATGTGAACAACCTAATATATAAAAGTTTGAAGACAATTAGAGCGGGGCAGGGGTACTTTCCTTGTAAATTCCAAAGATTTTAAAATTTCGAAATTTTTTTTAAATTTTTTAAATTTTTTTTAAATTAAAAAAAAACAGTCAAAATGACTCTTTTCGACGGCAAAAACCGAACACAACCAGTTTTGTTGCATCCCATTACTCAATCCCATCAATCCGACAAAAAATGTTCCGTTTTTAATCGAATAAGGACGGCTTTAAGTAGCGTGAATCTAAACAAAAAATCAACTGGTTTCGAACCGCAGAAGCGTCTTCAAACATCGAGTAGTTGCGTAAAATAAGCGGAAATTATTAAAAATTACGGTGTCAGTTTTATAGCCTACCCTACCCTACCCTACGCTACCCTACCCTACCCTACCCTGCCCTACCCTACCCTACCCTACCCTACCCTACCCTACCCTACCCTACCCTACCCTACCCTACGCTACCCTACCCTACCCTACCCTACCCTACCCTACCCTGCCCTACCCTACCCTACCCTACCCTACCCTACCCTACCCTACCCTACCCTACCCTACCCTACCCTACCCTACGCTACCCTACCCTACCCTACCGTACCCTACCCTACCCTACCCTAGTTAGTATCTATTTTAAGCTTAAAGTTAAGTGCGTAAGCCTAGAATTAGATGCGTAAGCCTAAAAATTATTTATATAAGCTTAAAAATGTTTACTTAAGCCTAAAACTACATTATAAGCCTAAAACTTTCGAACAAGCCAAAGACCTCTTCTTAAACCTCAAAATAGTGTAAATAAGCCTAAAAATGCGTGCCTAAGCCCAAAATGTGCACCTAATCTTGAAAATGTTTACCTAAGCCTAAGATGTGTACTTAAGCCTAAAAAAGTGTATTTAAGCCTAAAAATGCGTACCTAAGCCTAAAATTGGTATCTAAGCCTAAAAATGTATACCTAGGCCTAAAATGTGTATACACATTAGAAATGTGTACTTAAGCCTAAAATCTGTAACTAAGCCTAAAAAAGTTTACCTAAGTCTAAAAATGCGTACCTAAGCCTAAAAATTACAAAATAAGCCTAAAATGTGTACATAAGCTTAGAAATGTGTACTTAAGCCTAAAACGAGCATCTAAGCCTAAAAATGTGTACCTAAGCCTAACAATTTGAAACTAAGCCTAAAACTTCTTGATTACTCATTTTTTCCTACAAATTTAATTTTGCCCTACCTTATTTAAACATTTGTGAACGCCCTATACTTAATCCCCCCCCCTAAAACATAATAAAAAACTCACTAGCCAACGACTGTGCCGTGACCATAGCCGAAAAGCCGCACATCAGCATGACGAGCAGGAACGTCCGCTGTGTCCCGCTGAAGCTGCGCATCATGGTCGGGTAGGAAAAAGAGAAAACAAGTCGACCGGTCGAATACGGCTGATAATGCGAAGGGCCGCAAATTTGAGAGGGACCGGTAAATTGGGCTGAGGAACTCTGAAAAATTTTAAAATTAACTTAAAAATTGAATTTTTTGAAATGGCTAGGGTAAGACTCGACCCGAAAATGTTAAAATAGCAAAAACTTTCTTTACAAAACAAAAAATAGCAAGAACTTCCTTTACAAAATAAAAAATGCCAAGAACTTTCTTTACAAACTAAAAAATAGCAAGAACTTTCTTTACAAAACAAAAAGTTGCAAGAACTTTGTTTACAAAACAAAAAATGGCAAGAACTTTCTTTACAAAACAAAAAGTTGCAAGAACTTTGTTTACAAAACAAAAAATGGCAAGAACTTTCTTTACAATACAAAAAGTTGCAAGAACTTTGTTTACAAAATAAAAAATGACAAGAACTTTCTTTACAAATCAAAAAATGCAAAAACTTTCTTTACAAGCCAAAAAAATTACAAAAAACAATAATTTAGCATCTTCTTAGCCCTTGCACCCCTCCCTAATTCTAACAAAATTACCACCTCTCCCCCACCCCTTCTCCTACCAGGTCAATTTAAGTGCACCCGCCATCGAAGATCTTCAGCCCGTGAATCGAAACTTTGTCGAAACAAAAAAAAATGTTTTTGGTTTGAAAACTTCCGTTTTTCGAATCTTTCCACTTAAAGGTCAAGATGAAACGAAAAGTGTCGCTGTTTTTATTTACAGAATCGCTTAATTAGTTTGTATTTTAGCGCCGCAGGCTATGAAGAAGAAGACGAAAACAACCCCCTCCCCTGTTATTTGAATATTCGATTTTTTAAAAAGAAAGTTAAGGAGGGGAAGTAATGCTTTACCTTACCATACCCAACAGTACACTTGGGTATAAAAGGCAAAAGTAGGCCTAGCTTGGCAAAAAAAGGCTGAGGTTCGGCTGGAGCTAAGTCTAAAGCTAGGGCAACAACTAAAGCTAAGTACAAGGGCAATGGCTATGGCTAGAACTGAATTAACAGGGCTCTGGTCTAAGACTCTGGGCAAGCACTCTGGCCTAACGGTAGGACTACAACTAGAAGGCTCTGGGCTAAGGCACTAGACTAGGGCTGTAGGCTTAAGGCTAAAACTAGGGCTGAGGCTAGGGCCCTGAGATAGGGCTCTAGGCTAAGGTACTGGGCTTTAGACTAGGGCTTGAGCTAGCGTTAGGGCTAAGACTAGGCCTAAGATAAAGGCCTCTCCGGGCCAAGGCTTTGGACTAGGGCTCTAGGCTAGGAGTCTAGGACTAAAATACTGGGCTAGGGTCTAGGCTAAGGCGCTGGGCTAGAAATCTGGGCTAGAGCTCTAAGTTCTAGGCTAACGCTCTGGGCTTTGTACTTTAGCTTGAACTTGAGCTAGGGTTAAGGCTAAGACTAGGGCTTTGGGCTAGGGCTAGAGCTCAGCACTACGACTCTGGGCTAGGGCTTTGGGCTAAGGATCTGGGCTAGGGATCTGGGCTAGGGCTTTGGGCTAGAGCTCTGGGCTAGGGCTCTGGGCTAGGGCTCTGGACTAGTACTATAAGATAGGGCTCTGGGCTAGGGCTCTGGGCTAGGGCTCTGGGCTAGGGCTCTGGGATAGGGCTCTGGGCTAGGGCTAACCTTCTTTACAAAAAATTTTTAAAAAATTACCCCGCCCAACCTTTGGCACATTAAAGTGTCCTATAATTAAAAAACTTACTCTCCCCCCTCTTGTTCTTATTAGAAAATTCACCTTCTTCCACTCCCCCCCCCCTCCTTTCCGTTATAATGAAAAAAAATCCTCAAATGCACCCCCTCTTACTACATACCATCCCCGAAAAAAGCATTATCGACCAAAATTCGACCACTTTTTTAAGTTTGAACTTTCTCACGCCCCCCCGCAATCCTTAATCCCTCCTTCCCCCCCCTAAAAAAAAACTATCGGTTTCATTACAAAAGCCCCATGGTGATAACGCAGAGGTCGTATAGCGCCATAAATAACTTGTGAAAACGAGTTTGGGTTATATAATAACGAAAGGCTTTTACGCAACTCGAGCTAATTACTCTCCCTCTCCATGGTGGAGGGGGGGGACGATGAATCCGACGACGAACAATGGAGGGGAGATTCGGAAGATGGCGGGTAATAGGTCAAATATGGGACAATAGTGATTAGTCACCATTTTTGTGACATTGAGAAAGCGTTGTAAAGTATTTTGACGAGGGGTGGGAAGGGGAGTGTGAGGAGGGGGGAGGGGGTCCAGGGAGGGAAGGTCTGTGAGGAAAGTAAATAGTGGGAGAGAACGGAGAGAAAAAAAAACGGGGGGGTAAGAAGAGGGGGGGTAAGAAGAGGGGGGCGGGGGGAATTAATAATAATGACTTTTTTAGTACCAGGAAGGGAAAAAGCAAACTTTTGAATAAAAAAGGGGGATAGTACTTTTTTCGACCCCCGCCCCCAGACCAACAGTGCACGCCCGGCACTGGTAGTACCAACAATTTTTGCCACACAGGAAGTATAACAGGAGTAGGGTAAAATTTACCAGAACACACCCTCAAAAAATCCCCCAAAAACCCCTAAAATACAAAAAAAATTACATTTAACCTCCCCCCCCCCCAAAAAAATATTAAAATAAATCAAATTTAGCCAAAAATATTATTATACCCCTAATTAGAAGGCAAAAATGCGTACGCCACTTGAGATTCCAAGGACGTCTCCGATCCAAGTACTAATCAAGCGCACCGTTGCTTAACTTGCCAGATCGGACGGGATGGCGTGCGTTCAACGGGCTATGGGCGTACACGTTCGAGCTCTGTTCTTTTCTGGGTTTTGTGGAAATTGCGGGGGAAATAGGGTAAAATAAGTCATCTTTGGCAAATTTGGAAGTGGGGGGGGAAGAGGGAGGGTGGATAAAATTAAAAAATTTAAAAAAAAATTTTATTTTAAGAACAAAAAAACAACATTCAAAAACTTTTTTTACGCTTGAAAAAATTGCCATGCCCTCCCCGCTCGCTCAAAACTCCCCCCTCCCCGTCAAATCCCTCGTTAACCCCCCCCCCGCCCTCTCGAAAAATCCGTCGTTTAACCCACCTCCCTCCTTAATGAAGATTGACAAACCCCCCCCCCTCCCCCTATCTCAAAACGAACCCTTCCTAAAACTCCCCCCTCCCCCTTAAAAATGCCTTGTTAAAACATTAAAACAGTCCCCCCCCCCTTCAAGACACCCTCCACAAAAGTCTAATATTAGCACAATACGACGCCAAATTGGATTCGATTACAAGAAATGGAGCCCCATGGATGTAATAAACCGCTTTTCGTTCATTTTTCGTTTCGAAAAGACAATGAAATACAATCGAAAAATGCGACGAGGAGAAGAATTAAAACAAGAAAAATATATAACAAGAGCTCTGCAAATTTCGCGACGAGATCGTTGTTCATCATCATCCCACAGCCTTCAACTCGCCCCTCATCTTCGTCATCAGCCATAATAAATATGAAAAAAAGCGACTCTTCTTCGGTTTTTCAAAGCAAAATCTGAGTGAAAATAAGAAAAAAAAATTGTTTAGAACTAGCTACATCATTTTCTTAGAAAGCAATGTTAACTTAAAGCGTAAATTATCACCCCCAAACAAAAAGAACCTTGTATAGAAAGTTGTTGCCGTTTTTTGCTTTGTAAAGAAAGTCTTTGCCATTTTTTTGGGTTGTAAAGAAAGTTCTTGCCATTTTACGTTTTGTAAAGAAAGTTCTTGCCGTTTTTTTCATAAAGAAAAATTTTACCAATTTTTAGTTTGTAAAAAAAGTTCTTTCTAGGTTTACGTTTGTAAAGAAAGTTCTTGCAATTTTATGGTTGTAAAGAAAGTTCTTGCTATCCTTACGTTTGTAAAGAAAGTTCTTGCAATTTTATGGTTTGTAAAGAAAGTTTAGACATGAGAAACGTTCCGGCCTTGAGCAAAATTTCGATCGGACCGGGCCTGAAATCAAAGCCCGGGCCTCGGCCTGTTTCCACGTAAAAAAATCGGACCCGGCTGGTCCTGAGAAAAATTTCGATCGATCAGGGCCTAAAATTCAGGCCCGGCAGCATTGTTTTGTATAGAAAGTTCTAAAGCCTTGTAAAGAAAGTTCTTGCATCTTTTAGTTTTTAAAGAAAGTTCTCGCGGTTTTTCGATTTTTAAAGGAATATATTGCCGTTTTTAGTTTGTAAAGAAAGTTCTTGCTATTTTAAGTTTTGTAAAGAAACTTCTTGCCATTTTGCACAAAAAAATATTTTTCAAGCTCAACCCTCCACAACATATTCTCCACCCAGCCACTTTATATTATAAGGACGCCCTGCTCCTACCTTAAACTGACAGAGGACCTTCTCCTTCCCTTTACAGGCCCACTCCTACCTAAAAAGTTACAAAAATTTTTAAAAAGAAGCAAAATTCAAATTCGAAACGAGGAAAACATCGGATCAGACACAAAGTCGTTACATCATTGTCTGTTCTAAATGGCAGAACGTCCGAAATTGGGTCGAATGAGTGCAACGAAAAAAGCCGACGTGAAACAATGAATCCGCAGGCTTTTCCGCCTCAAGGGCTTGGAACCAAACCAGAGGAAAAAAACTTTTTTGATCAATGCATCGCGCGACATTTATAAACAATTTATTTAAACAATTGAGAAAACAGAAAATAAATCTAGTTAACGATATTTTAGGTTTGTAAAGAAAGTTCTTGCCATTTTTCAATTTGTAAAGAAAGTTTTCGTCATTTCTTGTTTTGTAAAGAAAGTTCTTGCCACTTCATGGCTTGTAAAGAAATTTTTTTTGCTATTTTTTGTTTTGTAGAGCAAGTTTTTGTCATTTTTTAGTTTGTAAAGAAAGTTCTTGTCATTTTTTAGTTTGTAAAGAAAGTTCTTGCCACTACTTGTTTTGTAAAGAAAGTTCTTGCCATTTTTTATTTTGTAAAGAAAGTTCTTGCCGTTCTTCAACGTTTAAACAAATTTCCAC